GAGTTCACCGAATCATCGATGGTTTTTAATCTGCATTTTCTCCTCGTTTAAATGAGACTGTAATAACTCGTTCGTTTCCTCGAAAGATTCGGCGATTTAGATAACTGAAAAACGGTTGGTTAAATTACCGAAAAAAAAAACTTTCTGTCTTTTTATTTCCTCATTTAAAATCCATTTAACAAGCCTAACGAGCCGAGTTATAATCTAATCGGCGATGAACGTAATTTTTTCGAAACTTTCCTCGCTCGAACGCCTTTCTAATGAAATCCCATCGGGTAGGTAATAAAGTCCCGTTTGAATATTTAGTTCCCCGGCGAGAAATCGGAAGCTGCACCGATTTACACTAAGCAGAACGAGTTCGTAAAAAAAAAGTTTTAATATCCTCTAAAATAAGTCAAAAAATTACGCCGAATTGCAGCGAATATAAACTCGGAAGAAGATTTACAATTCGGGAAATTCAGAAAATACCGCGTCGCATCGTAATTTACGCGAAATTACGGAGCGAATGCAGCTTTAAAAAAAAAAAAACTTTCCTATAAATAATTTACTCCACGGAACGTCGTAAAACGTCGCTAAGCGGAAAGGACAAAACGAGAAGGACGTTTTGTTTAGATGTTGAAAATATACCAGCACAGTGTCGCCCCCTATAAACATCTTTAATAGGTGTAATTACGTCGGAATTAACGAAGGTAATCCAATTTATAATCCTCCTATGTAGTTTTATGTAGAGAGATGTAGAGAGTTTTTGCTAATTGTTGTCCTATTTTGATGTGTAGATAAACAACATCTCCTTAATTTAGCATTTAGCTACGTAAAAATAACGTTTATATGAAGAACAAAAGTATTCCAAAACGTCTTTCATTACAATCGAGCATTATTCGGAAACCTTATTTCATTTTATTTATTACATACTCTCCATCTCGAGCGGATTATTTCGGTAACAAACGATTCAAATAACGTTCCTAATTCTCCCTTATACGAAATTCTCCCAGAAATTCCACCCATTCCGCAAATTAACGCGGGAAATAACGGACGTGTCCGCGGCCCGATCTTTCGATTTACACACCAACGAAGAAGTTTTCGAATTAATCCAAAGGCCAATGTCTGGCGAAAAGGAGATCAAAACCACGCAAACAATCAATGCGGGTGATATTTCGGCGATGGCAAAAAGTTTATCCATTATCGCCGGGATAAAAAGTAATTGCGTTATTCGCAATGGCCGACAGAAGTTGGTTAAGTGAGGGGCCATTTAGAGTGTGGATTTTCGGCGATAGAAAAAGTGCTTCGCGGTAAAAATAGATGCTTTATACACCTTAATGTAATGCGCCGAAAATGCGCTCTAATTATAGCAAAAAAATAGAATTTTTAGGTAGGTATAAATGACAAAAAAAAGAGCTTTATAAAGGAGCATAAGCATCGTTAAAATCCGATCTAACACACGAGAATTTTATTACGATTTTTTTAGATTATTCATACAACCTGAGATTTATTCGACGTTCCGTTGGAATCATATTCGAATTAGGATTTTTCTTCGGGGAGATTTTATACCCGGCCGATTATCTCGGACTGGAATATTTATCGAATGGGGGGAGCCCATTTCGTCCAAGTTAATATCTCCGCGTAAGGATTAGAGTTGTGAAATTCACAACTTCCTCGAAAGGAAATGCAAATTTCGCGGTCGAAATGTCTTAGTGAATTTCGATTTGGAATTCACAAAAGTCCCTTCTTGGTGTCAATGAGATTCTTGATACGCTGCTGATTTATTAAAACAATCTATTAAATATTAGTTTACAGTTGCCTTCTTTATACTCTCCAAAAAAATTGTTTGTTTCGCGTTGCTAATTTAGGATTCAAAGTCGCATTATCTTGTATTAACGAGGCAACTCCTTAATCGTTCGTTCTTTTCGGGCGCAATAAAAACTTTGGAAATAAAAAAAAAATGAGATATTCACGCCGGCTTTTTCCGTTTTTTTCGAGCTTCAAGTGGCGCGTTAAAAGCCCAGAAATATTAACAGCTTCGACAAACTGCGAACAGGTCCCGGTTAGACCCGCTTCCCGGGCTTCCCGGGCTTCCCAAGAGCACCCTCTGCCCTACGGGACATCATTTATTTACTCCGTATATGCCGCTTTTAATCCCCGCTTTTGCTCCAACCTTATACACTTTGCATTTACCGTTAATTTTTTGTTCGAATTTCGCTTTCGGGAATTGCTCGACTGATTGTTTGGGCGTTTAATTAATTAGATTAAGTGATAAATACATGCCCGGCGTTTATCGGTTTAATTATTGTTTTAATGGAAACTAATCGTCCCTGTGCTTTATAGAAATGTTTGGGTGTGTAAATTAGGTCAGGGTTTTCTTATAGAGTGAAATCACTAGAGAATTTTAATGTCGCTGTAAATGATACATATGTAAATCGAGAATTTTTTATTAGTTATTTGGTGTTATTTCTACGCGATGTTATGAACTCCTCGTGGTGTGTTTTCGAAGTTTACTGTAACGAATTTTCGTTAGCGAATGCGAACGCGATGTGACATTTAAACGGGGTTTGTTGGATTCATATCTTATTCAACTCCGGTTCCGGTTTGAAAAACTGAGCGTTTGGCTTTTTAAATGCGGACGTTTCGAGCTTTTATGTGGCGCTCCGGGACGCACTGCAATTCCCTTGAAATTTCCTTCTAATGCGTTATATACTAAATGTAAACAGCGGGTGTGTATTTCTGTCTAAGATGATTTTTTGTCAAGGCGAGAGAATGAGGATTTTCATATAAAATGGAATTTTTTCACCATACAAAATGCATTCAATATCCAATAAGCAAACAAACGGATCGCAATTAAATTTCGCTCCGTTTCCTGTTGAAAATTCGCCTTTAAGTCCGTTATGAAACGACCCGACTGCATTTAATTTGCATGTAAGAGCGAAATTTCGAGTAATTTCGCATTTTAAACCACCATTTAGCGAACGAGGTCGTCTTTGGTTAACGCTGTGTGAATTGCATTTCGTTTGTACAAAGAAAATCGCAACGGGAAAATTGTACAGTTGAAAGCCTAGTGAATAAACACCAAAACGAGTAGATTAAAAAAAAACCTTCTAGTGTGTAAAATTGGATAAACATACTTTGTAAAAATTTGTACAGCAACTACACAATGAGTTATAGTAGTTTATTCTTGCGGTTATTTTGTTTAGAGTTTATTATATAAAGTCTCTTCGAACAAACATCCAGTAAAAATACACTCGCTAGATTTTCCTCGAGATCATTTTTCAAAAGCGTACAAATTCAATTTTCCGCACCGGGTCATGAAACTTTACCGACGACCTTTTAGAAACTTTCCCGAAGAATCGGAAAATACAAAAGCTGGTACCATCGTTTCGAATTTTCGCTCGGATTTCTTAAAATAGCCTTAAAAAACTCTCGCTGGAATGGCGATGGAGCTTCGAAAATAAACAGAATCGAAGTCGCCGATAAATCGCTGCGGTTCGATTTGCTTTCCTTTATCCGAGGAAAGTCTTTTGCGATTTTCCTTCGCTCGGTTTTCACCGCTTGCTGGTTAATTATCGCCTGTTCTGCATGAAGAAAAATAGCGGAAATTTATGGACACCGCTACTAAAATTCCCGTAAAGAATATTCTCTTGTTCGCAATTATATGAGTAAAAGAAAAACCATTTTTCCCGTTTACAACATCTTCCGGAATTTTCCAGCTTGCTCCCGGAGCGCCGATAAATCTTGCTAAGCATCCACCACCTATACTCTTACGATTTCAGAACGAATTACCGTTTATCTACTTAGCGGTGGAGGTCGCTCGGAAAAGTTTGGGAAAATAAAAGGAAAACGTCTATTGGAAAAGCGCCGCGATGACGAATTTTAGCGCCGCTTATTTGCTTCTAGTCCGAGCTTGTAAATGTAAACGGGGGGGGTGACGAAAGTTTTCGGTGTGATGGGAGAGGAAAGCGGTGAAAGTTGTGGAAATTCGTCCGTTTAATTTCTCCGAGCGATCGCGAATTCGAGTTTGATTTGAATTTCCTTTTACCGGAAGGCTTCTTTGGGGATTTTAGTTGTGCTATAGTTTAACTAACTGATTGTATTCTAATAAAGTAGATTTTTCTATTAACTAAGGTAGACTGGGGCAAATCGGTTGTAAAATTTGAATAGTTCAAATTAAATCCTTAAAATGTGGTTTTATTTTTTCTCTTATTAGAAATGCTGATACCACATTAAATTCACAACTTCCTTAATTAAAGAATCGAGGTATTAAAAAGATTTTTTTTGAAAAAGGAAGAAAACGATTTTACATATTTTTTTTAAATGTTGATAATATGTTACATTTACCCCCTACCATGGGGTTCATTGGGGGCAATTGTAAAAAAATATTTGGTTCCTCTAAAATTTGATATGCTGTTTATTTATTTATTTCAAAAAAATAACAGAGCTACAAAATAATAAAAAAAATAAGAAACAAATCCAGTCTAATGCACAAAAGAACTATAAAAATAATAAAAACATAATAGGTAAAAATATTACATTTACCCCATTTTTATATTTGCCCCAGTCTACCTTGTTCGTTTCTATGTAGATTAAAAATCTTCATATTTTACTGTTTTTGTTTACTTCACATTTTTTGCCATTTTCTTTTAGAATACATCCACTAAAAACGTTCCTATTTTCCTCGTTTTCCGCGCATTTTACGAGGACGCCAATAAAATTCAAAAAAAAAAGTATCAAAATAAAACGTCGGGCGGCGGCGGCGGCGGCGGCGGCGGCGTTGAAAGTGACTCTCGAAATATTTATTTTCACCGTTCACGCGCACGGAAATCCATTCAAACACCGCCAGTCAGAATGCGAATTTCGCGTTATTTACATATCTACCCTTCAACCTCTCACGTACAACCGTTTTTATAAAATTTCCCTTTCGACCGGAATCGAAAGGTCTTTATTCAAATCGAACGGACCTTTCGGGTTTTTTGGTCCTACTCTACACCATTCATTAGCATCATCCGTTAGCCTTACCTCCTCAGCTGTCTGTTGGACAATATGACGCCCATCAGGGCCAGATTGGCCGCCATGCCCATCGCCCCCAAGGCGAATATCAGGACCGCCTCCGCCTCACCGCCCGGATGGCATTGGAACACTTTGGTGGCGTTCAGGCTGCTGTTGGCGGCGCTCGATCCGAACCGAAGGTTGGCCCCTATCATCGCTACCGCCGATCCTGCGAAAATACCAAACTTTCATTGTTATTCGATCGATCGAAATTGCTCTTCAATCGTTCAAGATGCAAGGATATCATTTTAGTCGCGTTTTATCCCATTACAAGCACTCGAGCCTCATTTTTCACGGTTTTAGCCTCATTTTTCACGGTTTTAGCCTCATTTTTCACGGGTTTATCCTCATTTTACACGGTTTTAGCCTCATTTTTCACGATTTAGCCTCATTTTTTTACGATTTTAGCCTCATTTTTCACGGTTTTAGCCTCATTTTTCACGGTTTTAGCCTCCCGGAGACCTCCGAGAACCTCGATTCCTGTTAGCTCTTGCTTTATCGGGACCTTTATTCGTGTTTTTTTTTTGTTATTATTTCATTCGAAGTCGAGTCGAAACGAATTCGTCGAAGCTCTTACGAAACGAGAATGAACTATTGTTTTTCCCGAAACCGGAGTACAAACGATAATAGAGACATTCGTTGGGAACAGAACGTGGTAATTAATACGCGAAATTTGCATGTTAACGAAGCCATTAAGGTGACTGAGTTGTTAAAGCTCTTAATGTTCATCATAAACCCCGAGTTAGGAGTATTTAACATCGATTATAATGGGAGTTCATATACTCTAGCTAATGATTTTCTTGATTTATATATAGATTTTCCAAAGTCGACACATTAATATCTCTTTCTTAGTGTATACAAATAAGATTATATCTTGCCTGATAGAGGCAATTTTTATTTGATGTTCAAATCGGAGCGAATCGCTTGAATAATTACCTATACTGGGAGATTCTATCGCGCTAATTACACATTGAAATTTTCATTTCGAACGGCGAGTTTCGAAAACAAAGCGATCCACTTTAATCAGATGAAAACGCGGAGGAATTTGTCGAAAATCCAACGGGAATGATTATGTCCGGTGACAGGTGGTTCGTAATTAATGAATTTTGCCGTTTTGTAATTAAGATTCATTAGAAGAGGTCGGCCCTCTTTCAATCATTCATTATACCCGTCTGAATCGTTTGCTTTCAGCGATGGTTTTTTATTGTGAATTACTTATTTGAAATTAGCTTGATAGGGTTATTCGTTTTATAAAAAGCTTCTATTTGATAATTGTTTGAAAACGTCTTGAATTTTGTATTGTACAGTGGCGAGAAGTTGGTTATAATGGATCCAAAATTATTGTGTCTAAATTTTCTTTATACCAAAAACGATAGATTAGAAGATTCTTAAGAAAACAGACTCATTCTAAAATTCATCTGAACCCCGTTTCAATACATTCCCAATATCCCCCTATTCGATCTAAATCTCTAAACCATTGGAATCGCGATCGGCCGTTTTTAAAGGCGCCCTTATCGCGAGATAAATAATTATTTTATCGATTTCCCCGGTAAATAATCGGAGCCCCGTCGAGGCGGAAAATATGTCGTTCTTTAACCTTATCGGCGGGAAAAGAGCGAGGAAAAGGATAATGCGATGGCGAAAATTCAATCGACCTAGTTAGTCTAGTCGCATTTTTTTTTGTCTCGAAACCGATAGCGTCGAACGAGCCTACCATTTTTTTCTTTTTTTTTTAGGAATTGGGAATTTTGATCGGTTCGTTTTTAACCGAACCGAGGAAAAAAATTGGCGCTACGTAAGAGGGTGCTTTAATAAACTACTTTACATTTACATTGCCTTATTTTTATTCTACATTGCGCCATTTACATTATCGATAAAAATCCAATTATCTGCGCGTAATGAGTATTTTTTAACCGACGAATTTCGTTTTTAATACACCGAGTTGGTGGAAGAAATCAATTTTCTAGTAAATTAGTGCCCACATTTGTGGAGGCTGAAGCAATTTAAAAACCCTTTTCTTCTCGACCTAAAAAAGCTAATATTGTTCGCTCGCTTTTACCGAAAACTATATTGTTTTCTATTATGAGCCCGTCCAGTATCGGGGCTACTGAAAGCTAGTATAAAATCACCGTCGATAGATAAATCACGTCGAAAATGATTTTGCATTGTGTTGGAAATTATATTCGAAGTGAAAGGGGGGGGCTTTTTTTTCGCAAATAACATAATTGGCATGGGAAACGAAACGAAATTTTTGTTTGCTGCTGGAAATTGGGTAATAAAGCGACTAAAATATCGCAGTAACAATGTTTGTAAAGCATTGGAAGTTTTATTACACATATAATTTCGTAGTGGCGATTATTTTTATTCGATGTGGATCTCAAAATTTCCACAATTTTATTTGTAATTTCCTGAAACGGCGGAGTTGTCTTTTTCAAAAGTTTTATCTCGGCCATAAATTTCCTACCCATTATTTTTATCGGCTTTAATTTTCGACATTTAACTAGATATTTGCTGAAATGGATCGTCGTAATAGTAAACCCATGAAAAAATTAACGGGAATAATATATTTTATATGTGATATCGATTCTGAAGAGTATATCAATATCGAATCAACCCCAATGCGAGGATAAAGAATAATATTTTTCGACTTTGGAAGTTATTATTTCGACAATGACTTATCCATCACACAAAGCAATATCTTCGATGTCTGCGATGGATTGTAATATATCAAATTTAAACGAAATAACGTTTTCTGTTTGAATATTTCATTTCATTGTTAACTTTGCCAAGTTTCACTTTGACGCTTTTTCGCTTCACCAGATTTATCTTACACCGAACGAAAGAGGAAACAAATAAATCGTCCATCCGCCAAACCTAAAACGCTTTATTTTATATAAAACAAACCCCAATCGGTGCATCCAAATAATTCGTTCCCTCCGTCGTAAAAATTCACAGGCGTTTTCACCCTCGAAATGCGAAACCGGCAATCGTGTAAAAAAAAAAATCGGAACGATTTTTTCGACCCGACACACTTACATTGAGCCCAACATCGTCGTAATGATTTTACAACCAACACCGGAACAGTTAAATCGCTTCGGGGAAATTGGAAATGTTTTCCCACCATCAGCCTCCCGCTTCGGGACATTGCGATTAATGTATTAATGCCACCACATTTTCATTCTGTTCGATATACCTACCTACAGTAAAATCAATTCGAATAGAACCTCTTTTGAGGATTTTTTCCGACTAGGTAAATTGATGTTCGCGCTTAAATAATTTCGGAGATTATCCGCGGTATTTAAAGAGCTAAACGGTGTAATTTTCGACGGGTTTAAATCGGGAATCCGGACCATCTTTAGAGCGCTTCAACTCCCGTTTTATCTCCCATCCGGTGGGCTCCTGCAGGTGACAATACACACGAACTATTCGCCTCGTTATCCGACGAATGAACTACTCCCTGTTCTGACAAACGAGGCGAATTTATGGAAATTTGATCGCTTGATAAATCGAGCGATTAATAGGGTCTCGATTAACTGACTCTATATGCGCGTTTTCGAATTACAGATGTGATATTAAATTTGTTGCGGTTGGGAAGCTAAGCGATTTAGTAAAACATTTTTTACTCTCGAAAGTTCGGTGGTTTTTTTTTTTCGAATTATTACTTTTCTGACACATTTTCCCCGTCCGTTACGACGCTCGGTTTTTGTGCTATTAGCCCGAAAAAAAATTTGCAAGCTTATCCGAAAAGCTCGGGGTGTTATTGGCGCGAGAAAATGATCCTTTTATGGATTCTAGGCATTATCGAACAGACAAAAAATCATTCCTAATTTGTTTAACAAGAATTTCGATCAGTTTAGAACATATTACAAAAAATTATTGTACTTGTATTTACTACAAACAACTTGGTATGTTGCGCATTAAAAAGTTACGCTATGAAGTTATAAAACGATCGTTTGACAAATTCGATAATAAAAATTTTATGATGCACTACACAGCTCTAAAAAGAGAATTTCGCGAGAAAACCTCAACGTAGAGTTTGTTCAGTAAGTTAAGTAACAAATGTCCCGGTAAGGATAACATATAGAAGGATGCATAATGCATAACGTCGACTAAAAAGTATATCCTCGGTGAGATTATTCAAAAACGTGACCGAACATATGCAAAAACTGTAATTCATATACCTCGTTTCGATAAAAAAAACTATCATGAATTATTGATTCCAATTCGGATACAGAATTTAGTTCGATATGCATAGGAACTAATCGATTGCCCATTCGACATGCAAATCCAATCAATGACATCGAAATCGGCGAAAATTGATTGAGTTCCCGCCGAACAAATTATTTTACCAACAGCGCCGATATATCGCCGAATTTTTGGAATATCAAAAAAAGCGATAAACATCTGCAATTCCAAGTAATCCGAAAGTATCTAATTAACCGGCATTTCGCTTGATAATCACGTAATCCGGAGCCTTCCTTTGGACTCCTAATCAAGCGGAGTTTTTTCACGGGGAATCCCCGATGGGGCGCTTTAAGCCTTCGCAATTAATATCGTTGTACAACAGTCTTGATGAAATTTAACGTGACTGATGTGAGTACATCAGGCTCGAGATAGAACAAAAGTCGAAATTTCACCTGCCCCAGGTCGAGCCGGTTTAAACCGGATTTATTACGGCGACGGATCCTCGTTCCGGTGACTTCCCTAAGAATTATTGTATGGTAGAGATAATAATAAGTTGGAGAAATGAGAGTTGAGAAATTTATATTTATTTGTATTTTTTTTGGCGGTGGTAAATTGGGCGCTGGATTGTTTCTGGTAGAGAAGAGGATTATTTGAGTTCATTGCAAACTTTAAAGATATTGAAAAATGTTTGCATTGTTTTAAAAATTAGTAAAAAAAGTACAGAAGGAAGTAGAAGAATGTTTTCTTTATTCTTCAGTAGAATGTTTTCTTTCTTTAAAAATCAATAAAAAAGTACAGAAGGAAGTAGAAGAAGAGTAGAAGAATGTTTTCTTTCTTTAAAAATCAGTAAAAAAGTACAAAAGGGAGTAGAAGAAGAGTAGAAGAAAGTTTTCTACTAAAGCTGAGGCAATTTTCTAACGACACAAAACTTGTGTTGAGTCGACTGCAAACTATCAGATACACCAACAGACACTCGTTATTTTTTTGCTGTTGTTGTTAGGGAAAAGTTGTAAACTCGAATATTTCGCAACCTTTCTGACGTTCATTAATTTCCCTTTCATGCGATTTAACAAATTACGCCTTTCCAACTTCTTTTTCCGCCGGATGAAAAACCACTTCCGCTCGGTGATTAGACTCTGCGTCCGAAGAAAATCGCCCGTTTTCCAACTTTCCCGGCCGCATTTCCTCGAATACCTCACCCGTCTCGTTAATTTCGTCGGCTTAAAAGGTTTTTTTTTTATATACCGAATATTAATATTTCACTGTTATTAGCTAATGTTATTCGCTTGTAGGTTTACAACCGCTACAAATTTCTCTATAGTATCACTATCGCTGCCAATATAATTTATCCGAGCATTACCGGATGTTTATCTAATTGCCCATTCGACACATGCAAAATGCAGATTGTTCTCGATAGCGTCTCTCCCTATATACATGCAGATGTATAATTTTCCATAATTCAATAATCCTGCACCGACTGTTATTCCTGTATATGTCCAGAGAACGATAACAACGATAGCGACATGCAAATTACTTTTCTATTCGAATTTTTCGAGTCGCCTCGAATCGCTCATTCCTATAGCATACCAAATGAGCTTCGAACGAGGACATTCGGAGGAGCTCGAAAAAGGATAATTTGATGAGAAAAAAATCGGCCGGGGGTTTTCTCTGTATAAAATATTCGAATGATTTGAATGGAATAAAAAGTATTGGGTTCGATCGATGATGTAATTTGTGTACGAATTGGATTTAATTAAAAAAAATCGATATTATTCTGCATTATTCTTTCTAAGAAGTTACTAATTTTGAGTTGTAAAAATCTCTGCTATCGCATCGAATTAATTCGTGTTGAATCGGTAATATTTCCCGGGCCGTTTCGCTTAATGCATTAAAAAGCGGAAGGGTCAATTAAATCCGGAAAAAGGGCGTTTAACTTACCGAACGATTCAAGGAAATGGATCGAAAGCGAGGCGGCAAAAAAACCGGCCGGTTTTTTTCCGGTTTTTTTTTTGTACAGCTGACGACTTTGGGCAAGTTTGCTCATAACGTCGAGCAGGAGTTTGAGCCGCAGCAGTTTGAGTTTAATTACTTTCGAACGATTTTCGGCGTCGCCGTAAAAAGATAAACTTGTATAAATTAATCTAATCGCGAACTACATATTGTTTCTGTGCTGTTTTCGCTCGAGATAATCGCAGTCGGGATTTTCGTTCGGTAGTTTTTGTAGTAAAATTAATTTGATTCCACGTTTGCGGTTCAGTTTTCCAATTAGAAAAGTTCCGTTTTTTTTAATTTGACCTGCTCTAAGTGATATGTGTGGACTGGAGTTGTTTTTTTTATCAGCGAGTTTTCTCTATTTATTTTCAATCAATCTTCAGGGACGGTTGGATTTTTTTTATAGGATTATTCGCGAAGTGAAATGCATTGAAAAAACTCGAAATATACTCACCAGCCGCCATGTTGGCCTTCCTTTTTAAATCCACTTTTCAAAAACGGACTCGCCGCAATCAATCACATCGTACAAAGGCGGTTTTTTAACGCTTTTTCATATCGTTTTTCCATCGCACGTTTAATCTCGATAATTTAGTCACGTTTCGATGCAGCTAATTTTTTTCTCCTGCAACAAAAAAATGTTATATTTGAATAACGCGAATCTTACAGCATCCCTGAAAAACTCCACTGCATTATTAAGAAACTAATTTTATATGCAGTACTTTCATTTTGTTCAAACTTTAATTTACCAGGGTAGTAGCCAAGTTGTTGTTTGAACCAACAACGGTGTTGATTAGATTCGAATTTAATTACAAGCAAAATTTTCGTTGTTACAAAAGGCAACTAATTAGCTTTATTAAAGCGGGCATACACATGTGTAAATATAAAACAACAACCGGATTTATCGAGCTCACCTGAGTGGAGACGCGAAATAAAACTAAACATCCCTTTTAGTATTCATCCCCGGCCATTATGAGTATACCTAAAAATCCCTTTCTACTCGACGAGAAACGGCGAATCTCCCTTTGTTTCGAGCTTTCCAGATTTCCCGCGTACGAATGATGCCTTTGTAATAGAATTTCTTTATTCATTAACCGCCTCGCTTCGTTGCGAAAAAAACGTAACAATCTAGCAAACAAGCCCGGTAAACCGGGAAGGATTTTCGCCGGGAATTTCCTTGAAATAATCACTGCTCGTTGCACCTTTGAAATTAATTACTCGAGTACACGTTTATGCGAGTGTTTTAGTAGTAAAAAAACAACTTAATCGTCCTCGATAAATTCGGATTTATTGTCGATGAAATAAACCCTTTTTTGTCGACGAAACGGTCGCGTATTTACCCGGATTTGACTCGGCTGTAATTCACACAAACGCCCGTCATTCGACGAACTATACCCATAAATTTTATTGCTGCATATCAAACAGAACGGGCGGAGAATTCGCGTTTGGGAGCCAAAACTAGTTCGGCGGAGATTGCTAACTAACTTAGGCGTTAGTTCGGAAAGGTTACCGAAATTTACTTAATTATATTCACCCCATGCAGGGGTCTTTCTTTATTAGATTAAATTTTAAACACTATGATATTTAACCGATGGATATTTCTCTGTTTTTGGATCCTAAAATTGGCTCTTTTTAGATAAATAACTCTATCAGATGAATGACAGAATATCATTTACCCATCCTATAGATTTTGATAGGTATTAGGTAACAGCTTTTAGAAAAATAGTAATTTAATTCGCCCTTGTTTTCGCGACTCGAATTTGTTGTTTTTCGCAACGTAAACATTTAATTCTATTAGCATCGTTCGCGGCAACTTCGCCGGATTCCGCAGAATCCATCAGGAGAGTTCCATCCTCGAAGACTAATTCGTTTTCGATGTTTCGCCGTCGTCTATTTTCTTTGTTTAAAGGATCCGCGAGAAAGTTTGCGGAGTATGCGCTCGAAAGTGAATTGGATTGCAACTTTTTTTTTCAAATAGAGCGAGGATTTTCGATGCATTTAAATGGGTTTAGTTGATTAATAGTCTATTAATATTTTAGTTGATAGATTAATAGTTTAGTTGATACAATGTACTTTGGTGCATGCGATTTCGAATCGATCAAAAGTGTCTAGAAACTCTTCGTATACACACGAACAGATTCGTTTAAATTAACAGGCAAATGGAGCGATATTCTAGACACGCCAGTCGAAATTTGGAAATGGAAAACAATCGGATCTTTTGGAGCGAGCGGCGTGTACACGTCGAGATATAGACTTGGATGGGGCTCCTGCAAGAAGCATCTCCTCGATTCGCTCGAGTGTGAAGCGTTATATTTCGATTTTACGGTTCATAATCGAATTGTCGTGTACTGGTTTGGTTATTACGAGAGGCGGGATGGGATGTGTTTCAATTGGATCGTACGCCGGATTTTATTGGAGTTAATAAATTGGATATATGGACAGTCGAAAGTGCCGCTGGGCTAATTAATTTCGGGATCATTAGATGCTCGATAATGGGAGGGTGTCTAATAGAGTTGATTAACATGCGGGTTATTAGCAGTTTAATTTGTATGTATTATTGAATTCGGTATTAGAGTAGAATTAAGAGTTTTAGAGTAGAAAATTCGCTTGTATTTTTACAGTTTCTTTCATTCAAATCGCTATTTTGTTAACGATTATTTTGCAAGTTCAAAAAGGCTTCCTCTGTTGATACTTCAAATACTTCACTGTTGGCTTTTCCCTTCCGTTTTGAGATGCCTCTTACAAATTAATCCTTATTTAAGGCAACTGTAGAAATGGTAATTAATCGAATTCTCGCCTATCCTTTTGGAACCGATCTTAATTAGTAGAAAATGGAAATCGGGATAACGGACGAAAACAAATCGAAAGCTCGAAAGTTCTTCGAACGAATTTATTTATTTTCTCTATTACAAAGCGTAATTCGACGTGAAGTTTCAATCAGAGAAGTGGTGTATTGTGTAGAGTTTCGACTTTCTGACAAGTTTATTTGATAAATTAACGACATTAATTACAACGAGAATTTGCTTAAAAGTTTTGGATAAAATAACAAGGTAAAATTTGGTTTTTTTTTGATATTTTTTATCGAGGTTATCGCGAATTTAAATCTGGAAAGATCTCTATTTCTACGTCAGTTTGCCGATTGCTGCCGTAGAAAACAAGATTGATTGAATCTTTCGATGATTATTTATCGAAGTCGGGGAAAGTGGTTTTTGAATTGAAAAGGCAAACGTTTGTTTCTATAGATTCTACTTTAATTATATCCATACGATTCCTTTTTTTCATTTATTTTTTTCCTATTATGTTGTGTTTATAGAGAAATATTGCAGTAAATTTTCAAAGGGAATATAATTTGGAATATTTTCCAGTTCCATTCTACACGTCATTCGCAATAAACAACGACATACCGCTAAATAGGAAATAAATAATAAATTACCCTACGTACAAAATAAATCCATTTAATGGTTTACCGTAATGCGACGGTTTTGTAATTATTTCCATAGTAATAACATATATTCGATAATTGATTCGTTTGATTTACCGCAAAATTTTTAGATTTCAGCCGGTCAATAAAAAAATCGAGCAAATAACGATTAATACAGAACAGGAAATATTTTATTTTTCAATACCTCAATTCTCACGCGAAAATTATTCCTTTCATAGCACCGACTTCAACTACTTTCCAACACCATTATAAATTTTTTTCTCCGCGACAAATTATCGAATTGCTCGTCGAATTTTCAGCCCAAACCCGCGCTCGACACATTCACCGTAAATTCGTATAAATTTATCGCGGAAAACCCGTCGGAACGGCGCCGTTCAGTGCATGTTTTCCGACCGAAATTCGCAATGATACTGCAAAGGATTCTGTGCGGGACTCAGAAACGCCTCTTTCGCTCTATCCCGCTACACGATGAACTTCCCAACACAACTTCCCTCGAAGGAATTTGCTAAAAAAGCGAACCTAAATTTCATACAAATAAAATCATCACAATAATTATAGCAAATTGAATGTAGGTACAGGAATAGCACGAAGTTGTGGTTTAATTTCAATCGATTTGTGAATAGATTAATTAATTTAAATCCAATCGAATAGGGATGCAATAATTAATATTCACTAGTTTTTTTTTCTAGTAGTGATCATTCCTTTCCTTTTATTCCAGACTGATTATACAAGACATTTGGACGAAATAACCAGAGAAGCCAGGCGTTTATCGACAGAAATAATTCACGATGCTCTATTAGAAGGGAATTTCGAACACGTTCTCAAGATAATGCAGCACTGGGAAGGTTACCAACGAATTTCAGGTGAGATTTTCTATTTTCTATGGCGCTTTTGTGGACTTTAAAATCTCCACATTCATTCGAAAACAATAACGCGAGAATTACAACAACGATTTAAACGAGTTTTTAAACGCGATTTTCAGATACCCCCAACAAGCTAATGGACCAAGAAATGCAATTATTCCTGCGGAAAATATCGAAACAAACCGAAATCTTGCAGCTAATCCGAACCGACGACAACGAAACGGTAATTAACAAATTAGAAGAGCGATTACAGAGCATTCACAAATCGGTCAAGACCCACTCGTCAATAAACGCCGGCGGTACCTTCGAATGGGTCGATTCCGTGTTAATCCAGGTGAGAATTTTCTTATAATCCCTCTATACAACAACAGCTCCGATTAATCCATCGATTATTTGTAAGAATTTTCTTATAATCCCTCTATACAACAACAGCTCCAGTTCGATCCATCGATTATTTGTGAGAATTTTCTTATAATCCCTCTATACAACAACAGCTTCGGTTAATCCATCGATTATTTGTGACAATTTTCTTTATAATCCCTTCTACAACAACAGCTCCACTTAATCCATCGATTATTTGTGAAAATTTTCTTATAATCCCTCTATACAACAACAGCTCCGGTTAATCCATCGATTATTTGTGACAATTTTCCTTATAATCCCTTCTACAACAACAGCTCCTGTTAATCCATCGATTATTGGTAAGAATCTTCTTATAATCCCTCTATACAACAACAGCTCCGATTAATCCATCGATTATTTGTGAGAATTTCCTCATAATTCCTCTATACAATAACAGTTTTAAATCCTTGGATTGTGATTATTTCGCAGTGCCTGCGAACCGGCTCCTGGCTGTTGATCGACAACGTGAACCTGTGCAGCTCGGCCGTTTTGGACCGATTGAACGCCCTGCTCGAGCCCGGCGGCGTCCTCGCCGTCACCGAGCGCGGCGTCGACGCCGACGGCGACGTCGTCCAAGTCGCGCCCCACCAAGACTTCAGGCTCTTCCTCACCATGGACCCCAAAAACGGCGAAATATCCAGGTCAGAATCGCTTTCAATTAACGAATCGCTGCGAAGCGGTGTTTACCTAAACATTGAACCAACCTGTTACAAACTGCACAATTTTAGAAAGTATCTCCGTCGTAGCGAATGCAAACTTACATTCCACGAATGAAATTAACGGAATATGCGTTTCAGAGCGATGAGAAACCGCGGCGTGGAGATCTACGTTTTGAACGACAACGAGCTGGAATCCAGCAACAAATTCGACCGCATCAGCCTGGTGGAACTCGAAGGTTTATCCAGCCCTTACACCGAACTAACCGTGGATCTCCACGACGCCGTATCCCAACTAATAATAGGCGAGAAACCCACGGTCAACGAGCTGGTGCAACTGGCGACTCTACTAGCCCAGAAATTCAACCACGCGGTCGATAAAACCGAAGCTTTGTTGGACACTTTAACAGAAGTTTATTACAAGAGCAGATCGCCCGGCGAATTCGCCTGCGCCGATTTCGCGGCGGCGATGCGCGCGCATATCGCCTCGCCGGCGGTCGTCGAGCTCGCGCAGCGATTCCTCAGCATGAGGACGCGGGAGATCTCGCGCGACGCTTCGATGGAGCAAACCCGACAGCGATCCGTCCTGCTGTTCGATCGCTTACAGGGCGATGATTTAGCAGGAATCGACGCGAGTTTGCTGCATTTGCTAGTTAGCTTCTACTCGTCGGCTTCGCCGGAGGATTTGCGCTTGAGGCACGCTTTCGTTAGGGAGAAAATCGCGATGGACGCCTCCGGGGATTTCAAAGAAGCTTTGGTGTTGATCAGCGATCGATTCTTCGGGTGTATCGGCGGATTCGAATGCGACCAGGGGTTACCGGTGGATAAGAATTGGATATCTAGTAGAGTGTTGGATGATGCGATGAGCAATCGGGTGAATTTGGGTTTGTACGCGCTGGTTCATCAGGCGAGGGTTCAGCTCGAGTTGCATTCGAAGTCGGGCGGGAATTTGGATTTCCGAGGGGTTTCGAAGCCTCCCAAAGGCAAGAACATCACGCTGATGGAGTATGCTAGGTTGGTGCAACAGAGGAAGGTCGAGGATAAGTTTAATGATGTCGTGGTGAGGAGTTACGCGGATTTGCACGATAAGTTCGATTCGTATTTGCTGGGGGTTTCGAGTAAAATTAGCGAGTTGAGCGACGATGGTTTGGTGGAAGTGTTCTACGCGATATTCTGGAGGTATAAATTTTTCTGTTGTTTCACCGGGAAGATCAACGATGAGGATGTGAGAGACGTCGTGAATAATTTGTCGGTGCATTACAAGTGGTTTTATAAATACTCTTTGAAGAATTTGACGAGTCTTACGAAGGTGCCGATCGATGGTGATTTGGAGCGTATTTTGGTTGATATAAATTCGAAATTGGACAGGCAATTTTCTACTATGTACAAATTGGCGAAGAACTATCACAAATCGAGCGATCCTCCGCCGCCGTTCACCACGAAAGAGCAGCTGGAAAATTCGAAATCCGCCTACGATTTGATCTCCTTGTACGATACAACCCGCAAAGGAATCGACCCAATCGCTGCGTTAAACGCTTTCAACGATAATCGGAGACTGCGAAGCGCCCTTTTGGAATTAAAATCGGCCGAAAACGTGCCGGAATTGCTCGAGGAGTGCAAGCGAATCGACGGAGGAGAATCGCTATCGAAATTCCAGCTGCAATTGGTGCCGATTTTCGATGTATTCGCTCGACTCGAAATCAAAACCGCCTTATTCACCAACGACTCGATCGACAACAATTCGATACCTATAAACTTGGCAGCGGTGCTAAGGGTGTTTAGGGAGACCAACGATGATAGACTGTTGCACGAAATATACAAGTGTTATTACAATTACCTGATGAATTCGCCTTCGGTGAGGCCGGGGGCGTTTTTGGGCGACGATAAGAACGCGGAATTGAACGAAATCAACCCGAAATTGACCTACTTATTAACCGGCTTGTTGTCGGACGTCGGAGAGGAAAATTTCCGAAAAATTACCCTCGAAAATTTCAGAGATTTATCCACGCAATACCGATCGATGCACTCGATACTATGGAGGAATGTCTACCAGTTGTCGGAGAGGCGCTATTCGTTTGTGTAAGTACATAATTATCATTTTATCGCTAGAATTACCTTATAAATTTACCATCTATCTTTCAGTCGCATCGAAAAGGCCAACGTCTCGGCCATTTACAACAAATTCCTGACGAATTTCTCAGATTCGCTGAAAATCGACACGAGAATTCATCAATTTCCCATCGAATTAACAACAGCAATCATCGAGACTTTACAATCGCTGGAAACCTCCCCGACTTTCGTGGACCCTCGACGAGAAATCCATCGATTAGCCCACTCGCTGCTCAGATGCTCCGAAATTCACGCGAAATTAACCGCCAGCGGCGAAACCACCGTCGCTTGCATCGAATTAATATCGGAATTGTACATGAGAATCGGCGGCGCGAAGGCGGCTTTCCACGGCAAACTTCCCGCCGTCGATCCGCTGATGAAAAAATCGATCAAAAGGAACTACTGTCGGGAGGCCCGCGACGATTTCGCCCTCGCCAAAACCTGCTACGAGAATTTGAACCGGATTTGCGGCTGCGACGAGACCACCAGCCATCCCTACTGCATCCCTTTGGAGAGGATGATGGGGAAATTGGACCGGAAGCGATCCGATTTGAGCAAATACGTGGCTTACAGACCGAAGGATGTTTCCTACCAGTCCGTTTTTCAAGTAAGAATGCTGCAAACTGTTAAATGGAATTTATTTCTTTGGTGATTTTCAGGTGATTAACCACGCTTTTTCTACCATCATGTCTGAAGATTTGTTAGAAGACGAGAGAACTAACGCTAACTACCTAGAAAAATTAACAAATAAAGGTAAGTAGATCTATATTAGAGTACAATTCCTCGAGTAATCGAACTTGTAGCCCCATTTTTCGCCCATTTAATCCCCTCGAATTCACCCACGTTTTCCTCTACTATTTTTTCGCTCGTTTCCAGTTCCGAGCTACGAGAATTTCATACACGAATTGAGCCAATTCAGCGCCAGTTACCCCGACATCGTCGAGCCGTTGCTGGGCAGCGCCTCGGAATTCCTCTACGGGCTCAAATTGCGCCTGTCTTGCTCGAAATTTACCGCGGAGAAAATCGATTCCGATCGCGCGAGATTCGTGAACTGCTTGATAGGATTTCCGGTTATCAACGAAACGTGCGAGAGTTACGAATCCTACGTGGAGTTGCTTTGCAGTAAAGGAGTTGAAAGATTTATCGGTGAGGTTTTGGATGATTCGGAGCGACCTTACGTTAAGGAACAGGAGAGTTTCAGGTGGGTGAGTTTTAATTTTTTTTTGGTGTATTTTTTATAGGTTTTGATTGGTGTTTTAGAATGCTGAAAGTGGCCATTCGAGAGAGTTTTAATAGCGCTGTGGCGAATTCGAAAATCAACGATAATCTACTGACATCGGATTTCGAAATTTTCGACGGTCTAATAAACCGATTCGTTGAATCCTACAACGCCCAACAGGAACAAAACGAGAAGAAAAAAGAAGAATCCGAAAGTTTGTACAAGATCAAGTAAGTTCCCTCCTCTACTCTCACTCAAACTCCTCATTAAACTCTATTCGAAGGACGAAACTGGACGAAAAATCCGACGAAGAAAAACTCCAAGAAGATTTGCAGAAGCTGTTCTCCAATCACCACGACGCCGATTTCTCGGATTTCCAACGGACTTCCGAGCCAATTCCAATCGACGATTCTTCCACCGTCAATTACCAAGAGGTAATTTCCTTCGAGGATTTAAAGGAAGTGGTGCTGCTCCACACGGGGCTGCTCAGAAATCTCACCAGATGCGAATGGCTGAATCCTCGAGCTGCAGCGCTCGAGGCCGATCATCTGCGACCTCTGGCGGAGAAGTTCGAAACGTTTTCGAAAATCTTAGGGAAGATTATCGCCGGTGTTAGTTGGACTTTGGACGAGGAGTCGACGGGGAGTTTGAATATTATGCTAAATGTTAAGAGGAATTACGAACAAGCCGGTGTAGCTTCGAACGATTTTTACAACGGTTCCAACGTGGAAGAAGTGAAATCTTGTTACCATATTTTGGAGGAATTGAAGGTTAAAATCAACGAGTTGTTGGAGGAATGGCCTGATCAACCTACTTTAAAAACGGTACTAACTATTATCCATTTCTTAGCTACAAAATTAATTGTTTATTTCATAGATTATTACCGTTATCGAGAGAATTTATACGTTCGAAATAACCAGTCCTATTTCGAGATTTCTAACCGGCTTCGAGATCCTTCTGAGCAAATGCCACGAGTGGGAGGAAGTCGCCCATTCGGGCGTCAGTTTGAGCCTGCACTATCAGAGCCTCACCGCTCAAATCGTCCATTGGAGGAAACTGGAATTGTCCATGTGGAAGAAACTTTTACACCGAGTACACGACAGGTAACTCCTCGATTTATGCTTAATTATTCCGCTCAATTTTCTCTCGATTCAGATTGAACGAATCCTTGCCGAAGTGGTGGTTGCATTTGTTCAACACGCTGCACCAGTTCGTTTATTCGAAGCGATTGGGCGAGAAGGAATTGATCGAAACCCTGCAGACTTTCATCGCCAAATCGAGCTTGGCGGAATTCCACGGTAGATTGGATTTGTTGTACGTGTTCCATTGTCACGCCGTGATTCTAAACAGAAACGTGAATTGCGAGGCGTTTATTAACGTGCTGTGGAACACGTTCGTGTATTTCCGGCAATTCGCGAAGAATATCGATAGAGGAATCGAGGTGAGTGTGCGCGAAAATTAAGATTATCGGTGGTGAATTTTTTTGGGTTTTTTTTTTAGGATTCGAGGAAGCCGGTGGAGAAGAAATTGAAGGATTACATAAAAATCGTGCGGTGGAAGGACGTTAATTACTTCGCTATTAAGGACACCGTGGAGAAATCGCATAAAATGTTGCACAAATACATGAAGGAGTATCAGGAGAAGTTGGAGCAACCGGTTATGCCGTATTTACATAATGTTATTAATCCAGAAAATGCTTCGAACGCTAAAGGAATAACCGAAATCGACTCTACTCATTATTTAAACGAATTAGAAAAACACAAAGCGAATTTAGCAGACCTCAAGTTAAACGTAAAAAACAAATTTTTGCACTGCACAGAAATCTTCACCGATATACTAAAGAGTTCTTCATACGGAAACAACGTTAAAAAATTGAATAATTTCATTAGTAACATCATCGAAACAAGCACCCACCTGCAACAGTTAGAGGTATTGTTTCATACACCAATCCAAGCGATTTTTTAACGAATTTATTTTTAGGTGGACACAACTTTGGAAAGGAAAAAGCAAAAATCTCAGGCCAAGCATATTTTGCAACAGAAACACCGCGCTTTGGCCGATTTGTTTAAAGCGCTCTCTAAAATGGGTTTATCATACAGAACCGGTTTAGTGGAGACTAAAACGAAAGATCTTACGGCGGATTTCCTCCTGAAACCAGTCGATTTGAGAGCTAATTGCGACTACCATTCTTACAGGTAAATAATCACAAAATGACCCTGAAAGAAAACTTTCTATAGCTTCATTTCAGATCCGAGGAATACAAGAGAACTCTGATCGAGTTGTGGGAATCAGCGGAAACTTATTATGTTAAATCTTTGATGAGATTCGACGTCCTTTCCACAGCTCTAAATAGCCCATCCAAGGACCTCGGAATGCACAATGTGGAAAGATGTAAAGGCTTTGGCTTCCATTTATTGGTAATTATTTTCCATTACCCCGTTATTAATTCAATCCACAATGATGGGATGTTTTTCAGACGCTGGTACAGAAACAAAAAGTCGATCTAACTGAAGCAAGTAGAGCTTATTTCAAGATAAAAACCCATCAAAATCAGCTAAAAACATTCCTGGAAGGATCCGATTACATTCCCTTGGAGTTGACCGACGAAATCGTATCGTTATTGACCAAATTAACGGTAATTGTAGATCAATATCGAATGGTTTTGAACGCTTGTCCCGAAGATGATGCATTGAACGAGGATATATCGGGAGTACCTGTACTGAAATCCGAAGTGGAATGCAGGATAACCCGACGAAACGACGAATTGTGGATCAAAACCACGAATTTATTGAATACAATGCGCAAAAAAGCCGATATTATTGCCAAGGATTTGATTAAATCCAAAGCGGATGTTCCATCTCTAGCGCCTTCGACTCTAACAAACAGATATGTTTCTGTGAAACATTCGAACGAACTAATCGACGATCTGCAAGATTTAATCGAAGATTCCAAAGTGATTAGGGGAATATTTAACAACATTAAATTGACCGCCAGTCTCGCCTATATCGAAAAGGAAATCGATTCAAAACAGCGACTAATAAAGGAATCGAAACACCAATTAGCACCATTAAAAATTGACGATTTAAAAACCCAATTTAAGAGCTTTACGAGAGCAGTTTCATCCCTCACCAAGAAACTGAAAGAACGCGCGAAGGAAGATCAGAAACAACCCGACGAAGAAGAAGAATCAGAAGAAGTTATCGAAGAACACATCAAAAAGCATTTAGTGGAAAACATTTCCGACGATTTGAAGCGCTTGAATTTGAACCGACTCGTCGCCGTTACCGAAACCGCCATTGAATTCCTACTAAAAACCAACCCCGAAGCTACGACAGAAATCAAACCGATCGCCAAGCAATTCCTGCCTCTTCTCGAACAACTAACGTTGATCCTGGGCTATTACATCGCCCAATTGGCGTCCAGTTACAGAGCCACGTCCAAATTGTGCTCGATTCTGCTCAACATCTTCATAGAACTAGCCTCGAAAGTAAGCATCAACACTTAAAGTAACACTACAGCTATTATAATACCTTTTAAATCGTTTAGGGTTTTTGCATACCGCCGGAATTCTCCGAAGAATTCGACGAAGAGGGCATCAGCAAACCATCGGACGGAATGGGTTTGGGCGAAGGGCAAGGAGAAAGAGATGTATCCGATAAAATCGAATCCGAAGATCAGCTGGACGACGCCCAACCGGCCGGCCAGGAAAAGGACAAAGGCGATGATAAAGACTGCAAGGAGGAGGAAAAGGGAATCGAGATGAGCGATGACTTCGACAGCAAACTTCAAGTACAACACCATTGCAGTATTTTTATCCGCTTATTTAACGCATTGTTTACAGGATAAAGAAAAGAACGATGATGATGACGATGAAAGCGAAAGCTCCGGAGACTCGGACGCCGAAGAGCAAATGGGCGAAACCGACAAAGGAGCAGAGCAATCGAACAAAGAAACCTTCGGTGATGACCAAGAACTAGAAGAAGATGGACCTGATAGTGAAGATAAAGACGAGAAAGGTAACGGCGGAGAGAAAGCCGGCGAAGACCAACTGGGAGCCAGCGAAGAGCAATCCGAAAAGGAGAAAAACGACGACGAAGACCCCACCGACGGCAAAGAGAAAAACCACAAGGAAATCAACGAGATGGAGGAGCCCGAATACGACGACAACCAGATCGATCCTCATCACGGCAACCAGCCGGAGTTGCCGGAACCCGAGCCCATGGATTTACCGGACGACGTGCAGCTCGACGATGGCGATCCGAACGATGAAAACGATCAGAATCAAGAGGAAAATCCGTTCGATATCGACACCATGAAATCCGACAACGCGCCCGACGAGAAAGAGGAGGACACACCGGAGGAGAATCCGGACGAACGGGCGAAAGACGACGAAAGAAACTTCAGCAGCGATGATGAAGACGTGGAGAAAGGCGAAAACCAGGACGAGCATCTTGAAGAAGACGCCGCTCGAAAAGAAAAATCAAACGAAAAAGACGAAGAAGCCGATGATGAATCGGATGTTGCAAGCGAAATTGGTAGCGAATCCGGCTTGGATAACACTCAAAGTAATCAAGATAACATCGAAGCGATGGATGTCGATGAATCCGAAGCTGCCGATAAGGTAAATTATTATCAAACTACTCCTGCACTGTTTATATCATTCCCATTTAGGCTCAAGCTAGCAAATCGAACCAACAATCGAACCAATCCACCGAGGAGGTTCAGCAAGAAGACAAACCTGATCAAGAGGGCGTCGGGCAGGCGCAAATGGAGGAGAGCCGATCCGGTCACGCCGCTCAAACATCGGCTCCGCAGGAGACCAAAACGGCCAAAGACAACGCCGAGGAAGAGCGGAAACGAAGGCGCAAACCCGGCGAATCGGATTCGAAGAGAAGCTTAGGCGACGCCGATCAACCGGCGAAGAAGAAACTGAAAACCGTCGATACCGAAGCGAATAACGACGGCGATAACGTTGATGATGAAGCTGAGGAGTACCAGCATATTCGCGAGGCAGAAAAGACCAAAACTCAGGTAAATTCTATGCAAAAAAAATAGTATTTTTCTAAGTGTTTTTTTTATAACAGGTTCTCGATGTAGCCACTAAAGAACAAGCGGAAAGCCAACGCAAAGAACTCCGCCACGATGAGGAAAATGCAGATGAGGAAGATGAAACGTTGGAAGCATCCAAAGATGTACCGTCAGATGAAGAACAAGACATCGAGCAAATTATAGATAATACAGTTGAACCAGAAAAAACCGGCGAATCGCTGGAGAAACGCAAAACCAAACAGCAACATCCAGACGGCGACATCACCGAAGATCTACAAGACGTCCGAATCGATGGAGAAATCGTCGACACCCAAACAGTCGCCCGAAACACAGAAACCACCCATCACACCCAATACGCCAGCTTCAAAGACAAAACCGCCGCGAGATTATCCGCCGAAGAACTCAACGATTTAAGAACCCAAGTAGAAACACAACTAGCCGGCTGGAACGACCCGCCCAGCACCTCCGAAGCCGACCGAGCCTGGCAAAAGATATCCTCCATAACGTCCTCGCTCGCCCAAGACCTCTCCGAGCAACTCAGACTGGTCCTGGAGCCCACGCAAGCCACCCGATTGAAAGGCGACTATCGAACCGGCCGCAGGATAAACATGCGAAAAGTCATACCGTACATAGCCTCGCAGTTCCGCAAGGACAAAATCTGGCTGCGCAGGACCAAACCGTCGAAGAGGGACTACCAAATCGTCCTGGCCATCGACGATTCCTCCAGCATGTCGGACAACCGCTCCAAAGAGCTGGCGTTCGAGAGCGTCGCGCTGTTATCGAAGGCTCTGACTCTGCTGGAAGCCGGCCAGCTGGGCGTGCTCAGCTTCGGTGAGAAGGTGGAGATTATACACAAGCTCGCGGAGCCTTTCACCGACAGGAGCGGCGTGAAGCTGTTGCAGAGGTTCCAGTTCGACGAGAACAAGACGGCGGTGGGCCGGCTGGTGGACTTCGCCGTGGAGATGTTCGAGCAGGGAGGCGGAGGCGGCGGAGGCGGCGCCGCGAGGTTGCTGGTGATCGTCGGGGACGGGCGCGGGGTGTTCTCCGAGGGCGAGGAGCTGGTGAGGGGGGCGGCGCGGCGGGCTAGGCTCGCCGGGGTGTTCGTGGTGTTCGTGATCGTGGATAGCGCGGACGGGGGCGGGTCGATTTTGGATATCAGGATGCCGGTGTTCGAAGGGGGGCGGTTGCGGGAGATTAGGAACTACGTGGACGAGTTTCCGTTTTCGTTTTATATTATTTTGAGGGAGATTAAGTCGTTGCCGAGCGTGCTGAGCGACGCCCTGAGGCAGTGGTTCGAAATGCTGTCCAATGTAGATACTTAAACGTTCGTTGTTAGATTTATATAATTAGTTGTTTTAAATGCTTAAATAAAAATAATGGCAAGTTGTTTGTGATTAGTTCCTCGTGACCTACTACTCTATATTTTCGATAGCCACATGTCCAGAAATTAAAAGAACTGAATAGAAAACATCCATCACGGAATCGACATATTAACCTAGATAGACGATTCGAAAACGCATCGATATTAATTTATGTCGGGCAGGCAAATTACCGGCTATCCGAAACGCTTTACAGTCGAGAGTAGCGAAATAGGGCGAGTTTTTTTTGTGTTTGTAAAGAGGTAAAGGGGACACGAAAATGTACACACGGTAAACGTTTTGAATAATGAATAAAAATGCTTCGTTTACGCTATGTTTACGTTGGGTTCGTTAGGAGACAGTTGGGGATCAAGTGGAGTGTTGTAAGATTAATTGAAAATGTCAGGAGTACTATTAATAATTAAATAAATATGCAGGGTGTTAATTAATTGAATGCCGATACTTTAGAATGTGAATATTTGGATGATTTCAAGAAGTACATCCCCCAAGTAGTTCCCCAAATACATCCTGAAGTATCGTTACTCAATTTAACACCCTGTAATTCAAAATCGTTCAAAATGAATCAATCAATAATTGAATCAAAAATAGAAGAAACGAAATAAAAGCGACGTTAAAACCCCAAAAATAATCTTCTTTCTTATTTTACTAACTCATAATATGTCTCTTCTTAACCAGTCTCGAATATTCCTCGAAATCCAAATTACCGTTTCAAGTAAAACGCAATTCTGTTGAAACAAAAAATCGATACCACGATACGAAAATTAGCAAAAATTAAGCGAAGAAAACCCCGTATCGCGTCTGACTCATACACATTCTAGCCAATTATGAAACTCGTCCGATCAGGTGTCAACGACTTCGAATTAATCAAACAAACCACACGTTTTTCTCCCCCTTTAGATCCCACAAACAGGTATGTATCGATCTTCCAAACAATCGCATGTTTATCGCTGGAACACCCCCGAAAAATAATCAATATTTTGTATTGTTCGTGCCGTGTGGAAGCCACTACTTCACTAGTTCCCAGTTCGCAGTTCTCGGTGAAGAGGCGCAGTTTTGTTCTGATAAGATGCGAACCAGTGGGAGAATTTGATTCCCGCTGGGAATGGAGTGGTCGAATCGCGGCGGAGATATCATGAAATTACAAGGCATCAGCAAAGTTTCGCCGGCTTTCTATGAACCGCCTCAAAGGAAAACCAGCGCTGAGATCATCAACGAAGCCAGGCTCGCCATCAGAGGTCGGTCATTCATATACCAAATCATTTTCTTCCCTTCATAAATACTCTTGTACTAAAACCCTGTTAAAGTTTACTGCTAGCTTAACTTCTGCTTTATCGGTTTTGTGATCGGTGGTTTGCGCTGATTGATGGAATTTTTGGTTAAAGAATCGCAAATGACCGACAAGAATTTCGCTCCGCCTTCGATAAAACCCCTGCAAACTCAGAGACCTTACACCCCGAGGGACAAAGAGAGGCTCCTCTTCGGGAACAAAATCAAAACAAACCGTCCGCCCAGCTCATTCAGGTAAGTTTCGTTTCACATCTTGATAGATTTTTTATTGCATTATCTTCACCAAAATCCCTGCCAATTTCGCCAACCTATCGGATTACTCTGGAAAGTTTCATCGAGCAATTTCGATACATTTTGAACAATCAATTATTATTTACCAGGAAAATTACCGCTTTTAATTAATAATAAAGGTGTGGAACAATTCGTTTTCGCATTGTAACCTCGAGCACTATTTGATTCTCTAATGGTAAGGTAATAAGCCCTACCTATTTCGCAAATTGCAGGTAATTTAATTGGTGTAGTAGGTAAAATCAATTTGGAGGCTTTTAAATAAAACGAATTTTCTCTTATCGGTAGGTTCATCCAGTAACCTACATTTTGAAGCAGTGTATTATTAACTGCACTTTTCGTATTGAAAACACGACTCCGATAATTGGATACAAAGCCATTTCAATAAGAAATGAGCGAAAATAAGGAATCCTGAAAACAAAATTATACTCGTACGATGGAGTATATAGTCCAAAAATAGTAATGATAACCACCCGCATGCATAATTCAACGGGGCAATAAAGCGAATCGTGTCCTTATAACCGATTGTAAAATCAATCCCTAATTACGAACGGATTTCTCGGATTCAAATTATTTTCGCTGCATTTTTTGAAACTATAATTTATGAATGTTGCGAATTTTTATGCCCCACAGGAATGAATATATTAATAACGACAAAATAGGTCTTTGGCACGACAATAATTCGTTTGTTGTTCATTTACAACTGTCAAGAACATTTTGATTCTACGCTCTGAAGTATGCAACTTAAAGCACGTTTATCACACCCTTTTTAGTACCTTCCCCAATTACTTAACATTGTAATAATATTAAAAAAAAATGGTTTAGTTTACGTTACCTTCAAAATGAAACCGACATACCGACGACTCCGCCCGACCACAACAACTTGCTCTCGCCGAATCTCATCTCATCGAAGAGCGCCCAAATCGCCGAAGAAACGCCCGGCGAATCGCTCTGCGAAATCAACGACAAAATCTTCAACATCGCCGTCAAAGACCCGCCGCACAAGGTCAAACTTCCCTCGTTGGACACCAACAGGCCGCTGCAGAAGAGGAAGATCCTGAAAAATACATCGCTCGATAAACGTGAGTCGAGCTTTCGATAAAATAACGCTTATTTTGTAACACTCGTTACCGCACCTCTATACCAAAGAACCCGCTCCCACCTCTATTAAATATACGTCACTAACGTCAATTGTGACAGTTTATGTACCATCGAACGCATCTTAAAGTCTCACCTCTAATGACGTACAACGCAAATTAACAGTACCCGAAGAGAACGAGTTCCAGGACGGCCCGAAGGCCGATTGCAGGAAGGCGTTCAGCTCGCCGCAGGAGCGCACCGAGTTCGGCGCCGGGCCGCGCCGCGACCTGGCGCAGTGCCTGCTGCTCGGCGCGCGCAACCTGGAGAAGATCTTCGACAACCGGCAGATCGTCGAGCACTCGCAGACGCTGTTCCTCGACACCGGCTACTTCGCCGGGCGATTGCAGCTCGAAGGGCGGCCGGTTTCGACGGAGAGGACCTTCGAGGAGGTGCTGCTGGAGCTGAACGCCGAGAGCGAGAGGAAGCGCGGCGACGAGAGGATCGTGGAGTTGCTGGAGGAGCTCTACGAGCGCATGGAGAAGGAGGACGTTGCTAACCAGAAGATCGGGTCCGGTTTGAAGATCAGGATACTGAAGTGTTTGTACAAATTCGTCGAGTCGCAGAACGAGCGAGTTTTGATTTGTATTGCGAAAATTATACTATCGGTAAGTAATCCAACTAATCCTTACTGGTGTCGCTTGTACAATCCTCCGTTTTCCAGATTAAAGTCACTGGAAATAATCTAAGCGGTGTCTGTAAACTGATATTCAAAGTTGCGAAGAACGACAAAAACGACCACTTGTTCTTTCAAAATAACCTCTTAGGTAACTCGGTAATTTACAAGATTATTCCAGCATATATTACCTATTAATTTCCAGAATTGTTTCTGGATGCGTTGGGAAGGTCGAGTCCTCTGGACGATGCCGAGGCCTGCGTGTACGGATACGGCGCTGTTAAATTTTTAACAATGAACCAAAAACTGATGAAGAAAATCCTGGACCTGGGCATATTGCAGCTCATGGTGTTGCACATGAAGATCATCAACGTCGCGGTAATTAGTATAGAAATCGATGCAAAGATTCCGGAAGATTGTTCGGCTTTGAAAAGCGCTGAATTGGTTTCGTTTTCGTAGAAAATGGAGAAGAGTTTAATGCCCGATCAGACCCATCATGCATTGTACCAACTGACGGGAGCTTTGAGGCATTTAGTTTCCGAAGATCAAGCCTACGATGGCTTCATAGAATGCGGAACTGTACCGCAGCTTTGTCAAACGTTGGAAATATTCGCTGCCGATATGGATATTGTCGCAAACATTTCGCGAACTTTGAGGTATTTTATTCACCTATTTATAACTTTCTACTACTACATTATTTCCTTCAATATTCTAGCATAATATCCACCAACGAATGCTGTTGCGATGCGATCATCGAGTACAAAAACATCTACAAGGTGTTCATAAATCTGTTCCAGAAGTATCCGGGAAACGAGGAGATTATCGTTCGTTTGACCTACACTTTGGGGAACATCGTTTCGAAGATAGATAATACTAGAGTACAGGTATAGGAGCAGATGATTTTTATAAAGCTTCTAACGTTACCGATTGCAGTTTTTCCACGAGGAAAATTCGGTGGAGAGTCTCGTGCACTTGTGGAAGGTGTATTTGGAGAGAACGTTGAAGAATTGTTGCTTGAAGTTGGAGGGTAGTAATGCTTTGCAAAGCAATAGCGAAGATGTTATGATTAAGGTGAGTTTGTTTTGGATTTTTGTGGAGGTATAATTTGAGTTGTTTTTTTAGATTATAAGGGTTATAGCGAATATGGTGATAAATCCGGAAATTGGGAAACGTTTGAACGAAAAATATGGCAATCAATTAATAGAAGAAATACTTAAGGTACTCATTAGTAATCCTTTCAAGAAGAACGAGGATCTCGTTTTGTCGATACTCAGCACTTTGAACAATCTTTCGTATTATTACACCAGTGACTTGGAAGTGGACATATTTCATATAAAGCAAGTTGATATTGTTGAGGGTAATTTTGGAAATATAATTAAGTTATTCCCCTTGAAACATCTTCATATTTTCAGCTACAATAGAATACGCCAAATCAACCAACAAAGAATGCATCACAGAAACCATGAGAATACTGGGAAACCTGTCGAGATCGAAAGTAACCAGAAACTACATAGCAGAGAGCGAAGTTTTCGATATTCTAATGGACCTGTTAGAAAAAGGTACTCATTTCTCGAAACCCACTCGCCATTTCTACCCTTCAATTCCATTCGCAGGAGATCAAACTCTTCTAAAAACAACAGTCGGCGTATTCGTGAACCTGATGTCAGACAATCGTTCGAGAAACCTCTTCAAAAACAACGGGGGCGTATCGAAATTGATCAAAATGTTAACAGTAGAATGCGAACACGATTGGTCATTGGGAAATCTCATTTGCCAAGTGATTTGGAACTATTGCATAGACACCACCGATTTGCATGAACTGTTCACGGACGCGGAAATACAAAAATTGCTCGTGATTTTAGCAGATTATTTGGGTAAGTTCGTTGGATAAGCTTCTAGCGCTTTCTGTGAGTTTTGTTCTGTGATTAGATGAGGAAAAATTGTTTGGAATCGACGAGCATACTGAAAATATGGCCGTTTACATCACCCAAGAGTATCTCGTTTGGGAGGAATTCGCGAACGTTGCTACGAACTTGCTGGAGAAGATTGAATTTTTTTTGGACACTTACGATCAATTGAACAATGACGATATTGAAGCCACACTCAAAACTAAAGATTGTAGCACTAATATTAGTTTTTCCGCTTGGTAATTTATAATCTAATCTTAGCTCTATTTACGATATTATAAAGTGTTTGTTATGTTTTTTTTTATTTATATTTTATTAGAAGTTAAATTCTACAGATATTTATACAGTATAAAAAATAAACTATAAATTTTACTACTCGTATTGTGTTATCCACAGTAAAAAAAACTAAAATAAAGTAAATCCTTAAGAAAGAAAAAATGTACTAGAAACCTAATCTGATTAAACACGGTAAAATAAATTTATATTTACAATTATCACATAAATCCGAATTACTAGAAGAAATATATTCCATGAGTAACTTAATGTTCTGTAAAACAGTTAGTTGAATAAACTTCAGGAAAAATTCTCCGGCATCATTTTAAGTATTTTTTGGATCTTTTCCGAAACAATTGTGCTGTTGCAAATGCAATTTTCCGGGTTATAAGGAGGCATGATAACTAGATAATCGTCGATTTTTAGGTAATCTCCGCTTTCCTTAACGTCGATCATCATGTGCTTCAGCCATTTCTTGATGATTTCCTTCTTCTCCGTTACAGATATTTCCGATTCTACCGATGGTTCAATTAAGTATTTTTCGTTAATTTCTTCTGACAGTACTTCCAAAGATTGTATGGCATGGTACAAAATCATAACTGTTTTGTAGTTATCTTGGCTTATCCAGTTAGTGTGTAAGACAACAGTTTTAAAAATTGGATCTATAACGTATACTATACCAGAATGGATTTTTTTATCCACCGTTTTAATTTCGACTTTCTTTCCTACTAGACTCTTCATGTACAGAGGGTTATTGTTAAATATTGGATCGTTCTCGGTCATATTTGTATAATTTATTTGTATTTTTCGTTGGTTATTAATTTTAAAATAGTTTTGTGAGGTTATGTTCTTCTTTTTCAATGATCTTTCCAGTCAAACTATTATTGACCGGAAAACCGTATAGATGCAGGCTATGATTTACATCAGACTACAAATGTCAAATGTCATGGCAAGTCAGATGTCAAATTTGAGATTTGTTTTTGTTATGGGTTGAATTCTTGAAATAGCTAATAAAATAACAAGAAATAAGCCAAATTTTAAGTAAATATTCAATAATTCAAATAAGACTGGTATTAATATAATAGAATGTTGGTAGAACAATTGCTATTTAACAAAAACAAACAAAAACTTAATTGTAATATAACATTGGAAGAGACGTAAGTGAAAAAAAAGAAAAAAGAGGAAAATGACAGTATTGGGAGTGGTGGTTCCCAAGCGAACTTTGATATTGACACGTATTCTTGACAAAGCAAAAGTGTTAGACTTGAATATAATCTTAAAAATGAAAACTCCCTTGCTGTTTAAGACTGTAGAATCAATTCTGGAGGTTTTGCAACGACCGGAAGTAAGTTCATGCATATTTAACAACAATCTTTAATAATTTACAAAATCTTAGCACAAAAGTCCCGTCGTTCAAGAATTGCTGAGCATTTACGAAGATGCTAAAGAAAAAAAGGAAAAATTCGATGCACCCGGAGAAGCCAAACAGCATCCCTTAATTATCTTTGAAGGTTTAGATGGATCAGGTAAAAATTAATGAAAGGAAAGTGCAATTTTGATTTTAAACCGACTATTCTCTTAGGAAAATCCACAACAGTGAAGCTTTTCGCTAAACAAATAAACGCAATAAAATGGCAAACTCCTCCCGAAAGCATATCCCATCTGAGAAATTTATTAGACGACGATATTAACCTAAGAACGGCCTTTTACTCGCTGGGCAATTACATAGCTGCATTGGAAGTGCAGCTTTTGCTGCGCACTTCTCCAGTTGTAATGGATCGGTAAATAACTAAACAAAAAAATACTAACAAATAAGACTAAAAGGAGCCCGTAATATAAACCATTTTATATACTAAATTTATTATTTTTTTATATAGTTATTGGCATTCTACTGCATCATTCGCCATAGCTCAAGCAGTGCACGACTACAAGGGGGAGTACGAAATGCCGGCAAAAGGGAACGAAATCTACAATTTTCCAGAGGATTTATTCAAGCCTGATTTGGTGATGTTATTGAACGTTACAGAGCAAATAAGAATTCAAAGATTGTCGAGAAGAACGTCGTTCACAACGCAGGAATTGTTGCTGAAAAACTCCGATGAGTTTAGAAATAAGTATGTAACATTATTTAGCGACATTACTAATATTTTGATGAATTTTTATTTTTTTTCAGTGTTATCCTGGCTTACAGAAACATGTCCAATCCTGGAGTTGTTTTTATCAACGCCAACTCGAAACCAAAAGATGTAATAGATAACTGTCTTGTTCATGTTAATCCTTTGTTGGAAAAAAATTAAATTATTTAAATTGTTGATTTATATAAGGTTTCTGTGACAATTTGTTTCATGTTTTTGGTAATAAAACATTTGATTTCAGTGTATTTTCTTTGTTCTTATTGTTTGTATTATCAAGTAATAGTAAAGTATGCTAAAAAAATTATACAGTAGTTATAAAATTTTAGGCTCTCCTGCATTCCACTGCTCTGCGACAATTCTTATGCAGGAGAGATCCTGTATTGCATAATTTTGATATCTTGTAATGTGCTTTTTACACAGTGTTTGTTGTAGAGAAACAAAAAGCTATCACACATACTATATCTTACTTTTTCTAACACACACTTACAACGGATGTTGACTAATAATGAACATTCTTGCATCAAATTTCCAACATACAAATGAAGAAGCGATCATCGGTGAATCCCACAAATATCTATTACCGATTTTTATCTCATTCTTCCTTGCGCACGCCCAGATTCTACTTTGTTGCACTTAAATGAGCCGATTTACTGGTTTACTTTTTAGTTTCACTTTTCATTTCCATCTAATACCAAGTGACAAGCATTAGCAAAAATAATGGCAAATCATTTCCATTTACATAAGACTTTAGAGTCTACCATGTCTACTTTGGAAAAACCGGAGGTAAGGCTTGTACAAAAAAAAGCACAATACATTAATTAAAATTGTAGTATCGAGCAATTCCTGCTGTTAAAGAATTATTAACAATGTATGAAACAACTCGGCAAGAATTAGAAAACAAAGTAGGAGCGAAGAAGCATTCTTTTATCGTCTTAGAAGGTTTGGACGGTTCAGGTAGGTACCCAACGTAATTTACAATTAAATTAAATTAACCAACTATTCCTACAGGAAAATCTACAGTAGCTAGAATTTTAGCCAACAGACTAAACGCAAGATACTGGCAATCGCCTACAAAGCGCATAAAGAATTCAAAAGATTTTTTACACCAAGATACCCTCATACAATTGAGAAACGCTTTCTACTCTTTAGGAAACTACATTGCAGCCCTGGAAGTTCGAGCATTGCTGCCGGATAGCCCTGTTATAATGGATAGGTAATCATCCCGATTTAATAAAACTTTAAAACAACCATCAACAACCATCTTTCCGAAGGTTCTGGCATTCTACTAGCGCCTTTGCGATCGCCAGAGCCGGCCCTTTGGAGATTGAAATGCCATCGAAAATCTACGAGTGGCCCGAGGACTTGCTAAAGCCGGATTTGGTGCTGTTGTTGGATCTGGACGAGGCCGTTCGTTGGGAGAGAATTTCGCATAGAGTTCATTTAACACCGCAGGAGTTGTTACTGGAATGCGCCGAATATAGGGAGAAGTAAGTGAGAAAACTGAAGTTGATTGATTCGATGATTTAGTGAAATAAATTTTTTTCGGTTTGCAAACAGTGTAATAAGCGGTTATATGCGCGTGAAGAATCCCAGAATTATCCGTGTTGATGCCGATTTGAAAATTAACGAAGTTATAGAAGAGTGTCTTTGTAATCTACGAATACATAGAGGAATGTATTGAAGTTCAAGTAGGCAATAAATAAATACTTGAATTAATTTTTCTTTAATATCTTCTCCTAGTATAAGTAACAGCGAAAATATGAAGACAGTAAAATATCAGCAAAACTAATATGTCACGTTTTATTTACACTTACATATTATTTCCAATGTTATTTCCCTCTTAATCGTTTCTTGTTATGCTGATGATTTATTTCTAATATAAATACATACGTTGTATTTGTGTGAACCAAAATTTCGTTGAAGTAATTAATATTGCATTAAAAAATGTTAAAACCAATTAATATAAAATTATTTTCTAAATCCCCCTAAATGACTACAACACTGATTTATTTATCTTAATAAAAAAACCCAACTTACCGGGCTTGTAGAACAAATTTGCCTGTTGAAGACCATTCAATCTTCTACAATCCAATAAGCGATCACGTTAATAATTTACTAACAATGAATTTATTTTTTAAAACTTTTATATTCCTCAACATTCTACGAAATTTCGATTGTTTGATTCTACAGCAAGGGAAAACCAATGTGGTTCATAAAGGTAAGATATTTTTGAAATAATATAAAGTAGTATTTACATATTTTTTTGTTTTCTGGTACATTTTACTTTTTTTTCCAGATGTAAATGATACTGATTTGCCGATATTATATCCTCGAGCTGCTACAATTTTAAAATTATTTGAGGAACCGCAAGTATATGTAGTTTTTAATTAACAATAATTGATAATTAATTCTAATATTTTCAAGAACGAAAATTACCAAGGGGTGCGCGAATTACTAGACTATTACCACAAAGCCGAAATGAAGAAAAACGAATTCTTATCATCAGGAGGAGCTAAAAAACATCCACTCATACTACTAGAGGGTTTAGCAGGTTCAGGTATTACTTAACAATCTGTTTTATTCTTAATAATACCCGCCTATTTTAACCTCAGGCAAAACTACTATATCAGAAGCTTTGGCGAAATTAATCAACGGTACTCAAGTGCATTCTCCATTGCACACCTTAAAGAAATTCGAGATTAATTTCTTCCATAACCGCCTCCTTAACAACGCCTACCAACAGCTAGCACAATACCTCACAGCTATGGAAATTCTCCCGCTGTTGCAAAACGGCCCAGTGGTACTAGACAGGTGCTATAGTACCCTTAGAATCGATATCAAATCAAGCTAATGGATAATTTCTCGTTTAAATTTCAGATATTACCCTTCAACGACCACTTACTGCATTGGTCGATTGATGTATTACAGACCTAAGGAGTACTCTATGCCTCCCAAGGGAGCCGAAATTTACAACTGTCCTGAGGATTTGATGAGGCCCGATATTATGTTTTTTCTAGATGTAGATGAGGAGGAAAGGGTTAGAAGGTTGTTATATAGGACAAAGAAACTTGATGCAAAACTAGGCGCTAATGAAAAGTTTCTGCTAAATCATTCGGACTATAGGCAATAGTGAGTATAAGGCGTTTAAAATTTAATTATATTCGGGGAAAAACGTTGTTTTCAGTGTTTTGTTGGCTTATAAGAATTTGGACAATCCTCCTATGATAATGGTGGACAATAATTTACCGTTAACAGAAGTTGTAGATGATGTTTATAAGAAAGTTTTGCCGCTGTTAAAATAGGCTTTAACGTTGTATATTATGTTTGTTTTGTTGTTAGATGTTTTAATTTTTCTCGGAATAAAGAGATGCTTTTATACCTTTCAAAGCCAGTTTGATTTCAACGAGTTTACAAGATTAAAATTCAAATAAATCAAGTGAAGTTACATACCTGGTTTGTTGTCGAAGTTCTGATTCAAATTCACGACTTTTAAATAGATTATCTTCTTAGTTTTCGGTAAAACATTCTCACATTTATTAAAATGTCACTCCGACATTTTATTATGTCACTTTTGAGTGATTTGACATAAATGACAGCCATGGCATACTATTAAAAATCTCGCGATAATGTCGATATTTGAACTGATATTTGAATTTTCGATCACTTTGACATTTTATATCACTTGAGCGATTTGACAAATGACAGCCATGGCATGCCAATAAATCTTTACGATAAAGTGAATACAAAAAAAGTCGTAAAATAAATGAATTTTAACACAAATTTATTTAGATTTCTCATGATCATGACACACAAATAACAGAAGAACAACAAATAATCACATAAAAAATATTACTAGCACTAATCCTTAATCTAATTGTCAATGTATAACATCGAATAAATAAATTGAAATAATATTTGAGCAGTTATTAACAATCGAAGGAAAAAAAAAACAGTTTGAAAACTTTTAAAATGAATTAGTAAATTTCATTAAGCAAGAAATTTGTTAATCTTTAAAATCTAAATGTTTAAACTACACAATTTAAAGCTGCTTACAAAGTTGCTCAATTTTTAATTTCTTGTGCCAAAATAAAATTGTAGAAAAGGTACATATAAAACTAAGTTTTAGCCTACATAAAAATAATACACGCGTATCGGAAAACATATAAAAATATAAAAATAAATAAATTGATCGTTGATAAAATACTGGAGTACCTACACGAGATTATTAAAAATTAAATAACGTTGCAGTCACTGATTCAAGTAGGTAACTTAATATTGAAACTACCATTTCAAAAAAAAAAACTTTCTTATCTTCCTACCAATTTATTTTTTTTTATTTATTACGCATTTTCCAACACGTGAAATCCAGTTTGCGGATGAGCGTCATAATGAATCACCTGGACTTTTCCCTCTTCGTCGTAAAATCCATAGTGACCTTTTACTACACCTTCCTTATCTCTTTCCTCATACCTGAAGAGCCTGTTGTGCCTAAAACGTTTCAATAGTTCGATTAGCGATACACCGATTCGATATTTACCTGTCGACTTAATCTATTGGAACACGAACGAGAAGGCTCGTTGAATAATCGATCAATTTGCATAACGAGTTCCGTCGATAAATCAACGATTCGTTGCTAAATTTTCGAAATTATAAAATATATGTTCGTTCTCGATTACAGTTATTCGAATAAAAAAAATGAAACGATAGTCAAATCTATGATTATCATGATTTCCGCTACCTACTCGTAGGGAAACTATCGTTATACAATGTGCATAAAATTGATTTAAATTGAGATTTTATCTGTTACATTGTAGAAAAATAATTGCATTTACTTAACGCCTAAAATATTCGGATAATACTAAATTAAATCGCAAATTACATTACGCAATCTCTATGGTTAATGGTTTTTTTTTCTGGTTTGTAAGTAGTTGAATTTTTTCGCTGTAGCGCACACAAAAAATGATTAAATTCGACAAACATTAGAAAACTGGTTTTCGGTACGCACCAACTATTACCGGTATTAATAAACAACAAAAATTGCCAAGATAATTGTCCCGGATTCGCTCTTTTAGCCTACACAAGTTACGGATATGTTCCTGTTAAAGCAGTTAGTGTAATGACAATGCAAATAGACGCCAGAAAAGCAATTCCGCCGGTGGTTATCATTGAAATAAATGAAAGTAAAACATGTAGAACATATAGAACAATGGTTTATGTGGTAGAGCTCCTCAAATATCATCTCTCGAGAAAACTTGAGAAGCACCAACTTCGGAGGAATCGTGAAACATCTCCTTCGAACCATTCCCGATTCCTCCGGAAGATAAGAAAGCGATTAAAGAAAAAAGCATGAAATGGAAAGTGTTACCCTTTGCCAGTGTCATAGCCCCATTTATAAGAAAGAGGCCCGTCGTGGCCGACCATGTGAAATTCAAGCCGTTCACCGTTAGATGAGCCCGAATGCCCGGCAGCGTTAGTGGGAATACCCAACGAATCGATTATGTCAGAGCTAAGCCCCTGATCGAAGCTAGCACTCTGTATTTGATCGTTAGATTTACGGTTACGAGGCGAATCCCCAGGAGATGTCTTCGATTGGTTCCTATTTCTAGGCAGAAGCATCTGTCGGAATTCAATAGCATTGTTTCGGAATTCATCGAGAGCCCCAAATCCGGACCAAACCACTCACCTTAACAGCTTTCCGGTTCTCCATCTTGGCCAATTTATCCAAAGTCTTCTCCAGCTGACTAGAGGAAATCGGCTCGAGCTCGATCTCCTGCTTGGGCCGGAGCCCCACGGGCTTCTCCTTCTCGTGCACCTCCTTGTTGTACTTCTTGGGGAACTGCTCGGTGGGCAGCTCCTGCTTGGTCAGCACGGCGGGCGCCTCGAAGAAGAACTTGGGGTCGTTGTCGGGGTTCCAGTCGGTCTCCGAGGGCGCCACCAGGTCCTGGTCGGGCACGGGGACTGCGTAGTAGTCGATGGAGGCGCCCTGATCGGGAGCCGTGAGGTCGGAGGCCGGTTCGGGGGCGAAGAAGAGGACGGGGGCGGCGTCTTCGCGGGGTAGAGCGAGCGATAGAGGAAGGGGTTGCTGGTCGGTTGAGAGGGTTTCTTCGGGGGCGAAGGCGAGAGGGGATTCCTCGGATTGGTCTGTTGATTTTGATGTGAGCGGTGCGCATGCGCAGAGGGTGGTGAAGGCTAATACAGCCGCCTGGAATAGAGATTTGTTTATGGTGAAATTTAGCGATGGAAAAAGTAGTTTTTGATTCTTTTATAATTAGTGTAGAAATTCGATTGTGTCTAAAAAGTGACTCCTACGGAGTGCCGATGCAGGAAAAAGAAAAAGTCCGCGAAACGACCGTTTATTATTTAAATTAACATGTTATTTTTGCCGGGGCGAAAAGAAAGCAGAATAATGGCTTGTGTAACTGCCGCAAGTACGGTTAATATTAATAAAGCGGAAGGATTTTTAAAGTTGTACAGTTTTCATAACTAAACTATCTTTAATTTGCTTCCGTGATATTAGAAATTAACACTCAATTTCGGCTTTATTGTTTATTTATTCAGGCATTTCGAAGTTGTTTCGGAGGATTGCATTGTACTTTTTTAATCTACACTCACGCACTATACTTATAATTTAGTTGTGCGTATACGAGGTGCGTCGAAAAAGCTCGATAAACTTTGTATTGTTCAAATAGCATACTATAATTGCTCGATAAATATTTTCCGGACGCGCCTTGTAAATATTATAATTGAGGAATTATTATTGAAATAAGCGGTGGTTTTGCAATAGGAAAACGTTGTTCGTTTATGAACTTAAGTTAACACGGGTTTGGAGAGTGTAAAGTCAAACCTTTCTATTCCTATTGTTCTCTTTTAAATTGTGATGTTTCTAATGTGGGCGGTAGGATGCATTAAACGGGTAATATAAGGCAACAATAGTGGTTTCATCTAATAGGAAAGTATGTATTTTTATCCGAATTGTATCTAAAATTGCAGTAAAATTGAATAAAAAAAAATTAAAAATTATAGAGAAGCAATAGCAAGAGTGTGTTAAGAGCCTTGTTGTATAAAAAATTTGTCATACAAATCCCACCAATAAATCAGAAAGAAAATAGCAATTCCTCGTAGCAGTCCCACATAAATAAATAAAAATATTTTTATTTATGTTGAACTTGACTCGAAGGCGTCCCCTTTGCTGGACATTCCGCCGTTTCACTTTCACTTTATAAAGCAACTAACGCAAGAAACTTTTATTAATCTAGACCGTGATACTGTAAAAGTTCCTGTTTCTGTGGGATTCGCAGATAAAAATAATTAAACAATTCGGATCGAAATTAGAAAACGGTAATAGCGCATTGTGTAACGTCTCTACCGCAACCGGTCTTTTCTTTCTGTAGTTTTTACAAAAAAAATCGAAAATAAAAAATAAAATTGTCTATGCATTTGAAGAATTAGATTGATTATTGGGTAAAAGTTTTATGTTGCATCAGTAACTTCATTCTATAAAGGAAATATTACATTGTTTGGACTCTGTTAGTGAAGTACAAAGTGCATATTAGAGACAAATAAAGGTGTAATGAACGACTTAAACATTTACAATTAATGTCTTAACTAAAATAATTAACTACCGCCTTTAATTTAATTAAGCGACCTTTCATTCCAATGCTACAGATTAGTTTATTTCGTTGTCAGTCTTTGTTTTCTTTCATCAGTTATTTACACCTGCACAACTAAACTGTTTTTAACAGCGATTCTTAAAGCCAGTGTCATAGATAATTGCATTGCCCACATAACATAATGTAATTGTTTCATATCGTAATCGATAGTAATTTATTGCGGAAGTTTATTATAAATTTCAAGGCGAAATGATAAAATTTTTCGATTTGTTGCATCTCGTTGCGATTTTTTTTGTTTCGATGGAATTGGTGGGAGGTGTCTCAAGTAGCGATTAAATCGAATAGGTGTTATTAAAGAATATTTATTTTGCTGGATAGAAAAGAGGGAATAAATTAATTTTTTTTTCTATTTTGGAAAATTGTATCTGCTCAGCGAAAGTGTATCGATATAAATTATTCATCCATCTATATTTTAGTGTATTTATTATAATTCGATTTTTAACGCAAATATGCATTATGTAAAATGTTGACATTTTAATGAATGATATTAGCATGCATTAGTTAATCAAACATTAATGTGTCAATGTTTGGTGGAAATAAAAACCATTGAACGTTCGTTTATTGATTACATCAATATAAATAGATAGATTTAGAATCAAACACCAATCCCACAAATTATGTTACGTAAGAATGTTTTAATAAAAATCTACATCTTCAGAAGTTGCATTATAAATTACAGATAATTGTACAAAAATTACATTAATTCTTGTTAAATGAAATTATTTCCAAAAACAATCGAGTAAGGTATTTTTCACCTCTAATTTATTTAATTAGCGTTGGATATGCAGTAATTTCTAATTATTAACAGAGTAATTAAAAAAACCTTGTTTGTAACATGTGAATTTGTAGTATTTAAATTTTTTCATATTCCATATTTACTAGTATTATCTAATTTATCATATGTACATAATTAATTGGTTGTTATACAAGTGCATGTGAATTCACCAATTTGCATATAGGAAAGTACAAATATAACCAACACAATCAATGCCAATAAAACATAAATTGTTGAATTTCTAAACTCAATAAACTAACCTAAAATTACCGAATCAATAAAAAATGTGTTTTCTACAACATTTCAAAACTTAACAATTAATTACTTAACAATGCCGATTCGAAAAAAATGTCGATATCAATTCGTTTAGGCAAGTTTTCTACTCATTGTTGTAGCAAAAAGAGATCATTTTGTTCTTAATGACGTCGTAAACAAAAGGTTTATTGTAAAACGTACATTTATTATTATAGTAAACGAATCGTACCGTAACCTTCACAATAAAAATAGACCCGTATATTGTTTGCAATCCCAATTAAATATCTCGTTATTATTCCAAGTCAGGTAGCTGCTAACAGGTTAATTTATGTTAGGCGATTGGATTGTTAAACATTCCGCGTTTTTTTTGGTTTCAAAATTCAATAATTTATTGATTGTTATCGTACATCACCACCTTTAATTCTTAACTTTAATCTCAATCAATTAGTCAATCAAAAAACTAAATAATAACTCCTCAAAGGCAATAATAATTGAAAATATTCTAGGTGTGTTTTAGAGATGGAAACCACAAAATTTTCAACTTATTCAAAACAGCAAATAACCCTGGATAAGTTTAATATAAAGCACTCGAAGTGAACAATTAAAATCCTAATGAATATTCGCACAATAAATAGGTTCGTGGCCAGATTAAATAAAATCCTCAATTATAATTAATTAATAAAATGTAATGGCGCGTGGCCTTGTTCTTTAAAGGATTCCATTGTGCTTTACATCTATTATACCTTCGATGTAAGTATACTAATAATTTTCTAAATGAGAGAACACCAGTAAATTAATTATATTGTTATGAAATTACTAGCTAAATTTAATGCCTTTGCATAATTTTATTTGTATCATTACAAACATATCCTCGTGTTCACCGGCTTTGAATGTTAAATTTAATATCCAACGCTTAGCTTCTAATATAATATTTCATATATCCGAATGCAAATATTATTATCAAACAGCGGATGTTGAAACGAATAGAGAAACCCAACCGGGTGAAAATGAAAAGCAAGAAGACCAATCGCAGTTTCTTATCGGCCTCTAACCGAGCCTATTTAGTCACAGTCATTTTGTAAAGACAATTAAACTAAATATTTCAAAACTCGTGGAATTTTTGCACTCCTTAACGTAGATCCTTGTACCAAATAAACGACTAACGTGAACAAATTCGAAGTGATAAAAAACATTTCAAGTTTACTTCGACTGACTACGAATTAGTTTCGCTCGATTGCTTTCTGAATTTCGTGCAAGACGATTTTCCTAACGCATAATATAGCAATTATTAGACAAAAAAACACTGCAATGTGTAATCCACTAATTGCGACAAGTGCGTTTAGTAACAGAGTAATTATAACTTTTTAACCCAAGTTTAATATAGTTAAATGTATATAAAAAATCAACGCGAGTAGTACAGTAGATTGAAAAATTAATTATCTAAGATTAAGTCAGTTAACACCTCTAGATAAGTTCTGGATAACTATCTATAGCTTTGTAATTGTAGAAAATTTATAATTCCACTTATACTCTACAGTAATTTCGTTCAATAGTATTGGAGATAATGGAAAAAGGAGTATTAACTTCACCGGCACACGCTCGGAATTATTACTTTCTATTTATGTATAATTATTAATATCGGTTTCAAATTTTTGAATGGGCTCTATTGACATCTTAATTAACCGATTTACCGTTGCAATCGGATTGGTTTCAGGCGAAATAGATGTGTGTAAATAAGAAAATAGTTCGCGAATAAATAGTAAAAGTGAAAGCGAGAATCCAATCCTAATTAATTTTTCGATTCCTAATTGATAATTATCATAGTAAAAAACGGTCGAATGTAGATGAAAATTTTTTTGGAAAGTTTCCAATTATTGCGCGGCATGTACAATTGACTTTAATTGAAAAATATTCTGTATTAATGCATCAGATAAAGATTTTACGAGTTTACTTTATCGTTTAATGGAATTGTTCGTAAAAGGCGGAAAAGTGTAAATATCTTTTCATGTGCAAAATTAACTTGTCGTTAAGTTAGAAACTCGAATTAATGGTTTTAGTTTCAATTAAGTGCAGATAGTGTGGCTTGTTTGCTTTGGAAAAGGTGCAAAAAGCCATTACATAATTTATAGGCATGTGATTTTTTTAATTATTTAATGCCTAATATAGATTTTAGTTATGTCACAATGTATGATTTTTATTGATAAGATGCTTATAAACCAGTAGGTAAAAGGGAATTTCTAGGAAATATATGAAGTAGATAAAGCAGAAAAAATAATCAGTGATGATTTTATCTTATCTGTTATCAATTCAAGAATATTTAAATTGAAGAAAGTTTATTTATGCGTTAAATTGAAGTAGATTATCAATGAGTTTTGATGTAATAATTACATAACGCTTATAATCAATAAAAATTCAAATTTCCAATTAATATTTAGTATTTTTTAGGTAGACATCAAAATTCTATACTAGAGCCATTTTTATGAACAACATCTATTTTATTTGAATTCCATCTTTTAACAACAATAAAGTAACTTATAAGAACTAAATAGGAACCCTACTAAAACATTTTAGCCCTGAAATTTCTTACAAGAAAAAAATTAATAGCCAAAACAACTTTTTTAGAAGCTATATAATTTTTTCGAAACAACAATCTTTTAACCGATTTTTCTCGATGCATCAGCTAGATATTTTTAATTTCAACTAACACGATAATTCCACCAGCGGTTCGTACTCACCAATTTGATTGTCAAAGTCATGGTTGAACACTTAACAGAACACAATAAACGATAAATTCGTAATGCAGAAATAAGCGCCTTGGACGCCCAGATATCTGTTTATATACTTTACCATTTCTCCTTTCAGGTGTTATAAGAACGGAGCGGCTGCCTCCGCGGGAGTAACTATCAAATTTAATGGGAAACCCGAAAGGAAAAGAGCCTTTATTATTCTACAGGATAAGTAGCCTAATTATCTAGGATCTTACTAGTTTAAGGGACCAGTACATGTTAAGAATAATAGGCTACTGGGGTAGATAATCAATGTCCCTAGAATGTTTGATGGGGTATTAAAACTGTTAAAAATATTTATACAAAAGGAGTTACTAAATAGGTAATAAATAATCTTTCATGGAACATTATTGATCATTACTAGTCTTTTCTCTGATCGTCTGGTGTTTGTAAAGGAAACGAGTGTTTCTTTCGAATCGAAAAAAAGGTTCAGGGTCAATTTTGGGGGTCCACCGATAATCCGTAATTTTAACGACCTTTTAATGAGGGTCTCTCGGCAGGAGGTAACCGATCTCACTATCGCAGTGCGGTGGCAAAAATTGCAAACGGGGAAAATATTCTTATAAAATAATTCAATTTAGTTTTTGCTTTATTTATTTTTCGTTGTGAGTCGTCGTGTATTTTAAGTTCGTTAGTTACTACCTAAAATTATTATTAGTCCCAAATTATTGATGTGAGATATTTCTTTAGACAATATTTGTAATATAAAGATACGTTTTATCATTTATTATAGCTTATTATTATAAGTGTTTCTATTTGTTCAATAATATTGTGGCCCTGAAAAGGGCCTTTTGAAAATGATCCAATTTTTTAAATTGGGAAAAAAAGGTGATGTGCCCGAACGAAACATTGAAACATTTCTTCGGGTGTCGTATGTTGGGATCGCCACATATACTCCATTAGGATTTCATCATGGGAGGAAATTTTTCCATACCTTCTTCTCAAGTCCCGTTTAATGAAAGACCATTTCGCTTCGATATTTTGCGTGTGTGTCCGTGGATCGTCGGGATCGACAAAATTTTGTGAGTGGTTAACTGTATCGTGCCGGTATCCTAGGTTATTTAGATTTAAATAACCCCGCCACATATCAGTTTTTATGGTTGTTCCTGGAAGAACCCATCGCTGGATAACACCGGTTAAACTTTCGGCACTCCGATTTTCCACATATTCAAAAAAACATGTTTTTGTTTCGCGGCACACGCCACCAACTATCCACTTTGTTGGCATAACACGACCCCTGTGGTATTTTCGTTTACCAAACACACTTTCGTCGATTTCTACCGTCCTTCCAGGCCCACCGATAGGTTCAGCGTTCTCTTGCATATAAATGAAAATTAATTCTCTTATATGCCTCAAACATTTGAAAACGGTCGGTCTACACAAAGTGCTCTCTCGAACCATAACTCCAGTCGGGTATTTCAGGAACCACATAATCAGGACCTCGAGATATTTTTCAATAGGGATGTTCACTGTATTGAAAAATGTATTTATTTTAATCGAAGTTTTACGCCTACAATCGCGGCTTCCACATCGATAAAAATACTTTGGCTGGCCAGTTATGTTAATTCTGCTGTTACCACCACAAAAATGACACACTATCAATGGCAATAAAAAACGATAATTTATTAAAAATTGTCGTACACCAAGTGTATCAATGTGGCTACGAAAACCTCTAAGACTTTTTAAAAAATCCATCTTAGCTGAATAAATACACACCGAAAACACAAAAGAAAACTAATGGAGAACTATATACTTCTACACAGTCTCTAATAGTCAAAAACTAAAATTAAGGTACTTTCGTTACTTTATATAAGGGAAGGGAAGTTATTAATGATTGGATTTCCAGGGATTCCATCTAGGGGGGTGGAACTAGGTATGGCGGTATGATATACTAACCAATCAAAAACGCATTAATGAGTAAATGAGCTTTACCGCACTATTGGGACATCCTGTATGTAATACAATTAAATGCCTAAAATTGTTAGTAGTCCCCAATCAATGTTGTGAGCTATTTCTTTTGATAATATTTGTAATACAAAGATCTAATATCATGCAGACTCTTATTAGTAGATACTCTGGGATTATAGGGATTATAAAGGGATGCATTTTTGATTGGTTAGTATATCATACCGCCATACCTAGTTCCACCCCCCTAGATGGAATCCCTGGAAATCCAATCATTAATAACTTCCCTTCCCTTATATAAAGTAACGAAAGTACCTTAATTTTAGTTTTTGACTATTAGAGACTGTGTAGAAGTATATAGTTCTCCATTAGTTTTCTTTTGTGTTTTCGGTGTGTATTTATTCAGCTAAGATGGATTTTTTAAAAAGTCTTAGAGGTTTTCGTAGCCACATTGATACACTTGGTGTACGACAATTTTTAATAAATTATCGTTTTTTATTGCCATTGATAGTGTGTCATTTTTGTGGTGGTAACAGCAGAATTAACATAACTGGCCAGCCAAAGTATTTTTATCGATGTGGAAGCCGCGATTGTAGGCGTAAAACTTCGATTAAAATAAATACATTTTTCAATACAGTGAACATCCCTATTGAAAAATATCTCGAGGTCCTGATTATGTGGTTCCTGAAATACCCGACTGGAGTTATGGTTCGAGAGAGCACTTTGTGTAGACCGACCGTTTTCAAATGTTTGAGGCATATAAGAGAATTAATTTTCATTTATATGCAAGAGAACGCTGAACCTATCGGTGGGCCTGGAAGGACGGTAGAAATCGACGAAAGTGTGTTTGGTAAACGAAAATACCACAGGGGTCGTGTTATGCCAACAAAGTGGATAGTTGGTGGCGTGTGCCGCGAAACAAAAACATGTTTTTTTGAATATGTGGAAAATCGGAGTGCCGAAAGTTTAACCGGTGTTATCCAGCGATGGGTTCTTCCAGGAACAACCATAAAAACTGATATGTGGCGGGGTTATTTAAATCTAAATAACCTAGGATACCGGCACGATACAGTTAACCACTCACAAAATTTTGTCGATCCCGACGATCCACGGACACACACGCAAAATATCGAAGCGAAATGGTCTTTCATTAAACGGGACTTGAGAAGAAGGTATGGAAAAATTTCCTCCCATGATGAAATCCTAATGGAGTATATGTGGCGATCCCAACATACGACACCCGAAGAAATGTTTCAATGTTTCGTTCGGGCACATCACCTTTTTTTCCCAATTTAAAAAATTGGATCATTTTCAAAAGGCCCTTTTCAGGGCCACAATATTATTGAACAAATAGAAACACTTATAATAATAAGCTATAATAAATGATAAAACGTATCTTTATATTACAAATATTGTCTAAAGAAATATCTCACATCAATAATTTGGGACTAATAATAATTTTAGGTAGTAACTAACGAACTTAAAATACACGACGACTCACAACGAAAAATAAATAAAGCAAAAACTAAATTGAATTATTTTATAAGAATATTTTCCCCGTTTGCAATTTTTGCCACCGCACTGCGATAGTGAGATCGGTTACCTCCTGCCGAGAGACCCTCATTAAAAGGTCGTTAAAATTACGGATTATCGGTGGACCCCCGAAATTGTACTCCAACCGAAAAAAATATATCAGAAACTTTTTCATTTCGCTCGGTTGAAGGAAAATCGGTAGCGTTACTGCTCGAATTTATGTAACACCGTTATTGAAATAAATCATTTTTACCTTCTCGTTGTATGTACTCTCACATTGTACCAACTGAACTGTGGCAAATTTCTCTTGCCTTTGAAATCATTTGAATTTCTCCATACATATGCAATAAAAGCGATCGAAATTCGATGAAAATACCGGTCATTTTCCTCGGATCCTTCTAAGTATGTACATTTAGGCAAATTAGCCGGCATCGATTCATTACACGCTTCGAAAAACAATTTTATTTCGTAATAACAAGAATGCCGGTTTTATAACTATCATTTTGTGCCTTACTAACCGCGAATAATGGATAATAGGAAATCGATTCTGGTGTTTTTTTTTTTCGAATAAAAAGAAGTACTCCGACTTTTTAGGCGCCTCGGTATATAAACGATTCGTTCATAAATTCAGAGTATAATTATTATTAAAAAATCATTTCGTGATGTACCAACCATAACAATAGAAACGTGATAACACCGGCGGTTTGCTTCATAAATATTTACGATATCAAGTCTTAATTACATTTAAAAATCTCAGGAAATCAATACCTGCATCGTAAAAAATGCAATTTCTTGAATACTTTAACGATAATAATTAATGAAATCCTAGCTTATTTATTCCACGAAAAATTCACCTTAATTGAGTGATTTTATGAAGAATTCAGCAGGCTATTAGAACAGTTTTATTTACCGATTTCTTCGACTCAAAAAACACAATACCTTATTACAAAAGCGATGCAAATTACATGAAAAAAAAAACGCATTTACTACATAAAATAATCTCGATTCAACATCGATAAATCGAACCAAATTGTTCCTATCGATTGATGTTATAATTAAGAAAATTACCGCCAGTTTGCGCAGTTTATTTGCGTTTAACAAAAACATATTTATTTATGATTCAGCCCGATGTCGTCTCAAGGATCCTCGCGATTTGTGTAATTCTCTTCCGCGTTAAATCATTGTGATTATGGCTTTTTCAGCGCGAAAAACTATTATTTAATAGCGTATTTATTAATGTTAATTTCATTTTTTTGTTTCTCCTTTTTATTTATAAAATTCCATTTGCGTTTTAAATCTGTTTTTGCAGACCCTACTGCAGTATTTTTTAAGTATTTATATGATAGTGAAGAGATTTAAAAAAGGAGTTAATAACTAGGTAAAAGAAAAAAGCGGAAGAAAGAAAACAAAAAGAATTTATAGAAAATCAACAAAAAACGAATACCTACATAATTTATGATCAAATCGATCGATTTTTTCATCCCATTGTAAATTCGTATCCAGCTGGAATCGTTCCAGTGACGTGTTGGTATAAATTGCTTTCCAAATCTCCTAATAATCCAGAAGCCCCAAATCGAAATAACTCTGGTGATAACCAATCTTTTCCCAGCGTTTCTTTGATAAGAATTAACCATTCCAGAGCATCTTTGGCCGTTCTAACTCCTCCGGCTGGTTTTAAACCAACCTAAATAAACACATTAGCCATTTATATCTTAATAATGTTGCATGTAATTTACCTTATAACCCATTTTTTCATTATATTCCTTAATAGCTCTAGCCATGACTAATCCAAACGGTAAAGTAGCATTCACCGATTCTTTACCAGTAGATGTTTTAATGAAATCAGAACCAGCCATCATGGCTACTAAGGAAGCTTTGTACACCTAAAACAGTACCAATCTTGTTAATACAACACCACAAAACAATAAAATTGTAAATAATCCATACATTATCAAGTGTACCCAATTCTCCTGTGGCTAAAATAGCTTTCAAGTGGGCCTCCGAACCGCAAGCTTCCTTCATGACTTGGATTTCTTGGTAGAGTTTCTCCCATTTTCCGGTTATCACTAAACTTCGATCGATGACAATATCTATTTCTTTGGCGCCTTGTTCGACGGCGAATTTAATTTCCTCCAGCCTCGTCTTTAAAGGCGTTTGGCCACTGGGGAAACCGGTAGCAACTGCAACTTTAAATGGTAATTTCTGTGGTAGGAGAGCGAAGGTTTATTGTACCTGATGCTACTTTTATTTTCCCCGACATTCCCATATTTTTCAGCGTTGTAACGGCGTCTTGGACTTTCGAAGGGTACACGCAGACTGCAGCTGTGTGTATCGGGGACTCGTTGCTGTAATCGAAGCCTAGTTCTTGCAGAAGGTCTTCGGCTACAGGTTTGGCTGCCTGAAACGGTGGTTATTGTTAGATGAGGTTTGATTAAAGTGATGAAATATACCTTAAAACATAATCTGGATACGTTACTGTTGGTGTCGTCTCCGGCCAAAGTGGTGAGATCTATTAAGGTAATGGCTTTCAAAATCCAGGCTGCTCGGTATTCGCCTTTGAGTTCCCTGGATGAAGAGATTTTTTTGGCTAGATGATTTACAGCAGATAGATTGACGTTGACGCTGTTTAGCCAGCCTAAATCTGGAAATTCGTTTGATGAGTTAATTTGTATCAGATAATAGCGGATTTTTTTACCGAATTCACAACCCGGGTTTCTTTCTAACGTCATTTTTCGTTTTATTTAACAATTAATTAAACAATTTGATGAATTTTATGTAACGAGAAGTATATTGCACATTTCCTATACGTAGAAATTGTAATATTTATCATTGAAGAAAGATAAGTTTTTGATAAAATAAAAAACAAAACAAGGAAAACAAATTAACTATTTACGATGTCATGTCAAAAAATGACAAATGACAAAGTTCAAATAACCTACTACAGAAATAAAAATATAAATACACTTAATTAGCAATAAAATCAATTCAGATTGAATTATTATGTATACAGGATTTATTGGTGTTATTTATTTTACAGAAAATATCAAAATTAATCCATTAAAATAATGAATAAAAATTATTTAGCGCCACCTACAGCTAGTATTTTGAATCACCGAGCAACTTTCATTTATTTATTTTGACATTCATTGACGTTTTAATTTTCGTTCAGTATGTTTTTGTTTTATTTTAATACGTGGTTGATTTTATTTATTTGAACGTTTTCATGAGTTTAGAATTTTCATTTAGTCGTTTTTCTTTAATGTGCAATAATTTACATCCGTCGGGCGATCATGACAATGGCATCGAAACACTTCTGCCTGAAATGGACCAAATTCCAATCGAACATTTTGAGCGCCTTCGAAAGCCTCCAGAACACCGAAGACCTGGCAGACGTCACGCTAACCTGCGAGGGCATTAACATAAAAGCCCACAAGTTCATCCTATCGGCCTGCAGCCCCTATTTCAGAACCATATTCAAGGTAACCCAGTTTCTCTTTCGACGCCACCATTGCTCACGAATCGCTCTCTCTCTCCCACCAGGAGAACCCCTGTCCCCACCCGATAGTCATCCTCAAAGACGTCGCCCACGCCGACCTGATGGCCCTCATCAATTTCATGTACCACGGCGAAGTCACCGTCTCCGAGGACCAGCTATCGTCCTTCCTGAACACCGCGATGATCCTGCAGGTGCTCGGCCTGATGAACGACGACCATCCCGACAGGAAGCAGCAGCTATCGAAGAAACCGAAGCACCCGCCCGACGTCCCGGAGCCCCTGCAGAAGAAGGCCAAACTCTCGCCGGCGAAGCCGAAGAAAACGGCCCCTCCGTCAGCCGAAGAATCCAACGGGAAAAGCTCCTCCTCTCCAGCCCACTTCGAGGTCGTCGAAGTGGACCGAATTAAGACTGAAGAAGAGACGGCGAGCAACGCGGAGTACGATATTAGTGAGAACGTAGAGGTTGTAGTCGAGGATAAAATCGAACAAAGTTCTATATTGGAGGCTGCGCTTGAAGTGCGCGATAAACCGAGCAGTATTTTAGAGAGGTCGTTAACAGCTCAAGCAGGTATTCACGCGATTATTACACACATTATGCTTTATATATATTTAATTATTTTAAGGAAAATCGCCATCTTCTTACGTGCACCACAGTGATAAAAGCGTGGAAGTCCCGAAGACGGTTTATATATTGCGCAAACCGCCGGAGACGGATCTGGATAAGTTAAGTTCGAGGATGGAATCGACAAATCAGGCCGGTTTGGAATTTCCCTCGGAGTTTATGCAGCAACGTATCAAGACGGAAGAGCCCTACGAAACCATGTCTTTGGAGGAGATAAAGGAGGCGAATTTCAGGAATATGAATGTGGAAGTACAGCCGGCCCATCATAGTTCGCAGTGCGGAAATTGTCCTCATTGCGGAAAAGTGAGTTTCTACAGTGTTGGATCGATGATGTTAATTCGAGAGTGGAATTTTTTTTTAGGTGTATTCCAATCAATCGGCTCTCAAGTATCACGTTAGGTTGATACATTCGGATCTAACGAATATGTATTGCTGCCATCTTTGTCCGGAGGCGTTCGATTACAGAGAGGGATACAAAAAGCACATGGCCGATGTGCATTTAATCAGAAATTAGTTTTTATTTATTTATCTTTTGAAATATTGTTTTTTTTTATGTTATCTTATTTAATACAACTTGGTTTTTGATAGCCTCTTTTATGATTTCGAAGACGCGTCTAACAATCGACGAGATTTTCTATAAAAATATAAATTTATTAATAGTCGTTAACCGCTAATGATTTATAATACAATATAAGTACAATGGGTTTTGGTTGGGTTCAATAAATAAAAGCGACCTCTCCTAAAAAGAATCAACGTAACAAACAATCTTTTTCGCTTATCAAATAAAAAGGCGCTCGCGCTCAGCTATCCAAAGCATCGGCTATAATGAGCTCGTCCGGTTCCGATGTACTTATCGTAATCATCATTTTTTCTTCGTTACTCGAACTGTCCGAGGAAGCCGATTGAGTCGAAGTGGCTGCTTCCTACAACAAGTAAATCATTCGTTAGATCGATTTTATACAATTTTATTAATATATCATTCGTTAGATCAACTTTGTACGATTTTTCAAGAGCGATCAACTTACTTGCGAGTAATTTACGTGCGTTATAGCGTATTTGATGTTGTTTTTGCTGTCTGTAATCCAAACTGGTTTCATTTCGCTTTGAGATTCGGCCGTCGCCACCGGCTGGCTGATGGCTGTTTTATTATCCGTTATCCAAAGCTTCTGCGATTCGTTTTGCGGCGATGAAGCGGCCTCCGGTTGGTCCGGTTCCCACGATTCGTCTTCGTTTTGGTCATCAGGCATGTCCTGCTTCTAAAAAAACAACGATAGCAAATCAAACGTGTACTTGTACTTAATTCGTTAGTACTAACCATAATTCTTTGTTTTTGGTGGGTCTTCAAGTGCTTCGAAAGATGATCGGACCTCATAAACTTCTTGTTGCATTCGTTGCACTGGAACCGTTTTTCGCCGGTGTGCGTTCGTCGATGCCTTTGCAATTCGTCCGATCTGGTAAACCTGAAGCGATAAAACGCGTTAAATCTCATTCAAAACTATCGTTACAATTATGAATTACCTTTTTCCGCAAAACAACCAAGTACAAACGAAAGGCCTCTCGCCCGTGTGCCACCGAAGGTGCGCCCTCAAATGGCTCGTCTTCCCGTAAACCTTACTACACCCCGGTATGTGACAGATATGCTGTTTCTTACGATCCGTATGACGTTCACCTAAAACAAAACCACTGCCTAGACCTCCTCCTACACGATGCACTCGAGTACTCCACTCTACAGCCACTAAATCGTTCGTTATTCGTCAACTAAACCGTACCTTCCTGGCAATTGGGACAGGTGCAAGCCACCCGTCGCACCCTCTGCTTGATATCGGTCGCGTTCGATTCGGTAGACATTTGCACAGTGTTGTTACTGTTATCGGGAGCCGTCACGAACGTCACCGTGGGCGCCTGGGACGCCTGGGGCGCCTGCGCTTGGGACGCCTGCGGCGCCGCCGTCACCGTAGGGATCACCTGCCATTTGTTGGGATCCGACGGGTCCTGCTGGATGTGCTGGCCGACGGCGATTTGGGTCGGCGCCGGCGCCGGCGCCTGTTGCGTTATCACTTGAACGTTGCCCAAGCCTGAAAGACGATAATAGAATTGTTAAAATACATATCTATCGATTGCTCCGAGGTGTGTGCTTTGAAGCTGATGGTTTTGAAACCTCAAACAAAGGTTTTTACATACATTTTTCTCTTATCTTTTGCTTCTACAAAGGCTTCTACCTTTAACAAAACGAATCCTTCGCAAAATTGAAGGAATTGCTTCAAGTTGCTTCAAGTTTTGCTTCGAGGACTTTTGCTGTGGCTTTAAAGCGAAAGGTTTTGTGGTTTTGAAACCTCAAACAAAGGTTTTTATTACATTTTTCTCTTATCTTTTGCTTCTACAAAGGCTTCCACCTTTAACAAAACGAATCCTTCACAAAATTGAAGGATTTGCTTCGAGGTGTAGGCGTAAAAAGAAGTGAGGTTTTGCTTCGAGGACTCTGCTGTGGTTTTAAAGCGAAAGGTTTTGTGGTTTTGAAACCTCAAACAAAGGTTTTTACATACATTTTTCTCTTATCTTTTGCTTGTACCTTTTACTTCAAAGTAAACGCTTCGTTTGTATAACTATTGACTGATATAGTGAGCTTATAGAAGCAGTTTTGTATCGTACGCACCCGGTATGTTCTGTATATTAGGTATCGTTTGAATGTTAGGCACTTGAATGAGGTTTCCTAAATTTCCAATGTTTCCTACTGTGGCGTTTCTGACTTGTTGCAAATTCGTGGCCGGTATAACGGTGAATTGTTGCCCATTGGCGCCGGTGAAAGTCAATTGCGGAGAAGTATCAACCTGGAAGAATAGCACAATTTTAACAAATCACCTTAACTACTCGACTAAACGTTCCAGAAAACTGGATACTCGCTCGATCTTGCGATAGAATTTCATCCAAAACGCCTCCGTATTGGGTACTGTTTCTGACGGGCCTCGAACTAGGTAGGACAACGACGACAAAACAAAATGAATTCGACCTACCTGCGCTTGGATTTGCGTGGTGGTCTGCTGAGGAGCGGCGGCCTGCGCAACGCTCGAAGCGATCTGCAGCTGTTGTATCTGCCCGTTGGGCATCAGAATGTTGGCTATTTGCGGCTGAGCCTGGATCAGGTTCGGAACGCCCAACGGCGGCGAGTTGATCGTCTGCCGGTACGCCATCTTAGGGCTCATATCGGCTTTCAAGCCCTAAGCCAAAAATAACCAATCAAAACAACCCTTCAATCACTCATTCACTCATTCACACATACACTTAGCTACTCCCCGTTACTGTAACTCCTCGCTTTGAAGCTTCCATAGCGATTTCAAAGCGAAGATTCGAGTAAAATACAGTTCGAACGAACCCTCACTTAGCTACTCCCCGTTAGTTATAGCAAAGTCTTCGCCTTGAAGCTTCCCCGGCGACTTCAAAGCGAAGATTCGAGTAAAAAACCACCTACTTGGGTAATCTGCGCGGTGCTCTGGGCGACGGACGTCGGCGTGTGGGGCGCCGCGACGCTGGTGGCGATCTGCAGCTGTTGTATCTGCCCGTTGGGCGTCAGGATGTTGGCGAATTGCGGCTGGGCCGAGGCCTGGATGATGTTCGGCATGGCGGCGGTGGCCAATTGGACGGGGAAATGGATGGTTTGGTACACCGTTTGGCCGTTTCCCGTCGATATGGGCACCTGGATCGGTATGGTCTGCTGCATGGGGAACTGCACCATTTGCGGTATGCTCGGTCGAACGGTCACGCTCTGGCCGTTCGACAGCTGCACCGTCTGCAGGTTCTGGATGTTCGCCGGTATGACTGTGTTCGGGGAGCGGATTATTTGGCTCGGGCTGAAGATTTGCTGGGGCTGTTGACCGCCTAAAAACACAACGAATTACTCAATTTATACTCTCTAGAAATGGAAAAAAACTGCATGTTCTACATGGTATGTTCGCTTTCTGAATGTTCATAAACATGATAAGCTGTTCGGATATAAACAGAGGTCTTTTTCGTGGATGTGCTCCATGTTAATGTTCACTTTCTGAATGATATGCTGTAGAAAATGTTGTTTATTTCAAAGATTTCTTAACTAAATAGTAAAGGAATTGTTGAATATACATAAACGAAGCTGATTAAAACTTAAACTTCTAGATCCGGACATAAACAGAGGTCTTTTTCGTGGATGTGCTCCATGTTATGTTCACTTTCTGAATGTTCATAAACATGATGAGCTGTAGAAAACGTTCGTTAGAGGTCTTATCGTGGATGTGCTCCATGTTATGTTCACTTTCTGAATGATATGCTGTAGAAAATGTTGTTTATTTCAAAGATTTCTTAGCTAAATAGTAAAGGAATTGTTGAATATACATAAACGAAGCTCATTAAAACTTAAACTTCGACTTTTTCCTTCTAGATCCCTAAATGGTAAAGGAATTGTTGAATATATCGTAGGTAAACAAAGCTGATTAAAACTTAAACTTTTTTCTTCTAGATCTGAACATAAACAGAGGTCTTTTAGGATTGCAGTATACTGACCAGCCAAGGACATGGCGGGAATGAAGAGGGCCTCCTGCCCGTCGACGGTGACCGTCTGCATGGGCTGCATGACGTTGTAGGCGAGGTGGTTCTGGGCGGCGGCGGCGGCGCTGACCTGCTGCTGGAGCAGCTGCTGTTGCAGCTGTTGTTGCAGGCCGACGGGCACGCTGACGACTTGCGGGCTCGCCGCCACCGGGACGCTCTTGACGTTGACGTTCGTCGGCGTCGTGGGCGTCGTCGACATGGCGACCGTCGACGTTGCTGGTTCGCCGGACGTCGGGCCGATTCGGCTGCAGGTGGCAGCCAGCAGGGCTAGCGGCGAGGGTGTTGGTTTGTTGTATTCCTGCAAGAATTGAGCGATTTTAAAGATATATTCAAACAACCAATCAAATCTCTCATTAGACTAAATTACTGCACTCTCATTGGCAGTTAATGATTATCATTTCGTACGGTTTGCAAAGAGAAAAACGTACCTAAATGCTTAAATTTATGGTGCATTAGATACGATATATTGTGCTCTATCCAGATCCGTTAAATTGGTTCTTTTTATTCCGACTCGTGTCTATCAACCCCCGCAGAAATGTTATCTGTTTATAATCAATCATCGTTTTGCCCTTAATGCACTTTCATCCCCCTATAACAACGAAAATAACTTGAAAGTCCCAGCATTGTCGGTACATCACGCTCGGTTTGTCAATATTTTATCTCTATGGAAGTTAATTATTTGGAGTTCTAATTTGATGTTTGATGGATGCACTTAATTAAACGGTGGAATTAACTATACACATAACATGGGCATTTCTATGAGTTGAACAAAGAAAGATTGTTAAAATGACAGTTGTCAGAGTGAAAAGTTGCAATGACACAAATGTCGCTCTTTCTTCTTCCTTTGTAAGTGTCTCATGGAAGATTGTTAAAATGACAGTTGTCAGAGTGACAAGTTATAATGACACAAATGTCACTCTTTTTTTTTCCTTTATAAGTGTTTAATTGAAGTTGTCTATATTGCAATAAAAAATGGAGCAATCTGTATAAAGTATGCAATTGGTTATTTTAAAACCAAACAATTAGGACAACTTTATTAATGAATAGAAATTTAACGGTTAAATAAGGAATTTTTTCAGATTGGCTCTTTTAAATAACAAGAAAGTCGGCTCCGATGCTGTTATTTTACCTGCATCTTTCTTTGGTTTCTATAGGTAGGCAATTCATGTGATAACAATAGAAGTTTTACATTATATTCCCAGAAGATGCCACACAATCGTGCCGTTAAAATATTGACAATACTTTATTGTATTTCTACTTATAGTTCTATCGGTTTTGAGTCTATGATATGCCTTTATTTACCTATAACATCACTGATGGGAGGATATGGCAAAAGTTAAGCAAACCAAGAAAGCTGTAAAATATTTATGACCAATTTTAGGAAAGTTTTGATTGTTAATCAAGCACTGATCGGTCGAAATAATGCTCAAGTATTTAAAACGTCGATCAGCGAAAATGTGGAATAAAATTGATAACCTCTCTGTTGCACCTAACCTAAGTAAGTAGATTTATAAAGCGGATATAATAAATTAGCATCAAGGTCGAAACGAAATAATATTTTACCGATACAGAAATCCATAAACACTACTATAAATCGGTTTATTTTAAGATGTAAAGAAAGTCGATTCGATTCGAAGAACGTTTGTTTACACACAGGTACAGGTATTTTCGAAAAAGGTGGGCTCGCTATTGCGTTGTAATGACTATTATTGGACATCGGGCACCAAAAAAGCACACCCATCCGCTAATTCAACACGAAACATCGCCCAAGCAGGATGATCCCCCGACCTCTAAAACCGGGCGACCGGGCCAGCCGCACAACCTCCAATCTAAACTAAACAGGGACACAAAAGCAACACCCACAGAGAGCCGCCGGCCTGCGACCGCCCCTGTCGCGATTTTCTCGCGCCGATTTCGCCACCGCCGACGATCGGGAACGTCGCCCGGGATCCCACTCACCTGCGAGGAATTCTCGACGTATTCGACGCGGACCTCTTGCACTTCAGATTTCATAATTCGCCGCTAATTCGGGTGGTATCAGTCGCATCGTCGGGTGCTCGTGTGTTGCGGTGTGAAGCGGGCCGACGGCACGCGATATGGCGAGTCAATCGATGTTCGACGATCCTTTGTCACTTTGCACGGCGTTTTTCCGGCGACGATGGGGCGCGATTTTCGCGGAAACGTCGTTTCGCGTACGGTTAATTAGACGGATCGGCGATTGGGCGTGAAAATTTCGGTGCAAGACGACCGACAACGGCCTAAATTTCGAATTACAGGCTGGGCGAACGGAACGCAGACCACGCCATTCTGGGACTGGCTTTTCGGGTGGGGAGAGTAGGATAGGATGTCGCCGCAACGCGCTACGAACTGGCTGCCGAGTGGTTCGGCAGAGGCGGCGCCGTTGTTTGGCCGACGATTAAATAAATACCCACGATTTAATTAAATTATAATAATTTTATTTGCAATTTTTATTTAATGTTGTTTATCAAGTTGGCGGTTACGTCAATTTTCTTCACTTTATGACAGGAATTGTAAATGACATGGAACGACAAATTTGTTGACGTATACTAATTTTATTACACACGTTGTCAAAAAGTTACCTACTAGATTAAAACAATAATTCTTTTCAAGAATAATAAATTCTCGGCAATAAATTTATGAATAAATAGTCTGGTTGTAAAATTGCGTCGCAATTCCCTTGATAATATTATACAGTTGGCGTTTATAATTGAGGTGAACATTTTTTTATTCAATAATACACAGGCAGATGCAAAATCGTTCGTAATATAGGCTATGAGTGCAACAGAGACAACTTCCGTTAGTCTCATGTAGTAAGAAAGCAAAAGTGATCATGTGTGATTGCATTTTCTCACTCTAACAGTTGGTATTTTAATAATCTTTTCTTGTTCAACTCATAGAATCCATCATATTGCATTTACAACACATTTGCATTTACCTTTTCAATTCCTTGTGTAAATTCTCTACAATTGTTGAAAAACGTGGCTTTAAATAATGCTCTGACCTCCATATTGTTATACCTACTACTTATACAACCCGAACAACTTCCTCTAATTTTCTTGTTGATAACACTTATGATTCACTTCATTTAAATTGATGTTCTTCGTAAAATTACATATTTTATTAAATGCTGCCACAATTTAACTCATTTTTTCTTAATAATAAATCCCATCAAACCGACTTTGTATCCTCCCCAATTCCCATCATAGTCACCTCTTTACCTACCCTCGTACGATCTCAAAGCTCACCCTCTTCTACTTATTAAACAACATCTTTCTACCTACTCAGGAAACATGCAATCCGACGACCCTGTTTAAGCAAATGTTTACACGAAACCATCAAAAACCCATTCGTTTTTACACACATCAACATGTGCTTTAGTTCGAGCGAACGCTGCGCGAAAAGACCTCCAAAAAAACCATCAGAATTTCAAGAAGACAGAACAGGTGGTGCCCCGCCGGCTGCGAAGCGCCGCCACTGGGCCCCGTCGAGGGCTTTCTCTTTCAGTCAGATGTTGCCCGAACCCCAGCCGCGGGCTAAGGGGCGTCAGCCGATAGCATTTGCGTCCTCCCATTTGACCTTTGTCCCCGAAACCCTATCAATCCGCTCGAGGAACTACCGACGATATTTTATGCCTACCTACAAGTAAACTAAACCGTCGTTTTATCTTCTCTTCTCTAGGATGTCGCTTTGTTTTTTGGGCCCTACACTACTCAATACTCAGCTGACGAAGTTGCGAATAAAATAAATCCCATTCGCGTTGACTGTGTCGAGTTAATAATAGAAATATCGGGAGTTGGATTATGAAAATTTGAGTGTGTATGGAAAGCACGCCTTTGATTTTACTTTTACTCCGTACACATGCAGATGAGTTTAGTTAAACTGTATTAAGAATGTTTGCTCGATTGCCAGATTTTCGAGTTTACATTAGGAATTGGTATAGCCAAAGAAAGTATCTTCCCTGGATGAGGATGATGCTTTAGTTATCCAGTTCTATCTAGTTGTTTTATACTTTCCTACAATTATTGTGTTGTACTACTCCACGAATGAAAGTGGAAGCAATTTTTGAACAAGTACAAAATAACCTTACTGTTCCTTCCATCCTCAAATAAGCTCCAAAATGATACAACATCTACCTACATTCCTAGATGCTTATACTTCGCAATGAACTTTGAATCGGCCTACAAAACTATACAGCAATGAGCAGGATGATATAAAGGAATAATAAGTGAGTAGATTGGAAGATTCTGCGATAATATTCGATCCGGCAACGGCTCAACTCGAGCAAGTGGACGTGGAATTGTGGAGTGTAGAGTAGAGTGTAGAGTGTAGAGACCCCGAAACCCGTTGAGTTCAGGGGCTGGTCGTCTAGCGGGGGTGTTGCAGGGTTACGCCCACCGCCTTTGCAACGCACCTTCCTCGTGCGAACTGCGAAAATCGGAATTCGGACGGGAAAGTCGAGGAAATTTTAGTGCGATGGGTCCGATCGCTGAGGCTGGGTTGGAGAGGAAGAAGCGGTGAAGTCGAAACGGTTCGAATTTTTGCGATTTTTCCGAGGTCGTGGGGCCGGAAAAGTCGCGCGGGAAAGTCGGTGGTGTGATGGGAAAAGTGCTTGGAGGAATAGATGAGATTGATATGAAATTTGATATGTAACTTATAGAATGTTCAAATAAAATGTTGCTTGTAACTTTCCGTTGTTCTGTTCACTCAAAATACAGGGTGTTGAGTAATTGAGTGCTCGATACTTATGGATGTGAATATTCGGGTGATTTTGGGAAGAAAAGTTTATATCAATATACGTCCTAAAGCTATTAGTTTTCGAGTTACAGGGTGTTACCAGTTTTAGAAAAAAAAATAACTTTTGGTTGTAAATGTAAATGTAATATTTTTACCTATTATGTTAATGTTTTTAATATTTTTATAGTTTTTTTGTGCATTAAACAGGGTTTGTTTCTTATTTTTTCTTTATTATTTTGTAGCTCTGTTATTTTTTGAAATAAATAAATAAACAGCATATCAAATTTTAGAGGAACCAAATATGTCTTTACAATTGTCCCATATGTTTTTCTATATAATTGTATTGTCTCTTTAGAACCGACATATTGTCAACATTTTAAAAAATATGTAAAATCGTTTTCTTCCTTTTTCAAAAAAAAACTTTTTAATACCTCTATTCTTTAGTTTAGGAAGTTGTGAATTTAATGTGGTATCAGCATTTCTAATAAGAGAAAAAATAAAGCCACATTTTAGGATTTAATTTGAACTATTCAAATTTTACAACCGATTTGCCCCAGTCTACTTTACAATTTTCTTATTACTCTAGATATTTTTATGAAATTTCGGACGTGGGCGTCACTGGTATTAGCAGAAATTTAATTTTTGTTCAAAAAAAATTTGCAAATTGGGAAATAATATCGTTATATCCACCTTCACGATGCATGATGACATTTCAATTCAATACAAATTTCTATTTTTGCTTCATCATTACTTCAATTATACCCACTTGATTGGCAAAGACGATAATTAGTTACTAAAAAAATGGTTTGTCATAGTTATACAAAAAAGTTTTGATGTTATCAATCCGATGTTATCATCATCATCAGATATAATGAAATTGGAAAAGTTTGTAGTAGAAATAAAAAATACAAATTACCGGTTCAACAAGAAATTTATTCTTTGGTAACGTGGTTTTCACTCTATCATACAACTAGTAGGAATGCTTATGCAGACACAACGAAATTAGGTTATATCAGTACAGACTGGATGCCTCTTAACGTAAGAACAATAAATTATTAAAAATAAATAAAAACTAACAATGAATTGCTTCTAATATGGCCAGCCAGACTGACTAGATTTCACAAATTCGAAGAAAATTAACAACGATATAAAGATATAGTTAAATTATCAAACAAATTCCCTCATTACCAGCGGTATTTCCAACCAATTATTTTATCAAAACAAAACATTAGAATATTGGAAATAAATCTATTCCTAACGCAAACAATATAAATATTCCAATTATCTCCCAAACAATTTTGAAATATTTTCTACTATATTTGCTTATCAAGTTTAAATATTAGGAAGCCGACTTTTGAGATAATGTTGTTTTAAACCGCTAGAAATGATTGAATTTGATATCATTTTAATGTGTAAAATATTGATCATATCAACACAACTAAATTCGTTGCACTTTAAATTAATACAGTTACTCTTTATACATGTTTGAAAAAATTTTTAGTCGTTCCAATATGCATCTATTGTAGTATAAAATATGTGTAGGTCAATGTAATGACTCTGCAAAGATAATATACAATGTTATTTGTCACAGTACCTACTTATTGCTTAAATTACTAAACAATATCTATAAATAGATAGTAAAGTGTAAATATTAAATATTAAAATGTAAAGTAGGTACTTGACAAAAGTACCTCTCTTATATATTGTTGCAGAGTCACTATTAATGCACCAAAACATTTTAAACTTGTACAAAGAATTACTTTACATCTGATAACATTCTCAAATCAAAGTCAAAATTTACTTTCCCGACGTCTTTCCCGATTTCCACATCGAACATTTAAAATGTGCAGATATTTTTAATTAGGAGAGCTTCAACATTTAAATAGCCTATACCTATTGTACGCGATTTAGAGTAAACACATAAGAAGAATATTAGGTGACAAATTATTTATCAATCTGCAGGTTTACTCTAAGTTGCGTACTTAACATTAATATATGTCAAATTTGAGAACTTGAATCGATAAGATATCACAAAGAATTTGTATATATAACAGTATAAGGTAACTAAATTGATATCTCAAATTCATAATGAATATCACTTCTTTTTTTTGCAATGTAGTAAGTTGTAGAAATAGATTTGTAATTTTTCAATAACCATCAGTGTGTATTGTAGCACTTTAGGTAATTAAAAATACTGTAAACTATAAACTATGATGTTCATAGTTAAAATTGGATGCATATTTAATTGATAGCATTTACCAAAAATACATTTATACTTTATTTATTATCATTAATAATTCAGAGCAAACCGTACTTTTACTATACACAAATGTATTCAGTCTTTAGTGGCTATAATGAAGATGGTATTTATTGAGTATTAAAAATACAAATAAAATACTTATGGTTCGAATATAAATAAATGGACGATATATTAAATTTGGACAAAATTCTCTCAAATAAATAAACACTGTTTTTCTAAATTTGCACCGTAATGATTATCTAATTATATTGTTCAATAAAACACTGATAATGCTTACTATTTTAAATAAACCAGATTCATTGATAAATACAACAGACATTTAAATTTTGATTGTAAGTACCTACATACTTATGTGAAATTTTCAAGCCAATCATCATTATCAATTCAATAATAAAACAATCAATATTAACAAAACTAGCAATAGCAATTCGAATACCAAAAATGACTCATATACAAAATTTAAGTACCCTTTTTTTTTACAAAATTGGCCTAAAAATCATCACAATTGAAATTTTAATACCCGTATTCAACTAAATACAAACCAACAGCGCATGCATTTGTGTATTAATTCTTTTTTAGAAAAAAGATTAGTCTTAAAATCCATCAACTAAACTCTAACATTCTCGTTATCAATTAAACGTGCCAACAATTTCATTCGTTCTTCTTCTCACCTTGCCCGTTCTGGAACCGAATTTTCGTCTTACCCTTCCCAGGGCCGGCCTCCGCCTTTTTCGCATAGTACTTGTTGTACAAAACGCACGTTATCACAACACCAACCGATACTATAACCATAATCAACAACCAAACGATCATATTGACAATCTGCGTTTGCTCGAACAGCTCCCGACCGTGCTTGATGCAAATCAACGCTTCGGCCACCATTATGCACCCGTACACCCAACATTGGGTACCCACCCTTTTACACGATGTATCAGTTACATAACAATAGTATTGTCTCACTGAAGGTGCTACGATAACTCCGATGAGTACTAATCTACCGGATACCAAGAAATGCGAAGCCGGTAGCTCGAAAACGTGCTTCAAAAAGAACGTATTCAACTCGGACGTCTGCCAAAACAACACCAACTGGCACAACGAAATGATCCGCATGTAGGAACACTGCGGATCCAACCACCTCACCGACGTCCAGCTCTCCGGCGTGAATTGCAACACCGCCCGTTTGATCTTACCGGTCGTGGTGTGGATCTTCTTGATGCCCACCCACGTGTACTCGCGCATCTCCAGCATCTTGCAGATCTTCAGGCCGCACCAGATGCCCAAGCCGTTGCAGACGAGCACGTCGAGGATGAGAGCGTCCCACCAGCACTCGATGAAGTTGGGCAGGAGATGGGCGAAGGCCAGCTCGGTGATCTCCCACATGCAGCTGATGGCCCACAGGATGCCCATGTGCCTGATGAGGACGGCCTTGAACAGCCAGCCGAGGAAGTGGCCGACGGCGAAGACGTCCACGTGGCTCCACAGCCGGTCGAGGGTGATGTCGGAGCAGTTGACGCCGTACTCTTTGTCCATGTCGATGTGGAATTCGGAGAGCGAGGGGTCCAGCCAGAGGATGATGCTCTTGACGGTTTGGTAGTTTTGGAAGAGGATGAACAGGCAGAACATGAGGTAGAGGACGCTCGTGCCGAAGACCATGCGCCAGATGGCTGGATGCGGTCGGATGAATGGGCCGTTCGGGAAGGCCAGCACCGAGATTATCATGAAGAAGAAGCCGCAGCATAGCAGGCCCGACCAAATGTTGTTTTCCAAGTTATCGGTGTCTCTAAAAAAGTGTTGTTTATTATAAATAATTTATTTCGAGCGATATTGAGCGTTGTTTTGGTTTTCGCCTTATCTCTAATACCATCGACTGATTATCGAATATCTATAAAAATTATCATACGTGCATTACTTGCATAATTGCAATAAAATTCATCCTACAAAAAAACATAAAATATATGAAATAAAAATCGAAAAACTTACCTGACGAATGCAAAGTATATAAGCGCAGCGATGGATATTAACAATAACGTTATAGTATGTGGATTATAAAAAAATTGCAGCGAAATATCATCGACCGGCTTTTCGTTGATGGTGCAAAAACTGTCGTGCCTTTCTCGGGCCATCGTGTCTTTCGAATGGGCGCTCTTCATCGCGACTCTACATTAATATAAAGTGCTTATGTAAATCTGACCTTTAGTGTGCATAGAATCGAGATAAATATTTAAAATTAGGTACTTGTGACATTTATTGCGAAATCATAACGTTACGTGGTATAATTTGGTTCAATCGCGGAATTGTTCGATTTGTATTTATCGGGTTATTCGGCGTACTCTCGTTGGGAAATGGGGAAATTCGGAAATTCTGAAAATGTGACGTTTTCTGTCAATCATTTCATCTGTCATGTCAAGGTCAAATAAATAAGGTCGAATTAGAGTAATAGCTGATGCCTCAGTAGTACAAGACACATTTATCTTCTTTTTTGAATTGTTAGTTTCATTGTCATTTGTCAATGTTGTCAACGTCAGATAAGTCAAAATAGATGATTTTCGGTATTTTACTTTTTCAATCGCCTAGCTATTTGCTGTAATTGCTGCTATTTGGAATCGACTGAAAAATAACTATTGGGTGATTAAAATCCAGCTATGACTGTAATTAATAAGGTACGTAAAAAATTATGTTCATATTCATCTTTTCCGAATCTTTACGTTCAGTCATTTGTATTGTCTTTTGTTATTTCCAAAATGTCATTAAATTAATATTGTTCGGAAATTTCGGTAAAATGGGACAAGGCTCCCTGACAAAATTAAAAAGGAATAAAAGGAAAAAAAGTTTATTAGCAACCACATCAAAGGGTAGTGAAATTAAACCTTCCTCTGAAGTGATTGTCAACATGGTTACTTGCATCGAAAGAAATCCTAAAGTACTAAAGATTCGAGTTTATTATTAAATGTAACTAAAATCCTCTGTATTTCAGATGGAGGTCGATGGACCTCTCAAGGGTGAAGGGTTCAGGTCCTACTACATTACCAAAATAGAAGAATTGCAACTAATCGTTGCTGAAAAAAGCCAGAACCTTAGAAGATTACAAGCCCAAAGGAACGAACTCAATGCCAAAGGTAAACACTTTAAGTGAATTAATTGATATTTATTAATGATGTTTTTATTTCTATTCTACAGTTCGCATGCTTAGAGAGGAACTAATGCTCCTTCAAGAACAAGGAAGCTACGTAGGAGAAGTAGTCAAGCCCATGGACAAGAAGAAAGTGCTGGTGAAAGTCCACCCGGAGGGAAAATTCGTGGTCGACATCGACAAAAACATCGACATCAACGACGTCACGCCGAATTGTCGAGTCGCCCTTCGAAATGAATCCTACACTTTGCACAAGATCCTACCCAACAAGGTACTAAAAAAAATAATTACCGGAGGCATTTTCTATTTATTATACTTGGTTACATTCCAGGTGGATCCTTTGGTGTCCCTTATGATGGTCGAAAAAGTGCCGGATTCCACTTACGAAATGGTCGGCGGTCTGGATAAGCAAATCAAAGAGATCAAAGAGGTGATTGAATTGCCCGTGAAGCATCCCGAGCTGTTCGATGCCTTGGGCATCGCCCAGCCCAAGGGTGTGTTGTTGTACGGGCCGCCCGGTAAGAAGTTTCTGTTTAATTTTCGTCGAATTTTACATGGATTTTTTTAAGGAACCGGTAAAACTCTTCTGGCTAGAGCTGTGGCTCACCACACGGAATGTACCTTTATCAGAGTATCTGGTTCGGAGTTGGTGCAAAAATTCATCGGTGAAGGTTCTCGAATGGTCAGAGAACTGTTCGTGATGGCCAGAGAGCACGCCCCATCGATCATTTTCATGGATGAAATCGATTCTATTGGATCCTCGCGTATCGAATCAGGTAGTCGATGGGTTTATTTCGCGATTACTTTAGTGTAAATATCGTTTTTCGAAGGTTCCGGTGGCGACTCGGAGGTTCAAAGGACTATGTTGGAGTTGCTGAACCAGCTCGACGGGTTCGAGGCCACGAAGAACATTAAAGTGATAATGGCAACGAACAGAATCGACATTTTGGATCCGGCTTTGCTGAGGCCCGGCAGAATCGACAGGAAAATCGAGTTCCCGCCACCGAACGAGGAAGCCCGATTGGACATCCTGAAGATTCACTCGAGGAAAATGAATTTGACCAGAGGGATCAATTTGAGGAAAATCGCGGAATTGATGCCGGGCGCTAGCGGTGCAGAAGTGAAGGTATTGAATTTTGATTTCTGGTCTATTTTCGAGTCTAAAATATTTAATTGTTGCAGGGAGTGTGTACTGAGGCTGGTATGTACGCCCTAAGGGAGAGAAGGGTGCATGTAACACAAGAGGATTTCGAAATGGCTGTTGCCAAGGTCATGCAGAAGGACTCTGAGAAGAATATGTCTATTAAAAAATTGTGGAAATAAGTTTGTCGAGTATATATTAATTTTGTATTTATGTTGTAAGGAATAAATTGTCGTCTTTAAAAGATGTGCTGTTTGTTTCAACATTAATTTTCCTTGTTATTAAACGTGACATTCAACGTGTTTGGAGCTTTTAAACAGGATAAAGTATAGGAAAATTCTAATTTAGTAGTGTACTTTGGTATGATTAATTGCATAATACCCTATGTGCGCAAAGCTGGAATATATCCTTTAATTTAATTAGCTCTATAAGGTGGAATTTATTCAAATTGCATTCAACTCAGTCGTGGTTTCAATTTACAACCTTTCAAATCGCATTATCTCTTATAAAATTGCTATTTTTTCAATATTCTAAACTCCTGTGGTTTTCGAACTTTTGAATGCGTAAGTAATTCCTAATAGAAAGAGGTACATTAAACGTACATAAAACATTTTATAGTACCTACCAACATGGATACCGACAGGATGTCCTATATTTTCGGCAGTTTCGCCAGGAGAAGGCAAGGCCAGGAACAATCGGGGGCCAAAAGGCGATCGATAGATTCTACAAAGAAACCAAACGATGACCGATTGAGCCCCAATACAGCCAAGAAACAAATGTTAACATTTCAAAGAACCAAAACTAATTTCACAACCTCCCTAGACGACGCTAAATTCAGGTCGTACAAGTGCTGGAATATTGCCTCTTTTTATTCTATTAATAATGCAATTTGCAGGTGTCCGCTATGTAAAAATCAATACGAAGATCCTAGAATACTACCCTGCCTTCACACGTTTTGCCTGAAATGCTTGGAACAGCTGGAACAAACAGATTTCTCTGTTTGGAACGACGACGATGACGGTAATTTAATAACAAACAATATGTTTCGTAGTCCATTCGCAATTAAAACGAAATATGCTATTGCAAATCCTTACAGAGACGAAGCCTTATAAAGAAACCCTTTAATTTACTTCAATCACACTACGAAATTTTCAGCCCAGAAAACATCCAGCTCGTCCGGATCCATAAAAGCCAGCTCGGCAGGTTCAGGATACACCAGCGACAAACCCGACGATCTAAGTCCTGGAAAATGCTTCTTCTGCCCGTCCTGCGGATCCAGCGCTGACCTGCCGATCGAAGGCGTCGGAGGATTCCTGCCCAACTACCCCCTGCTACATAAAATGCTCTCCGCCAATGTCAATCCCAGCAATTACAATCACTTATGCGACGTCTGCACTTCAGATAAATCCGTACGGTTAATTTTCTAACCAGGTTTTATAGGTTTTTGAGTAATCCACATTTCCAGATAACGTTTAGATGCATCGATTGCTCGATAAACCTTTGCGACGTTTGCGAAGAAAACCATCACAAACAAAACCCCTCCCAGAAGCACAAAATCGCGACCTTAGGCGAAGCAGCTAAACAGCCTTTGATGTGCTTGAGGCACCCCGACATGGAACTGGTTTTGTTCTGCTCCTCCTGCAGCCAGGTTATTCACCCCGAATTAATCAAATAAAACAACATCGCTTGATGGATTTTCCAATAGGTAATCTGCAAGGATTGCCTGTCCAACGCCCACCGAGACCACTCCTGCGAGCCGGTTTCGAAAGCCATCAAATACCACCAAGCCAAATTGAAATCCTTGGCGGATCGCGCGAGGAACGCCGTCGAGGATTCCGCGGTGGCCTCCAGCAAAATAAATTCCCTTTCCAAAACCGTCGAAAGCCAATGCAATTCCGTCCAAAGCGAGGTGGAACAGTTCATCGAAGAGTACATCCAATCGGTGGAGCACCACAAGTCAGGTCTGCTGGAGCAAATCAAAGAGGTAAACGATGATATTAATACAACAACAAGGAGTGTTAGGAATGCTCTAATCGAAAGGTGAAAGAAGAGAAACTCCGCAGCATCGGCGAGGAAAAGGAGAAGGTCCAGAAGAGGTTGCGCGACGCCCGAGACGTGGCCTACTTCCTCTCGGACTTGCTGGCAGCCACCGACGCCGAAATGCTCGTCTATTTGCCGCTGGTGGCGGAGAAAATGGCGAAATGCGGCGACCCGCCCGGGACCGATTTGAAGGTGTCCGGATCGCTGCATTTCCTCAAGGAGGAGACCGTCAAGTGCCCGAACGATTTCTACACCGTCTACGGGGTTCTCACGACGCAGAGCGTCTCGCCCGAAAATTGCTTCCTCAACACCACCGGTAGGTTCAACTGGTGGATCCGACGCGAGTAAAATGCTGCTGTTGCAGTGCTTCAAAACCTGCGGGTGGGGAAGAAAGTTGAAGTCCTGCTGGAGACCAGAGATCACGACGATGTGCCCATCGAAAGAGGCGGTGAAGAAGTTTCTTCTAACATCCTCCATTGGGAAGGCGGCGTTTCGAAATCCTTGATAGTTAATGTGAAAGATAAAAGGAACGGTATGTATGTCATTTCCTTCACGCCCGATGTTCCAGGGAAGCTGATTTTGAACGTGAATATTAAAGGACAACCGGTGAAAGTAAGTAGATTCTACTATACTATAAATTTAGTAATATAATTCCCATTGAATCCTGCGAATAGGGTAGTCCTTTTCCTGTTAACGTGAGGACTATAAAGCAACACATCGGGTTGTATCATTGTTGCACCTTCTGCTCTTCCAAGGGTAATAAAGAAGCTGTTTGTGGGTGTGCTGGGGAAATGCCTGGTGGGTAAGTGGATGAATTCGATTAATAGTGTTTCTAGATATTCGAGAATATTATTTTTTTGAAGATATAAAGGTTGTGGTCACGGACATGAAGGCCATCCAGGCAGGCGACATTGGTCCTGTTGTGGGAGTATTTTGGAGCATTCCGAGTGTACTGGGTTTAAGCAATTTGCTAGTAATGGAAATTAGTCGCTTTATTTTTGTATTAATAACATATATTTATTGTACCTAAATGAGAAATAAAGGAAATTTTATTTGCTAAATACACATGAAATATAATCGATTAGTTTCGACGCATTTAATTAATTTTGCCAGCAATTTTTTGTGCTGCATTGAACTAGAAACATCCTGCTGTAATAACCAGTAGCGTAGTTATTATTTTTATTCATATAAAACATTTTTGCGATTAATACACTATTATAATATTCCCCAGTTTGCTGTAGCTACTCTAATTTATTTGTATAAAAAAAAAACGAATTTTCAACGAGTGCTTTCTGATTGCAATTCGTGCAAAAATAAATAAACATTTTACGATTTCTTTGCGTAATATAATGTACCATTAATTACTAACAATTACTTCACATTGGAATTAAACCCAATTACTTGTTAGCTCAAAGTACAGAAAATAGTGAAATGAATCGGCTGTACGCACACTACTGTTCAGTAATTTTTTTCTACTAGATTCCCATCGTTCATTGTCTACTTTAAATTATCCATGAAAATTAGAGTCTCGAAATCACCGTTCGATTATTTATTTTTTTTTGTAATATGATTATCATTTTTACCGCATCCGATTAATTCCATGGAATGGAAAAATTCGATTTTGTGCCTGTTTGTGGTGGTGACGGCGGCGGAAAAAAGCGCCAAAATCGTCAATGTGAGTAAAATTTCCTAAAAAAAAAAATGTTAATCATCATCATTAATTCAGTAAACTGTTTTTCTCGAAACACAGCATCCTCCCAGTCTCTCCTACACTCGCTACTTTCCTCGATAACAGTTAGTTAACTATTTTTCAGGGTATTTACAAACCTCGTGAACCAAACAGGGGCGAGTTTCCATTCCAAGCAAGCCTATTACTCAAAATCAACAACTCTTATGTGCCATTTTGCGGCGGCAGTTTGATACACCCCAAATGGATCCTCACAGCTGCCCACTGCTTGGAACAGAACGACCATCCAATACCCATGTAAGTACCCAATAAGAAGTACCAATTGTCGGTCTATTACCTGTCGAATGACCTTCCGATTTCTTGCAAGAGATCTGCTGAAAGTCGCCTTGGGCAGCATCTACACGGACGGTAAAGGAGCCCAACGAATTCCGGCCCACATCACCTACATGAACAAGAAATTCTTCGAGGAGGAAGGCCACGACATCGGCTTGATTTTGTTGAGGAAAAACGCCCAATTGGGGAGGAACGTCAAGCCCATTAGGCTGCACACCAACAACAGGGAGAACCTGATCGGGACTACTGCTTATTTAACCGGATTTGGAATTATAGATGGTGAGATGATAAGAGTGTAGATTGTCTGTTTAGAATACCTTTGAAATTTGTTTTGTAGATCATTATCATCAGCCTGATAGATTGAGGAAAGCGATTTTACACATCGATTTTCCATCGAAATGCTTCTCGAATCTAGACGAACATTCTGATATATGTTGCACTTCGTCGATTTCCGAAGGGAAAGCTTGCAAGGTAATTATTACAAGCAAATAAAAATCCCGAATATTCGTTAATCAGAAGCTGGTAAATATGAAGAAAATATACAGAGTGTCGGAGAAACACTCATTCACAAAAAATTGGCTTTGTAATTGATTAAATAATCCAAATCCAAGCGTTTTCCGCATATTTGTTTTCTCGTTTCACGCATATTTGCATATTTCTCGTATTAAATTCGCATTAATTCGAAATTGTTATTCGCTTGGTAAAGGTTAAATGAACTAGTCAATAAACGTTTAGACATCGCTAAAATCCTTTGGGCGTTAATCGAGGCATTGTTGAAATGAGAATGAAAAATTATCCGATAGATAAAATTGCTAATAATTATAATTTCCAGGGGGACAGCGGAGGTCCTTTAACGATCCGCAGGAACGGTAACTACATACAAGTGGGCATCACCAGTCATTTGGCGATATTGCCAGTGTGCAAGATAATGTTCAATAATTCCGTTTACACCAGAGTATCGGCTTATATCGGTTGGATATCGAAAGTAACGGGGATCGATTTTTCGACATTCAATCAAACCTAAACCAACATTTCACCTCAATTAATTTTATTTATAATTATTTTCTTATAAATTGAAATAAAGTAAGTTTGAAATATGCAGAGGTTTACATGTATTAATTATGTTAATTTTATTCTAAGGTTATTGCCTGGCTGACTGATTGAACTATTAATTGATTAATTTCTGTTAACGCACTTGGTTAGTTTATTGAACATTTTTGAGAAATATACACTTAATTTGTACTTGAAAAAAAATATTAACATTTTGTTCAACTCAACTAGAATACCTGCATTTAATAGAAATTGCTCAACTAACGCAAATGCGTAGTTGTTAAGCGTCTTGTTAGTATAAAAATATAAGTTTAAAATAGGTTATAAGTAAGTTGCAATATTTTTCGTGATTTTGGATAAAAATTCTGAATTTACGCGAAACCTTGAACGAAAAACTTGTTGTAGAACAGAAAACTAGATAATAGAAGAATATAAAATCATGTGTGTTTTCTATTTATCTGGCCTTCCTTTAATGAAGCCGTAGATTCGACATAATCAGAGCATAAAACTGTAATTAACAAATTGCTGTTACATTATCATGTAAATAATCAATTATACATACATTACGTTCTATCACTTCTATGGATAATTTATGTATAACATAATGGTTGCACAAAATTTGAACTAATACATTTGACCTCCCGAAATTTAACCTGCTACAAATCAAACCTTCAATTTTATATTTTACACAATAATTTGGTAATTTTTGCCAACAATTTTCATTCAACTTTTTATTATTCTTGACCTGTAGACTTCCTTATCCAGTTTTTTTTATCTTTCGAACTTCAAATTTCTGTTACTCGTAACTCATTCAACAGTTCTTCTCAGATTTAGCGTAAATTCCTACCTGTTAGAGCAATATTTTTTTAATTACTGTTGTCGATTAAATCCCGACGAAGGTCGTCGAATCTTAGTTAGATCCAAACCACTGAATCCGCGTAACAGACTAAAATAAAATACAAAGTTAAATGCAATTTAAGTAAACAGGTTGTTAGATATCGACCGGTGAAATCGATGAAACAAGAAGTGCAATTATCATCTGGCTAGCGTGAAGAATATTTTATTGGATATTTTCGCAATGGTGTACACGATTAGCGAAAATGTGGAGAGAATCGGAGAAATGTAAGTATTTAAATAGGATTCAAATACAATTTCATTATTCACATCTTGTATTTAAACCGAACTTTCTGTTGATAATTTAAAAAATTTTTTAGACGTTAGATAATAAAATTGCGTGATTGTATAAATTATTTTCATGAACAATTAAGCAGGTAAATGATTAATGTTGAAATTGAGCAATTAAATGGCTTGTAATTAACGCTCGGAAAAAAGTGCATAAAGAAAATTTATTTACTTTTCCATTAGAATAAAAAAAGATAATTAATTCTGTAATAATTGTACTAATGAAAACAGTAAAAAAAAATCTTTTATCTGTAGGTACATAAAGTTAGTTCGTTCAATTTGAATTACTGAAACACAGGTAAATAAAAATAAATAAGCATCAATTTTCTAATTGAGAAATTCAAAATTTAAATATCTAAACAGATTCGATTGAATCACCAAGCAATTTAAATTTATTATAATAAGAAAATTTAAATAATCGACTAATTCGTTATACCCTACATTTCAATAAATTAAATAATACTTACACACTTAATAAAATACATAGCATGATTCAATTCAAGGTATGTCAGCTAAGAATGTTCTTTTTTTCAAATATTTTAATGAAATTTCATCATTTCTCGACCCATTAACATAATTTCCTGACGCAAGTTCTCAATTTATTAGATATACTCAGAACAAATTTAAATTATTGTTAGTATAAGAAATAGATATCTCAACTAGAATAATAATTATCTACTGAGCTCAAGACTATCTAAATACCTAATTACTTGTAAATAAGGATAATCCTGAAATTAGTATGTAGATTGAAGGATTTTTTATTCAAATTTGGATTAACAATACTATTAAATATTTACCTTATTATTAGCTATTAGGTCACTCTCATCAACCTTGAATCTAATAAAATATAAACTTCTTTTCAAAATAAAATAATAATTCATTTTACTCACTTATTCAACTAGAATAATTCTAGTTGAATTTAAAAGCATTGCACATTTCCCAGACGATTTAAGAGACATTATATGAAATGCTGAATAATTTACCGGTTGAATTTGAATACGCGGAAAATCCATACTATAAAAAATACACTTACATAGGAGATATGACACCTTCATTAATTCGATTTTAAATAAATCTTTTGCAATGTCCTTGTCTTACAGAAGGTTATGTCTTGTATTTCTTTGATCTTAGCATTCACCAGGACTAGAGACATTAATTTTATCTGTAAACTAGAGTTACCCACGTTTTAGTTCTGTGATTGAAAAATTAAATAGGTAAGTACCTATAAGATGTTTGTTTCGAATTAACAATAAGTTCATTATTTAAACATTATTCACTTAATTATCCAAATTTATGCGAGATGTGGAAAAAGGTGTGAGACGGATTAGAAAAAAATAAAAATCTCATCTGTAATAAAATAAAGTCAGTTGGTGTTGAAAACTGAATTGAAGTTCTTTTTTATTCTATGATAAAATTATAAAGTAGGTACACAATTATATTTTTCGTAACAAGATAGACTACAAATAGAAATATATATTTATTTTTCAATAACAATGTGGGTGTAAATTACATTAACTACATAATAGAAGCCATAATAAGTAGGTCTCTTCCTTTAGCGACAGTCGGTATAAAGTGTTTGTTCTTTGAAGATGTATCTAACAGTGCATTAATATTTATTACTCGTGATGTTTTCTACAGACTCCATAATGTTACCTTCTTTTACTTATAAGTTGAATGTAGGATAATATATCTAATAGCTCATAAAATTCGTTTTCAAGCGGTAACACCATGGACGCCAAATTCCAAAAGATAAACACCACCGAAAACGATGGATCCTTCAACGAATTGGACCAGAAGGAGAAACTGAAAATTTGGAAAAACGTCCTTCTAATAGGATTCGCCTTCATGATCCACTTCACCGCCTTTTGGGGCGCTTCCAATCTACAAAGCTCAGTTAACTCAGAAGCAGCCTTAGGCACATTCACCCTAGCTAGCATCTACGGCTCTCTGCTCATATCAAATATTCTACTACCCGCTTTGGTCATCAAGTAAGTTCTCACCAATTCTTCGAAATCTACTTCTACATTCTATAACGGATTAAATATTGCTTTCCAGATGGCTGGGAACGAAATGGACCATCGCCTTGTCCTTCATCCTCTACATGCCGTTCATACTCTCCCAATTCCACCCGGCATTCTACACGCTAATTCCATCGGGATTGGCGGTGGGCTTGGGCGGAGGTCCTCTCTGGTGCGCCAAATGCACTTACCTGACGGTCATCTCCGAAGCCTACGCCAAACTCGCCGGCGTTCGCGCCGAAGTCGCCGTCACCAGATTCTTCGGGATATTCTTCATGTTCTACAACTTCTCGCAGGTGTGGGGCAACCTCATCAGCTCCGCCAGTGAGATATTTTTCGAGCTTCGCAATAGAACTGGTGTAATATTTAACGTTTTTTTTTTGTAGTTTTATCTTCTGGTGATGCAACGCCGATGGAAGGTATCGGTAATGGTACATCTTCAGTTGCTGATGTGTTAACCAAAATTGAATCGGACAATTCGGTTAGTACGGAGAGCCAATGTGGTGCAAATTTCTGTCCTGGATCCGCCTCAGCTGATGCTACACCCGCCTTGGCTCCACCGTCGCCGGCTAAAATCAACCTTATAGCCGGAATTTATTTCTTCTGCATGGTGGCAGCCGTGGCGATAGTCAGTATTGGCGTGGATAGATTGTCTAGGTAATCTCTATTTTTAGTTGTTTCGTTTATTCAATCTTCATTTCTGTTACCTAGCAGGATATCGATTCATTAGGATTGATAACTCGCTGGAAATAATTGTTTAAATTCCGCCAGTTTTTAGGTACAGGAAGAACAGAAACAACAACGAACCGGCTACATCCGGATGGAAGTTGCTGATAGTAACATTAAAACACGCGAAGCAACCTCTTCAGATTCTGATACTGCCCATTACAATGTTCATAGGAGCAGAACAGGCGTTCCTAGCAGCTGATTACACAGCCGTAAGTACTGTTATCGACCATTTTCCTATCAATTTAGCATTTATTCGAATCCAGGCGTTCGTTTCCTGCAGCTGGGGCATCAGCAACATCGGCTTCGTCATGGTTTGCTTCGGCGTGTGCAACGGACTAGCCTCGATATTCTCCGGGAGTTTGGCGAAAATCACCGGCAGGAGGCCGGTGGTGTACTTCGCTTTCCTGCTGCACATGGTCCTGCTGGTAACGTTGCTGTTGTGGCGACCCAGCCCCGATCGAAACTGGGTGTTCTTCCTCGTCTCGGGTCTATGGGGAGTCTGCGATGCACTATGGCTGGTCCAAATAAACTGTAATCCATATCGTTGCTGTAATCGATGAATTATTAACGATGTCATTTCAGCTTACAGCGGTATTTTGTTTCCTGGGAAGGAAGAAGCGGCTTTCAGTAATTTCCGCTTGTGGGAGTCCACTGGATCGGTCATAACTTACATCTACAGTCCTTATTTGTGTGTGCACGTTAAAGTGTACTTGCTGATGGGATTGTTGGTGATCGGTATCGTGGGATTCACCGGGGCTGAGTATTATCAGAGCAGGAATAGAAGTCTCGCGATCAGCGAGGTGGCGAAGAGCGGGCAATTCGAATTGGTCGACGACGGGGTCAAATCCGGCGAGGTTGCCGATTAGATTGCGTCGAATTGTTGCTGTGATAAATGTGTATTTTGTACGAATTTTATTAAAACTGTATCGTTAGTATTTAGTGGGAATTTTATTGGTTGATGATATCGTAAACAGTTTGTTCCGTGTACGATTAAATAACATTTCGAACTGAAGCAACAGATAGGAGGACGGGTTTTCGATTTTCGACCGCAACTTTCTCGGTAATTTATTTTATTCGGCTTATCGTGGTGTCGTAAAAATAAACAATCCGTTAAAATTAATCATGTAGTTCTTTGGGTTCGATTTGAAATCATCGCTGTTTTTACGATGATCTACAAAAGTTTGCTTTGTATTCAAATAATATTTATTGTTAAATGGGGATTATGTGCACCCGTTCGCAGCAAATTCCATCAAATACCTTCGGTTGCAGTGGTAAGATCATATGAAAAATCTGTGTAATTTATGTGTAAAATCAACAGAATGGTGTTTAATTACAGCTAGATTTCATGAAAAAATTCGGTTATTTACAACTGGATAACGACAATAACGAAGCATTGTATAGAGAAGAAGGAATATCCGATACAATCAAAACAATGCAGCGTTTCGGAGGAATCGAAGAAACAGGAATTTTCGACGAACAAACCCAGAAGGTGTGTTAAATAACCTCCCAGTTATTATCCATTGAATTAACTAAAACACCATCGACCTAGCTAGTAACTTTACCTCGATGTGGAGTCCCCGACATAATCAGATCGAAAAGGGAAAGACGGTATGTACTCGGACCAGAAAAATGGAACAAGAGAAACATTAGCTATTTGTAAGTTCCTTCTTCATTTGATTAAATAACACCAAATTGCACCTATAGAAACTTCCAGCTTAGCCAATTGGTCCCCGGAACTGGGAGAGCAACTGGTCCAAAATAACATCCAACGAGCCTTGGATATTTGGGGAGGATACGGGAGGCTATCATTCCACCGCAAACACACCCAAGACGCGGACATTATAGTGGCCTTTGCCCAAGGATACCACGGCGACAGGTAAATTCACCAGGCGTTTAATGCTCCAAACAATTTTCTATTAACCAGCATCCCGTTCGACGGTCCCGGGAAAATCCTGGCGCACGCCTTCTTGCCGCAGGAGACGAGCGATCGCGGGGGTGATATACACTTCGATGCCGATGAGTTATGGGTGGATAAATCGAATGAAGGGGATGATGCATCGGAGGGAACGGATTTTTTTACAGTGGCTCTGCACGAGCTCGGACATTCGCTCGGTTTGTCCCATTCCACGGCGCAGAATTCCATCATGTTTCCCTACTATCAGGAGCTCGAAAACGGGGTGCGTTTGGGCTACGATGATATTTTGGCTATGTATGATTTGTATAGTGAGTTGAGAAGCTTGCGAGGAGGTAATTGTTTGAATTAATTGGAAATTTTTAGTTCGTAGTAGTTTGAAAGATGAGGAGGTTTTTAAAAATTACGAGGATGGAGATGGAGGAGAGGAGACTACTGAAACTAGGTGAGAATAGTGATAGTTGTTTTCAATTAAGTGGATTTGAGTGGTTTTTAGTGAATCTACAAGTACAACAATGTCTGATAATTTTACTATTTCAACTAATTCCGAATATTCAGAAGAAGACTCGACCTATACCTCTTTGCAAACTGATCTCATGTAAGTATAAATTGCTCATAATTCAATTTTTTACAGGGTGTTTCAGAATGCTATAAAACTTCTAAGGATTATTCATTATAAACTACTATAAAAATTGTACAGTAAAGATATCTTTAAAGTCTTTTAATTTTAGTGAAACAACAGTATCTTATAATTTTACTGAAATTTCAACAACTTCCTATAAATACCCAACAACAATCACCGATAAATCATTTCTAACTGATGACTGGTGAGTATTATTCCTACAAACGAATCAATTTAAATATTTATTCCTACTAGTGCTAATGATGATACAACTTCAAATAGCTCTTCAACAGAACATGAAGACGATTGTGAATCATTTGAAACTATCGATGAAACCCAAATTTCCAATGTTTCAAGTTATCCGGATATTTGCGACGGGCATTTCGATTGCATCGCCATGCTAAGAGATGAACTGTATGTTTTTAGAGATGAAGTAAGTTGCAAAACAGCTTTAGAAACACTCTAAGTATCGCTCTATTTCCAGTATGTATGGCGATTTCGAGACAAGAGAGTGTTACTAGAAGGATATCCTGTTAAACTGAAGGACATGTTTCCGGAGCTACCGGATCCAGTGAATAAAATCGATGCAGCTTATCAACGACCAGACGGTATGGTCGTTTTGTTCACAGGTAATTTATTTAGTAAAAATATTCAGTCGGGTTGAATCGATCGGTGGTTGCAGGGAATATTTTTTGGGTGTACGATGGAGAGAAATTCGTAGAGAATAGCCCGAAGTCATTGACCCATTACGGTCTTCCTGAATATTTAACTGAATTAGATGCAGTACAGAATTGGAACAGGAACAGTAAGGACTCGGATAACATTAAATATCGAGCAATAAATCCCTATTTTTCGCAGAAAAAACTTATTTCTACAAAGACGATCGTTTCTGGAGATACAACGAATTTACCAAAGAAATGGATCCGGAGTATCCACAACATATAAATAAATGGGGAGGTGTTCCACCGTATCTTGATGGGTCTACAACGTGGAAAGACGGTGGGTTATACAGGGCGTCCCGATGTTTATGAACGTTCATGATTTGCAGGTGTAACATATTTCTTTAGAAGCGGTTTGTATTGGAAATTTGATAATAATTGGATAACGGTAACTGAAGAATCTCCGATGCCAACATCGACAATTTGGTACGGATGCTCGGAAAACAACAACAGAGTAATGGAATGGTTCGAACAAACTGGGACATTTCAGTAATTAAAATGTAGGTACATGTTCGAATTAAATACCTGAATAGAGCTATGGAACAATGTATTTTACTTAACAAGACAATTTAACACGTTATAAGAAAAATAATACCGCGATTTTCTAAAAATTATGGACTGTAAGAGACCTGTAATCTAGTCTAATTAAGTGTGAGTGCCGGTAACTAAGTGAAATTTAAATTGGTACATGTGATGAAACGGCGTTTCGAAGAACATCTCTTCAAAGACATAGAAAAATAAAATTTCATTTATTTCGATTAATTCCACTATTTAACTGCAGCACGACGCCGGGTTGGGGTCCTTCCCGGACCTCTTCGTTATGTTTATTCTGGTAAACTCCTCGGCGATGGTCGGATGAATTCCGACGGTCTCCATCAGGTCTTTCACCGTCAGATTCAACCTAAAAACAAACCGATTTCATCAAAAAACAATCCCCCAAAACCACCAAAATGGCTTACTTAATAGCCGCAGCGAAACCCTGAATAACCTCCCCGGCCGAAGGCCCGATGAAGTGCAACCCCAACACCTTCTGGCTATCCTCGCGCTTCGCCACCACCTTCAAGTAACAATTGGCGTAGTTCTTCTGCGGTATGAAGAACTCCGTGGGCTTGTAGTAACCGTGGTAGACCTCCACGTTGTCCGCCCCGAATCTCTCGATTGCCACCTCTTCGCTCAATCCCACGCAGCCGTACTCCAACGGGCTGAATACCGTCGTAGCCACGTTGTCGTAGTCCATGCATTGCTTGGAATCGGCGAAGAGCCTTCGGGCCAGCAAACGCCCGGCGTGGATCGCGACAGGCGTGAGTTCCGGCCGTTTCTGCACGGAAAAATGAGCAATTAGAAACCTTCGATATCAGTTACTGTGTGAGACTCGCTTGTCAGCTCTTGACAGTTGTGGGACAGGATCTGCTCGCTCGGTTTGTGTAATTAACGTTTCTTTAAAAACGATTCGCCTTGTACTATATTTCAATTTAATTTCAAATAATTTTTCGTTTAAGATAAAAAAAACGCCCCGTATATCAATTTTTCCGATTTCCTTAATGAAAAAACACCCTGTACGTCAAATTAAATGTCATCGTATCCATAGAAACGCAAAAGTCATCCATTTTGTCTTTCGTTCGGGAATGATCGTACGTCATCGTAGATCTGAAAGTTTTCACTTCCGGTTCGATGGCTGGCGTGAAATATGCATCGATTTCGAAAAATCTTTATAATTCGATAAATAATAGTTAAGAAAATGGGAAAAAAATTTGGTAGATAGAAAAATGTCGTATCTATAAATTTTCGCTTTCAAAATTTTCTAAAAGATGATAGTTTCCGAGTTTTGGCGTTACAAACTTGAAGACGATTTAAAAACGGTTTTTTCGAAAAAACTCGAAAAGTACAGATCGGAAAAACACCCGGTCTCTTTTGTTGAATGGAAAAAAGAATTTTCAATTATTTTGCAAGTATGAAAAATGTTCGTAAATCTTACCGTTTACGAGTTATTTCGATTTTTAGAAAACCCTCGAAAACAATTTTCTACGAAATTTTCCCAACACGAATTTTCCCTGTAAAACGGCTGTATACGAAAGTCGAGAGAACCGATGGAGAATCTGTTGGGAGATTTTGAAGCGAATCGAACGAACCCGATTCGAGAAAAGTGCGAAAAACCAAAAAAAAAACATTAATTTCGCTCATTTGACACTGAAGATGATATTTTATCGAATCGAAACGTCGATATTTCGATCGGCCGTGTACGTTTCCATAAGATTCGACACTTTTCCCAATCGAAAAAGACAAACGACGACCGTAAAAAAATAAATCTCGAGAACAACCCTACGAATTTGGACCTTACAGTTTTATACTATTTAGCGAAATAACGAAATAATTCTCGAGCTTCTAAGCCTCGTTACTCACGTATAGAACGTCTCCGACGGCGTACACGTTGGGAACGTTGGATTGCTCGTCGACGGCGTCGATTTTCTCGCCGTCGGCGGCCGTCCTGACGCCGGCTTTCTCCAAATGCAAATCCTGCGTTAAGGCTCTCCTGCCGATGGCGAACAACACCGTATCGAACACGTCGTTGAACTCCTGCTTCTGTTCGTTTTGCCACGTTACGTTCAATTTCCCGTCGGGCAATTTGTCCACTTTCTTCGGGATGCATCTACGATAAAAAAAACAAATCATTCCTCCTTCCCGTCATGCTTGAAATCTCCACTTCAAGCAGCTCTTTTATAACGCGATTAAATCATGTAAATGAGCACCTTATCGAGCACCTTATCAATCATTTACACCGCTCTAAATAGATAAATTATTGGTAAAAATCCGATTTACCTGTGCAAGAAATTAACGCCTTTGTGGCGCATCTCGGCTTCGATGATTTGGGCCATTTGCTGATCGAATCCTCTGAGCAGGATCGATCTGACCATCACGGTCGCTTTGTAACCCAAGCCGTTCAAAAATCCGGCGCATTCCAAACCGATGTCTAATCTAGCGAGTTAAGGGAAACATTACAAATTACAAAACACACTATCTTGGATAATAGAAAGGATACATCCAGCGCCGACGACTAGAGTTTTCCCCGGCGGTTTCGTCAAACTGAAAATATCATCGCTGGTAATACCGTATTCCAAAGCACCGGGAATGTTGGGGTAACGCGGTCTACCGCCCACAGCAATTAGAATGTATTTTCCTGTTAGCTTTCGTTCGGTGCCTTTCACCACCGCATGAACTGTATTGGCGTCCAAGAAACTTCCTAAACCATTAATGTATTCTACTTTCCTATAAAATACGGATATATTAAACACGTCTCTACGTTTTTAATCGGTTATTTAAACGCTTACTTATCCCTTAGTTCTACTCTCGTCACCCAATTGACCGACTTTATGTGGCCTTGTACCGCTTCTTTCAACGTCTCCCAGTTGTGCGCGATGTTCTCGGCTTGGGGGAACACCCAACCGTAGCTTTTGGCGTCCTGAAAAACCGACGAATCGCGTCAAAAAACGAGCCTTTTGGCGGTTATTTGGGGTTAGTTACTTCGATGGCTTCGCCCAAGAGGGCGGCCTGGTGCATCAGCTTCTTGGGGATGCAGCCGACGTTGACGCAGGTGCCGCCCAGGCCCCATTTGGAGCCCCTCGGGGACGGCGTGACGTAGTCCAAGACGCACACTTTGGCGCCCAAATTGGAGGCCTCTTTCGCTGCGGCCAAACCGCCCGAACCGCCGCCGATGACGATGAGATCATACTGAAAATTTTCTCCTGGAAACAGGGAATTTGGAATTGAAATCGACCGAAGAACTTCGCTAAAAAAGCGTCTGTAATCGCGGCTTTAAAGTATCTCGTTAGATAAACGAGAAGCCTTAGTATTAAAAAGGATAAATTTGGATGTTCATCGTGAAAACAATGTTTATTTTTGCTTTATGTAGAATTGCAATTACCTTCAAACATATTTCTTACGCAATATTATCTTCAATAAATAAATTAAAAAGGGTAGTTGACACTTTATACTTAAAGTGACAAGCATCTCAAAAATTTCGAATCGACGTTTTTTTTTTCGAAGATAATCTGCAACTCTGTTGATAAAGTAGATTGGAAAATAATTGAAGGTCGAACCGATTTGCTTGAATAAAAAGTAAGATATAATGTGGGAGTATGAATTATTTATAAAAATGAGCAAGAATTTGATCGAGTTAGTGCAAGCAAAACCGGTAATTTAATCATTTTTTAAATTATATCTCTCTGTAATATGCGTAATACTTTTTTAAAAATAGATAATTCATACAAACCCCATGTCAATGTTGGTATACTGAATAAGAATAAAAGAACAAACATGTTGCTTGTAATGTTGAAATTTTGTAATGTTAGTAATATTATACAGGATTTAGGCCATTTGAATTTAATGTTCAAATTTATTAACCACGAAAAACGCATAAAAGTTTCTTTAGATTATTAAAAGATAATACTTTTTTTAAAGACTATTAACAATTTTACTATTTGAGCGATTTGAAAGACTACAAATTACTTCAACAATAAAATTTTCAATTCTAACTTGCTTTACTATAATTTAAATTTGATTCCTTCAATTGACATTGATATTGAACAAAAATATTAAGTGAGTACAAGTTTTTTTTTGTACTATTTCGTGCTTTCACAAATGTAATCCATTAATCCTTGACAATAAATTATAACTTAGGTAAAATAATAATAAATGCCTAAGGGAACATGTACTGCATGCATGCGATCGTATTTTTTAGATAATATTGATTCGTCCATTTGGATATTACCTAAAAATTATTAAGGTCATACTTTGTTTGTCTAAAACATAGACAATTCGATTCCCAATACACTGTATTAGTTCGTTCACAAGCAAAAAAAACTTTCTCTTAAAAATGAATAAAGAATCTTCAACGAAAAAAATTCTGTAACATTTTAAGAGATCACCATCCCCGATGAACCCTTTATAATAGATCAATTGATCTCTCCTAACTATCGATTAATTCTCTTAATTTGTAACCCCATTTTGAAGGCCCATAACTGTTCAGGAATATAACTTGGGCTCCCCCAACTCTGTGTCGGTTCTTATTCAGGGACACCCTGTATATTTTCTAAATAAAGAACTGCAACAATGCAATACAAATATATTGTCATGTTATTAAATAATGTACACACACGGTGATGTATTTATGCTCTAAACTCTAACGTCATGTTTACTCAATATTATCCCTACTCGTAATGTAACAATGACGTCATGATAAAACATGTTCTCAATTATTGGAAAGAAAAATTGACGAGTCATTCAAGGATGACACCTGATTATTTATAACTTCCTACAGACTTGAAACACAAACAATAGGGTTATGTTAAGCCATTTCGAAAATCGAATTAACAACTTACTACTTGCAGGCTCGAAGTAACTCGTAGAGAAATGCCTGGCTAAACTAGGCGCTAATTTCGTTTTAACACTAAACACTAGATTAGTATTTCGATTTTGAATAAAACGTAAAGTGACATTGCGAAAACATAACACTGCCGCCATTTGTGCGATTTTATCTACTGCCTATCTTTTGCGCCTACCGCGAAGTGAGGTTAGAAACACAGTAGTTCAAGTGCTCTCGATTTTGATGGATAACAATCGTCCTTGGAAATTAAAAAATCGCCTCGAACAATTCCACGAAGCGCTAGGTACATTAATTCATTCAAATTAACCATGAAGTCGATTCTAATAACAGGCTGCAACCGAGGCTTGGGCCTGGGACTAGTTAGGAAACTGGTGACCGAACAAACGTCCCCGAAATGTATAATGGTAACATGCAGGAATTTGGAAAAAGCCACGGTAAGTTGATTAGTATTCGTTCGAAGCGGGCTCACCTGTCGGCGCCATTGCCAGCTAAATTATCCTCGGAAGAACGGAACTTAAAAAAATGAACTGGACACCTCGAAAGCGATCGCTTTCGAATAAAAATACAAAAATTCTGCCGAACACACAGTACACACGCCTCGCGAGTCGACGTAATCGTAACGCGCCAGCGCAATGTAAAATACGAATTTGATTCCGTTCTACTCGACTGCTATTTCTTCCTATTATATTATATTTTCGTTGGAGGAAAAAAGCTAACTCTCTCCCTACCTAAGATTTAATTGATACTGATTCTACTAGTCATTCTCTGATGGCAAATCTCGAAATTTTCTCTCTTTACAATGGAATAATCGTTTATGTATTCAAACCGCCGAATGTACTGGAATTCTTTACGCCGCAAATGATAAGATTACATTTTTAATCGTGTATTAAATTATATATTTGCCAGAAATGATAACTGTGGAATTACTTATTGCTTTTAATTTAATTAGAAAAATTTGTATTATTTTTTCGCATATATAGGGACGCCCATGAATATATACAGGATGTCTTTCCTTTATATTATGTTAATATCGTTTTTTACATTTTCAGGAACTTCAAGAAATTGCCAATAAGAATAGCAATGTACATATTCTTCAACTAGGTAAACACAGCAACTAAAGTACATAATAAAACTATTATAAAATTTGAAGATTACTTATTCAAATAATACTCTTACAAATAAGAAATTCTTTGGTATTTTTAGATGTCCAAAAAACCGAAACTTTCGATAAATTCTTCGAGAACGTTGAGAAATTAGTAAAAGACGACGGATTAAATGTGCTATTCAACAATGCCGCTTATTCCCCGAAATCTACAAGGATAAACTTCGTCAAAACTGAGCAAATGTTGCAAACTTTCTCTATCAACACCGTCGGGCCTCTGATGTTAACAAAGGTCTGTTTTTTTTCGTTAAATAAATCGCTAGACATCAGAATAAAACCGGCAAACAGGCTCTGTGAATCACCGATATATCTATCATCGATATCCTCTTGCTAATTAGACTTTCAGCCAACCAATATTACTAATTTTTCATTCAAAAATTCACTGCCATTTGTTCCAGGCTTTACTTCCCTTGTTACAAAAGGCGGCTTCAAAAAATTCCAACCAACCCTTAGGCATAAATAGATCAGCTGTAATCAACATGAGCTCGTATTTAGGATCCATATCTTTGAATAATATCGGGGGACTCTACCCATACAGGTGTTCGAAGGTAACTATTGAATCATTTAGAATTTAGAGATCGTTTAGAGCAATCAGTTATATTTTATTTGTACTCGTAGGCTGCTCTAAACATGGTTACCAAAACGTTAAGCGTCGATTTAAAAAAAGACGGTATTCTAGTAACTGCTATTCATCCCGGTTGGGTCAAAACTGACTTGGGAGGTTCCAATGCCCCGATGGATGTAGATACTTCTGTAAATTCTATCATTAATTTGATGAAGATCCTTTCAGTTGAACACAATGGTGCATTTTACACTTGGGAAGGTAAACCGATGGATTGGTAAAATTTGTATATATAACATTTAATTGAAGTGTATATTAACAGACGTATTGTATTAATAGATTCATATATTTTATATTTGTTTGAAGAATATACCTTTGAGTTCCGTATCGCAGAGTCGCTTAACTTCCTCTAAAATTGAATTGAAATAAATTTAATTGTAAATACATTGTTTTAAATCGTACTTACCGCTTATACCTATTAGACTAGCATTTTTCTGTTGGAGAGCAATATAACATTCGCGATGATTGGAGGTTTTCATAACGACCCAAAAATCGTTCATCGTTTTCACGATGGTTTCGCCGGCGGGCCCCAAAAATGGAAGGTTCCCTTTCATTTCCGTGGCAATTCTGACCGATTCTTTAGGACAAGCTAAATTCCCGCTTTGCTTATTATCTAGATGAACATTACTGGAATACGCTAAATTTACGTTATTAAAATAAATATACCTCGGCGAGGAATCCGATAAATTAGGGGTTATAATTTGCTTTGAACAATAATCCGCTATATCGGAAACTATACAAAGCAATTTGGTATTGAGGTCTTCGTCTAGAGTTTTGAATAGATCTAATGTAAGTTCGGTATCACCTAAAATAACATTTCATATTATCGATAATTAAGAGGAGATTTTAGTAATTAGTTACCTTTAATAAATAGGCAAACGGTTGCGCTGAGTGCTCGATAAACAACCAAGTGATATTCTTGTGATTTTCCGCTAGCAAACAAATATACTTTAGGCACTTTGCCTATGGTTTTAGCTGATTTGAGATTTGACGGGCCTGTAATGAACCTGCCGTGCCTTAAAGGTGCAAAAGGCGATGTCGAATTTCTAGGCATCGATCCTCCCAGTAATTCTGTCTCAACGTTAGCTGGTAATAATGTCCCTACTAAATACTGATAAACGACTTGCATATCAGATGGCTCTATACCACTCCTAAAACAAACATTTGTAAGCAAATATATATCGCAAATAGATTGTTTATTACCATATTAAGTAGTCATTGTAAAGAAACGAAGCGTTTTCGATGAAATCGTAAGAGCTTTCTAAGCAGTTAACAAATGTTTGTACTTTAAGAAAACAATGCTTATCTACCGGAAGGTATTGTATTCCAGAGAACATGTTTAGGACATCTGCATTGGCTAATTTGATCGTTTGCAGGTACTAAAAATTATATTTTATGGGATTTAATGTATAAAAAAATAAAATAACTAACTTACAGCTCTGTAAAAGACTTCTAACGTCATTTTAAGCGAATCGGTATTCTTGGCATCTTTAAATGTACCCCAGAATAGTCTATACATTAAATAAGCTTGTTTCAGCAGAGCTTCGTAAACATTATCTTCAATGTCATCTTCTAAATCTTCCGTGTCGTTTGATATTTCCTTTTCTTTTGTAGATCGGTTTAATTTTAACACCTTAAAAGTAACCGAAATGTTAATGTAAATAAATGTGCGATGTATTGTTAATTTACCATAACCATCCAAAAATCCTTCTCTGGTTGATAATACAAATGCCTGGTTTTATTAGTGTGTAGTGAATTAACGTGTGAAGAAGGTTTAAATGTACTGAAAATATTCGATTAAAACAAATAAAATCGTATACATTTGTACTTACTCCGTAAACTGAATGATACCTTCCACAAATCCCACATTTTTTATTTGCACATCAGTGTTATCAGTTAGAGGATAGTAATACAATATTTTCTTCAATTCCTGCAATAATATTGCTCATCAATTGAATTTAAATTTTAATTAATGCGTACCTCTCCTTCGTTGGCACCAAGAGAAGACTTGAATATGAAGAAGTTTTTTAAACCTGCAATTATTTGAGTAACCATTCTGAATTCTTATTTATTTAAGTTGTAATTAAATTATAAACAAAAACAAATATCGATGACGTTTGAGGTTATGAGTTTGACTTGACAGATCTCTTCTTTTTTACATTAATTTTTTTAAACTGGATACAAGAGTAGGAAGACGCCATAGTTAGGCAATGTCGATATATGTATTGTGTGATGCCTAATATAAGGAAGAACATTATCAAATAGTTTTTTATTTGTATCACATCTAAAAATGTTGTGGATATTTATAGTTTTTGTTTACAACAATGTTGATAAAATGACATTGACATTGACAGATTTTTAAATTGACGGAAATGTCATCATTTTGAGTTACATTATAATTGATTTTTAATTTATTGATTTATGTTTGATTAATAATTGATTACAATTGGCGAATTGGCAAATAACCAGAAATTGTATCGAATTGATTCATCATCTTCGAGCATCTCACAGCATTTGACATTCCCTTCAAATATTTTCCTATCATCTCTCTCATCTACATTTTAATAGGAAATGCGATGTACTGAAACAAAAATGCCAACCTACAAGACCACGATGAAACAAAACTACCAACCCACATCCTCCCTCACCGACATCGCGGAAATGTAACTGCCTCATACAAAACTCGCCCGAATCACACCAAAACAATTTCTACCAGAAACCCCTCGATGCAGAACACTCGATCACGTCCAGCAACAAATTACACATGTACATACAAGCGAGTCGACGATCGCGGCATAAAAAAAAAATCATTTCGCGCGATCACCCGGCGAAAAGAAAATCAGCACCTCCGGCGGAGCAGCCTGGCATAAAATTAAGCGTAGCGTTCCCCATCTCCCTGGAAATCGATTTAATTTCTTTCCAGGTTTTGCCTCCGCGAATCCCGAAGGACGCCAGCCTCCTAGATATTATATTTTCGGTAGAACAAGACTCTTGGCTCATCATGACAGATGACAGTTCATTATCAAAACCGAAACTTTACTCTGCTGTTATGGAAATTTCGATTCGAGTGCCTTAATGAAGTTGCTGAGATTCCCCGAACGAAACCGAAATGTTCCTTGGGATTTCCGCTGACTATCCAACTGCAGAGCTTCAATGTGGATATTAACAGGTATGTAGATACTTGTAGTTTTTCTATGGGAATAAGGGAAACATTTCCTCTCGTTAAATCTCAGTGTAGCAATTAAAATAGTACGGTTTTAACACATTTCCTACATGCTGCTTTTTTGTATAACTCTTTTAAAAGCTTCCTGGTAATACTCTTAAGGTTTAGAGCTGAAATATAGGCGTTCACACGGCGACTGGCACTTTGTTCATTAGCCTAATGTCCGACCATGCTCTCTACTTTTAGACAGCTTTTTTGAGCAACGGTGATAATTAGGAGCGTCGCAAAAACTGTCGTCGGTGGAAAGCAGTTCGAAAATTATTTGTCGACGTTCTTGAAAAAAAGAACCCTCGTTAAGTTTAATCCCCGGTGGTTGTAATGAATTGTGATTTCTAACTACAACCATTATAATCGTTTCCAATGCAGCTAAGAGTCCGATTACCGGTTTATAGATAGTGAAATGGTAGCTAGTTTCAGTCTAAATTAGATATTGCTTGTAGTAGGAGAAACTGGATGAATTGTCCAATCGAATTTATTCATTTTTCTACGAAATTACAAACTTTGAGAAGTGTTATTACTCAAACAGCCTCTACTCACATTGTTGTTTAAAGTCGTTACGGAAAGGCGACAATTCTCCGGTGGAAAAATAAGCGATTCGGCGCGTTTTTCACGTTTAACGAGCCGATCTCTTGCTGTTTAAAAATAGCCAATTCGGCGTTTGAAAAATGTATCCATTCTGAGCGTAATTTCCTCCCTAACCGGCAATTATCAAACGGCGTTCTTTGAATATAACGAGGACGTATCGCAGATCGTTAACAGCTACAAAACGATGGAAGAATGAGGGAAAATTAACGAGAAAAATATCGCAGTTGCATTTGCGATATAGGCGTAATTATCAATTATATTTGCAGGTGTTAAATGCGAAATAATCTCTATTATACACTACCTGAATCTACCAATCGATAATTGCGCTCATGAAAGTGATAAAGTAGATCTAATATCTACAAGATAGTTCCTAAAATGTATGAAGCTTTAAACCCCCGAAGAAACATTGTTCCACTTTGCGAACGTTAATGAGCTTTATAGACTCGAATAAATCTATTATCCTATTTGAAATATTAGTATTTTATAGACGCCTTTCTCTCCTATCGCGTTTCCCCCGTTAATTTCGAAATTCCTGCACCTCGATGGGGTTATCGAATGAAAGGGAAAATTCAAGTATCTGCCCGGCTCTTTCTTGGAAAGAGTTTCTTTTTTCTGGAAAGGTTAATGTATCCCTTGTGGAAACACAGTCTTCGAAAGTCGCTCTGTTGTCGCGTTTCGTGTAAATTTTTAGCTCGAGATTGCGACAGAGAAACCTTACATAGAATATAAAAAAGTCTGTTGTTAAAACGTTTTTAATTAGAGTGATATATGAAGAGTGAAGAATTTCATCTTAAGTAGGTACTGCAGATGAAATTCAACAGATCGCATAATTTATGCAAGATTTAGAAATCCGGGGGAGAGGAAAATCAATTTCGCTTTTCCAGTCGCGTCTCCGCCATCCGTCGAAAATCGATAATTGAAAGGACAGGTTCGTTTGGAGTTTTTAAAAAAAGTTTCCAAGCGTAGGCGGATATCAGGTTTCCCTTTTTTTTGCGCTGCGACCTTTAATTGTCGGGCCCTCGTTTAAAAAAAATAGAGCAGGAATTAGTGCCGGTTATCAGTCAAATTTAATCAAGTTTTTTTTCGGAATAAATTAACGGAGAAGTTCGCCGGGGCGGATCAATTAAGCCGAAGTTATCGGCACCTTAGAGAGTAAAAATTAATGAAAAATTTATAATTAATTAAAGCGGCGGATTTTAAATCTTTCGATAAGGGAATCTATTAAAATTGCCCGAATTAAAATCGAATAAGTAATCGATAGTTTCGTCTATTTAGTACTTGCACAATGGCAAAAACTATTCACTGCACGTGGGTGAGTAATAATAATAAACTTTCCTCGAGTTCTCTCCGGCTAGAATCCGGTATAGTTAGCAAACGAAACGAAATGTCGAAATAATGGTTGTATATTTGTGTGTTTAAATAGAAGGCGGGTTGTCGGAGAAGTTTGTTTCACGCGGTTTGCTCTTCGATGTTGTCGCACAAGCAACTCAATTACCTGTACGAAGAATGGCACAGGCAATTAAAATGTAATTCTCCAGGAAAACGTTATTTTCGGCGGAATTCGGGATATAACCCGAGACGGGCGCTTTATATACCTATCTGCGAGTACTGTAATTAAGTAAATAAACTAAGCACCTTGTAGTATATACAGCGTGATTCGTTGATACAGGGAGACAAAAATAGTGTATTGTTCTGTAGGTATTTTTTTAGTTATTATTGATTAAACATTTATTTAAACTGCTCCACAAAAGTTAAGGAAGTTCGCAAATTTTGCGATTATTTTAAAAGTTATAGACTTTTTGATCACCAAATTTTCAAATATGCGAAATTAAATGTTTTCTCTCATATCTGAGTGGATTTTTTGACCCTACCTCTACAACTCGTACTAAATTTGGCGATTAAAAAACCTGCAACTTTTAAATTAATCTCAATATGAACTTCCTTAACTTTTGTGGAGCAGTATATTTCATATTTTGGGGACATACTGTAGTTTATCCCATTAATATCAGATTTTTTATTACCCAGACAAGCATGAATATTAATACCTATACAAAGCGTATAAAATCTGAAAAAAAAAGTTATTTCAAAGGCTATATTAAACCTTCGTTAATTTTCACATGTTTTTTTTACTTTAACGCTAAAATATTAACAAACAATTTACATATCCTAAAAGGATTATTACTTTTTTTTAATCTATGCATCGATCGAATTCTCATTAAAGGGGCTTATCAGATAATCCTAAGCTAAATCCTGGTAACACATTTTCTATATCAAAGCAGATATTCAAATTGTTATAACCTGATACATTTTTGGTTTAATCAAATAATGGTCTTGGCAAATTTTGAAAAAATATTTTGTTCTCTTAAAGAGTATTCAAGTTTTCCTTGATAGACCTTTAGCAAACTCTAACAACCAATCGAAAATACCGGTATTTACAACAAAATCAAACAAGTATTGCTATTTCTACAATGGTTTTGCGTTAATGAAATAAATTCACCACCGCCTGGAGTTTACACCAGGAGAATTAGTTTGGGGGGGAAAAAGGGAAAATTCGCATCGCCGCCCTATAGTCGTAAAATTACTTTAACAGCCAAACAGAAAGTTGTTATTGCGTTTTATAACTTCATAAATTACTTAAAACGGTCGGTAATGGAATATGAGCAGTTTCTGAATTGAATTACATTCAAACGAGGAACTTTATTTTCGCTAGCGTCGTTTCGCTAAAAAGCGGTTTTATTAATATAAACCGCCGAGTTTGTTCGTTGATTTAGCACAGTTAATAACCCGATGTCGGAGCTATGGAGCTACGAAATTCGAATTTACATATTATAATTTGTTAAATGATATGATATGCTAAATTAATACGAAGCGAAACAGGTATTTGCATTCGTTTTATATAGGTAACTCGAGACTGGAAAATTTCCCTTTCGCTTAAGGGTTTCTTATATACAGCGCTAAATTTAACGAGAATCGCAGATAAAATAGTATATTCGAATTAACTTTTTACACGACAGAAACCCAAAGAACATTGTAATTCTTCATTTTAATGGAAACCGTCCTGATAATGGCTCTCTAAGCGTTCAACAAATTACTCGAGTCAACCGAATTGCCTCGTACTTGACCTAACCGGCTTGCCTTCATCCAGATAATAATATGATTAATGGCCTTTCGCGGGCTTTGTTGTCGGCTAACAGACACGTTCAAGAGCCGATTCGATATGAATTAGAAAAAAAAAATCTTATTCCGGCTCGCCCCCCGGGGGAAAGAAGGAATCTCCTTTTCTTATCTCGATGCGAAATTAAAGTCGCACGACCCGTGAGGGAAATAACGAAGGGAATCCGACCGAAGCGAACTATCCGAAGACAAATTGTTTACAATTCCCGCAGCTTCAATTGCAGCTTCGTTGGGGATTTGGCCTCGACTGCGACAAATTTTAATTTCTCACCGGCGTCCAGCCAGGTGGAAAGTTTTTTAACAGTACATTTTTCGATTCGGGAGGCAGTTTTTGGCGGAGGAGGGAAAGCTTATTCGAAGTCGAATGGGGAATGCTCGTTGGATTTATTAATTGCGAATTGTTGTGGGGGATTGTGAATTTGCGGTATTGGTTTTCTGGTTTTTTTTCCTGTGTTATTTGCAGTGTTAAACGAATCGAAATAACAAGGCTTCGGTTAATGTTACACGATTTAATAGAAAAAATATAATTAATTAAATTAGACTAAAAAAATCACAACGAAAATAAACGTCCGTATGTACAAACGAAGAATCGGGCATCATGCATTTTTTCTAATATTTTTTTTAATATAAACAAATTTAATTTATCATTGACTAATTGGTGTAAATTTTTGGCAAGCCAATTTTGAATAAATCAAAACTTTTCTATCGTCGAAAAAAGCAGCAAAAATTACCAAACTAATGAATCTGGTATTAACGAATAATATCAATAAAACAATTTGATTGACACAATTTAAATCCAAAATGGCATTAATCAAGGCTAGTAGGTTTGTAATTAAATCAATTTAATTAATTGTTTTCGGAGTAATTGTCGAATTAATGGGATATTTGACACGTGAATAATTTAATCAAAATGAATGATGGCCGTTATTTTACAAATATTTAACGGTAAAATATAAAAAATTAAATTTCTCTTTACATTCGCCGGCATTTCAACACATTGAAAATTATGACATGTTTCTATTTTTATGCTTATAACATTCATTTTAACATCGATTGAAATATATATTATGTAAATATTTAATATTATGTTATTATTAGTAACATCAGGACAGATACAGAGTAGATCAGATTCGGAAGTTTCCAATTTTAATTTAAATTCCGTCGAAAGTTTCGGGAAATTTGCGGATTGTCCTTAAAATGAAAAGAACATATTCTGTATCTGGACGAATATTAAAAATTATTGGAGAAATTCAATGGAAAATTATCACGTCTTGTAACAGTTTTTTTCCAAAATTAGTAAAACATGTGCTGAATTGAAAAATGCGAAAAATAATATGATTTTGTCAATATTCCAATCTTCCAAAATCATTTTATTTTGTTACTTGAATATAATCTGAAGGCCCACTTATAGCATTATTATCATTCAAACGCTGCCTCACGATGCTAGTAGAATATAAATTTCACTAAAAAAAAAACTCTTGTAACTAAAAGACTTTTTTTTCATCATTCCACATTCCCCGATAATTTGATACAAGCGACGATCAGATTGCAGTTAACAGAGATAATTTTTACTTTATAATATTATAAAAATCTAAAAGATCTTCTACTCGATTATCGTAATAATCCTTGCCGTTGTAAAATACTAATTTACGTATATGTAATACAAATTTTGGAAGCAAATTTTGCGCAACATATCTAAAATAAATTTGGAAAGGTGTCTAAAGAAGGCCAAACAACTCGAGTGGAAAGTAACCCGAGAACATTTCTGTCAGATCTTCGGTACTTCCGAAAATTATGCGGTATTTAGGTGTCAGATACAAAGGCACATCTTAGACTTAAAACTTTAAATTAACTTTAAGAACTTCGCTTAATCCCGGCCAAGTTAAATTGGTTCTTATGTAAGACAATTTGCGTAGGTAGTTTCATTTAATTAAATTATAATTTATTTTAGATATGCTGCAATCAACGTATTGTTGGCGTACATTTTATCGACGTTATCACTGGTTTAAATAATTTCGATGTCAACAATCCTGTAATTAATTTATTGCTTTATAGGTATTAATGCTATTGGTCGAATCGTCTTACAGACTTTTGCTACAGAAATTTATTTATAAAATACGAATCCAATCACTTGAATAGAAAAAATCCAGCATGTTAAATATATTTCTTTTAATTCGTTATTTAATATTCTTTGGCTTTTATTTATTTTTTTTCGCCGATTTTCCTATTCAATGGTTGACTTAACATACCTACATGATGTCCCAATGTAATTAACTAATCGATTAGAGATAAAAATATCACAATATAGTTCAAGAAATTCAACCATGTCAAAATGGTAGAGTGATTTTTAACTATGTTGGGACAACCTGTATGCGGCTTAGAGAGAATCAAACATTTAGAGAAAATACTAAATGTACCTAAATGGCTTTATGATTGTGTTTCGCTACAATTTGTTATATCGAAAGATTCGTTAGAAATACGGTTTAAATGTTCACTTGGATGTTTTTTTTTTACAGATAAGTTACACATTTAATTACAACATTCAACATTTATTTTAGCTAAGACATTATCGCTTAACATTTTGCGTTATAATCTTCGAAAACCCCGAGGAAAAGTGGTACGAAACGAGTTTGAATTAATTTCGATAACCAGCAATCAAATTGATCGATATTTCTGATTAATTACGATCGAGATCATTTTGCAACAGATATCCCCAACTTTCGATCAGTTTGATTGAATTAATTTCGGAACAGAAAGTGCAGAGTGTTCATTCCAAGTGGAAATCAAATACTATTTATTTGCGCTTCAATTTCGTAAACAGACTGTCCAATAGGACTGAATAGAAAGCGGGAGGGTGCATTAGATTAATTTATTTGGTCGGGGATTTTCGCTGTATATAAATTTCAATGGATGATTAAAAATTTTGATTTTAAAAAGTTCGATTGCCGTGCCGTCAGTTCCGAAGCTTTCATGAAAATTTCGGAATGATTTTTCAGCACTTAATATTCGAATTGAAATTACTGAAATATCTAAAAATTGGGGATGTATAAAAATTAATATTATTTGTCGTTGAAATGTCCGCTTTTCCTCGTCAAAATAATTGTCACTCAAATGAATCTTAGCGTAATTTGGCCTCTTTAACGAAAACGATTCGCCGGGTACTTAGAAAATAAAATGCCTCCATGTAACTTAAGTTTATCCAATTATTATTCAATTGATTCGAAATATAAGTAAGTACCTACTGTGTGTATAAATAAATACGAAAATACTCGTTCACTAAATAAATAAAAAAATTAAAACTTATGTTAATAAAATTCAACTAATAATATTTTCCAAAACGCTTCCTTCATTCCTCTAATTTATCTCGTTTGATCATAGATGATAGAATGTTTCTAAAAAGCAATTTACTCGTTATGTTATGTATATAATTGGATATACTTTGTCTAAGTTAAAAAAAAAAACACACTTTTTTTTAATGTTGATACAATATCACTCAGTTTATTTAACACTAAACATTTTTTTGGCAATTCCATTATGTACAACACTAGATTGAAATTTACGAATTTAACTAGGTTTTTTTTACAAGTCCTTTAACTTTTAGGCTATCGTTCTAAAAAAAAAAAATCCGATACATAAATATACAAAAAACAGCACCATATAGATTAAGCGTAGATTAGAAAAATGCCAGCTGCGAAACTGTCCCGCTCAAAAGGATATGTATTATAATTCCGCGCGAATTCCATCCTGCACCCGAAACGAATCTTTCTAATCCACGTTCCTTTAAGTAATTACCTAACTCAAATCGCCCTTCAACTAGCAACAAACCCACCACCCAAACGCCCATTCAAAAGCTCGTCGTGGTGAGTCTGCTGCTAGTCAAATCCACTCAGAGACTCGACCCGAAATCGGAGCACCGCCGGTCGACGTGCTTGAGATAGGTCTCCGAATAGACGCTCCTCGTCCTGTCCTCGTACCTCATCGACGGCCTCCGGTGATCTACATAATCGAGATCCGAAGGTGGCCTCTTACACAGGCTGCAAAAGGCGCACTGCAACGTGTTCTTGAACGCCTCCCGAAAGTCCCTGTTGAAGTAGGCGTAGATGAGCGGATTCAGCGTGGAGTTGAAGTAACCGATCCAGAACATGACGGCGACCACCTCGGGCGGGCAATTCAACCGGCACGAATCGCACAGGTACACCGTATCGTACCAGAGGAAAAAAGGCAACCAGCAGAGGATGAAGGTGCCCATGATGATGCCCAGCGTTCGAGCCGCCTTGTGTTCGCGCTTCATCTTGGACAGGTTGCGCTCCTTGGTGGGCGTGTGATGGAGGTCCTGGTTGATGTCGTGCGCCGTCAGCGTCTTGGACGAGCCGCCCGAATTGGACAACATGTCGCCGTTGGTGTTGTTTTGGTGTAGCAACATGGCGGCGCCGTGCCGGTGGAACATCTCGCGCTCCTGCCGATTGGCCTCCCTGAAGATGGCCAAATACATGAAGATCATGATGGTGCACGGTATCCAAAAGGAGATGCTGCTGCTGATGACGGCGTACGGCTTGTTGACGATGAACTCGCAGATGTCTTGGTGGCCGTTGCGGAACTCCTGGTTGGCCTGCGTCGTGTACCAGCCTTTGAATATCGGCAGGAAGCTGATGACGGCCGGGCTGAGCCACGTGTTGAGTATCATGAAGGCGACGACGTTTTTGGTCATCGTCAACGGGTATTTGAGCGGTTTGACGATGGCGTAGTAACGATCGACGCTGATGCAACAGAGGTGCAATATGGATGAAGTGGAGAAGTACACGTCTAGAGAGTTCCACACGTCGCACATGAAATAGCCGAACTTCCATTCGCCGTAGATTTGCACGCTGGCGTTGAAGGTCATGGCGAACATCGCCACCAGCATGTCGGCTAAAGCCAGCGATATCACGTAGTAGTTGGTGATGATGCGGAGTTTCCGGTGTCGCATGACGGAGACGATGACCAAGAGATTGCCGAATATCGAGGCTATGATGATGGAGCCCATGATGGCGGCCTTGACGGCCAACGCCAGGTCGTCGGTCCATTCGGTCGGTTTGATGGCTTTGCTGGTGGCGTTGGCGATGGTCGAATTTAGGTCTTCTTCCATGATCGACTGGATGGTTTTTTTGGGGATTCGATTTCGATTGCAGGTGGGTGTTCCTAGCGGGTTATTGGGTAAATCGAACCGTCGGGAGACATCGTTTATTCGCGCTGACGGTTTCCTGCGATCGGTGTTTGAAAGCTATCGAAGTGTCTTCGGTGTGTTTCATTTGAGCGATTCGGGCCTAGTGGAATCTGCAACAAAGAGAAAGTGGACCGGTTAAATGCGTTCAATATCGAGGATTCGTTTGATGATTTGCGAAACGAATGGGTTTTTGCAACAATAAAGCCTTTTGTACTAAATTCCTGCATTGCATCAAACTCATCGAAATTCACCACCTAAATCGTATTAATTCCTATAGATAGCACCTCTAAGTACACCGTAGTAATAATCTATTTAATTTAGTAATACGTTTATTAATATTCCAATGGCGTCAAAGTTTCAAAATTTCGGATCGATCGCATTGTCGTTGGACAAAGTTTTAGGACAAGCCTGTAAAACGACCGACATATGTGCGATGGGGATCGTAAGTAAACGCTTCATATTCCCGCGCTAAACTCCGGCTAAGTGGAAGTTTGCGACTGCAGTTTTCCCCCATATAAATTGGCCACAAACTGCCGCAATGCGCTACGCTCTACAACCTGAATTTTATTTGCATTGAGAGCTCTCGCCGTACAATGTGTCATGGAACCTTAAAGTGTACACATACTGTTGTCGAAATGGGTTTTTGTTGTTGTTCTAGGTTTATTCGGCAGGTATTTTCATGCGATGTTTTTTTTGAACGAGGCGCTTTATTTGATTAGAGTTCGGTAGTTTTTGTGCATCACATTTTGGATAATTTGTGGTGCTATTTCTTGTGACTATTTAATAAATAATTGCGGCAATTTAGTTCATTTGTATCGAGCAATTTGTTTAGGTATTTATTAGTAATAAAATCGACTCTACAAGCGAGACGAAGCTCTCGATAATTAAATTTTTCCGGCGTGAAAGGCTGCGAACGTTCGAAATCGCTCTTCGCGAATATTCTTTAATCATTTTATTGGGTACGCGAATTCTGATCAAAGCCGATGCCGCGGGGGAGCCCCGGGAGAGAGAAAGGCGGCGAATTAACCGGGGAAAGCGCTTTTTTTTTTCTCTGTGTATATATGGGTGGGTTAAGGGACGATATGGGGCACATCCGACCGGATAAAAGATATATCGGAAGGATAATGAGGGTGACGTTCTGAGGCATATAAACGTGTCATAATCGGAGTGTTTCTTCTGCATTTCGGAAGTCTGAGATTGTTTTTTTTTTACTTGAACGATTTCACGCTGTAATATTTCCACGTGGGTTGGTTTGGAAAATATTGCCTGTATAAACAGGGTGATTGCTATTCATAAGTAGAAAATTAAGAATTGTTGGTAAATTTAGAACAAATTTTCACTTACTCAAAGCTCATTTACTAGATATATACTGCTCCACAAAAGTTAAGGAAGTTCACAAATATTGAGATTAAAATAACTTCCTTAATTTTTGTGGAGCAGTTTATTTTCCAATTTTGGCGGACGCCTTACATAAATTCGCCAAATTGCTGATAAATTAAGAGATTAAACTCGATATCGAGACATCCTGTAAACTTGCTTTTGAAAAGGTATAAAAGGCATCGAAAACATAAACAAAATTTGCATCAAAAATCGCTTATACAATCTCCTATAGTGTCAAATTTTCGCAGTTTTAGAGGCTCCTCGGCCTCAATTCGAGCGCCAATCGCCACAGCCTTCCTGCTAACTCAACCGGCGAAAAATTATGCTAAAAATAGAAAAATATGGTAGGCGTTTCGCGGGAAAATTAACCGGCGTTGCCAACACAATTTTTGACAATTATTGCCAACTATTTAAAAAAAAAACTCCCGATAAGCCACCGGGATATTTCTGCGGTTGGTGTGGAGATGATGATGATGATGATGAAAGGGCCGAATCGAATATTGATTTACATAACGCGAATGGGGCGCATAATGAGATGCGATTTTATCTCCGACTCTCGATTGTGATTTAATCTGTATTCTATTTCGAAAAGACTTATGTAAATCCAGTCGGATTCTGGATCTCGCCGGAGAGGATATTAAAAAAAGATCGCAGTCAGCACGTGAGAGGGATCCTCTCTCGCTGCTATTTACAAAAGATCAGAAATTATTTTTTCTTTCCCTCTGCGGGTGCGACGGGAGAAATCCGCGTGACGAAAATCGGATTTTCTTTGAACTTTTCTAATATATTTCCTCTATAAATCGACGGTAATTTTGGCGAGTAATTTTTTTTCGCGAGCGTCGCCGAGGGTTTAGGTTATCTTTTTTCGGTTCCGGTTTATTCAAATTACATTCGTCGGGTTTCAGATTTCGCTTTTCGAACAGAATTCCGGCGGTTTGTTTCTTTTGATTTATAAACACCTCGCTGTCCTACGCGTGAATCGGGATTTCTAGCGCCTAGTAGGACATTAAAAAAAAACGCTTTTTCGCATCTGGCGGGAAAAAAATCCCGCGCGAAAAAATCTATTGTGTAAATGGTAAAATTGCGCTGTGTTCCCGTGGAAACGGAAGACGCTTTCACGGCAGAGCGATCCCTTTTTGGGATATATTCCAGTTGTATATTCCGGCCGAAAAGGCTGCATGTTATTTGTGCCGGTCTAAATGCATTGCGCTCCTATTTAAAATGTATATACGCCGTTTTCATTCGCCCAAACCCGATGCTTTTAACTGAATTTCGAGCCGTTAAGTACACACATTAATGAATAGTTTTTGGGAAAATTGTGAAGAGAAAAAATCTTTAAAACTCTTCAGGACGCACTAAAAAGTTCTCTAGCAATTTATGATGCATACAATTAGTAAAACATTGAATAATCTAATTTATTTACCTATCTATGAAAGTTCATTGATTAAACTAGTAAATAACCTGAAAGAAAAATCGACTAATTTAGTACAAATAATCAGCGTATATTAACAAAGTTCATTTCATTGCTTTTAACTGAATTTCAAGCCGTATAGGAACACACATTAATGAATATTTTGAATATTTAAATATAATTTTACATGTGTATGTAGTAAAAAATTGACTAAACTTAGGACAGTTTGTAAAAAACCTACCGTAAGTTGATCAATTCAAATTTCTTGCCGTCTATAGAATATTAATTCACAGACTAAACAGCAATGTTGTTAGACGAACCGGTATAGGGGCATGTATTTGAAGTTTCTGGACGGGCATTAACGAAGTTAGTCCCTTGAAACTCTAATAATCTATAGTCGAAGTCAAATATTAACAAGAGCAGCAATTTGATTAAATACGGTAGCCGATAAACCGCAGACTAGCCTTGAGACACAGACGTTTTCCATTGTTGCAATAAATCCACATTTGCATACCAAAACCATATAAAAAAATTTATATTTTTTGCATTTGAAGTACCCATTTGAAGGTCATTTTAAGCAGACGAAAAAAGCGCTAAATTGATAAAAAAATATTGCATGATAAAAAAGCAAAAAATTCACTTTAGCTCTATTAACGTAGCTCCACTCTATACATTAACGAATAGTTCGGGAACTTCGTGAAATATACCGGCATTTAAAGTCGCCGGCTTACGCTCCGCTATAAAATAGAACCGTGACATTTAAAGTAGTGAACTTTTATCCCCGATATGTGGAGTTTCACTTTAAGGTACATTTAAACCGTAAACCTTATTCCTTGCTTATTTACGACATCGAACACGCAGGCTAAAGTCGAGGGAATCGAGTAAGAATGTTTAGGGATGCGATATCGGCCGGATTAACGGGGGAATTTAGATAAGACGAGACGTTTTTCGGGATTTAAAATGAGAAAAATAAAGCGATATATACCGGTAGTTTGAAATTCATGACGGGTAGCAGGAAACCGGCGCAGTGGTACATTCGTGAATTTAATTCAGGTAACAGCATCCCGAGTAAATGCATTTAAAATTGCCCGGTAGGAGTTGCAGCAGTAATGATAAAATCATTGAGGTTGGGCCAACGAATCGGATCGATATTATACGTTTTGGCGTGTTCCAAATCGAACGGAACACATCAATTCGTTTTCCACGTTGCAGTTTCAATTTCGCGTTCGTTAATCTTTTTGTTCGAACTGCGCGCGATCGAGTATTAATTTTTCCGTTTCGTAAACTCGCCCGATATGAAATAGTCGTTGCAATGGAACGAAACGATTTATTTGTTCACTTATTCTTTCGCCCATTGAATAGCGAAATTTACACGAATTATTCTTCATTTCCGACTAAGTGTTCATTCCCATTTAAATTTAGGTATACGATTATATTTCATCAAAAAAAAGTTAATTAAATCGATCGAAACAACGCCGAAAAATTTACTAAAAAAAAAAACTAATTTCCTTTGAACTCATCACCAACCAATCTCTCGTTACCCAATAATTAATAACCCTCGCTGAAACAACAACCCCTATGTAGCTAGGTATATTCCCTCGAGACGACGAGATGTTTACTAAACGCGTCAATGGGCTCATTCGATAAAATTTAGAATTTGATCAAACTTTATATACATAAAGAAGAGGTCAAAAAAAATGGTTACTGAAAGTTTCAAGTTGATCCGATCTGCGGTTCTTTGATTATTCGAGTTTAAAGATGCGATTATTTGTCTCCGCGATAGTACGATGATGACGTCACTGCATGCGATCTCTCCGCTGTCCGCTTCGCATTCACTTAATTTGCATTGCATTCGCGATCGTTTCGTCTTTTTAACGACTATGTTTAATTGATTATATAGGGTAATTATAATAAATAATTAATGCTAATTGTAAGTATAATATTTTGGTTATCGATCAATGAGATTAGCTACGTAAATATATTTAGGAATACCTAAATAATAACTAATACCTACCTATGTATGTTTTGGATTTTGCTCTATAACATGTATTACCCTTTTTATAATGTTCTCTTTTTCATTAGACCAAGTTGACTCAGAATTAACCAAAAATGATCCCGAAATTAAATATCG